GTCTCACTGCGGGTATAGGGGGATGGAACCCGACCCGGAACACCAAAGCCAGCGGCGGGATTTTCCATGTGGCCGCCGTAGTGATCTTGAGCTTGGGGATGGTCGGTTACGTAGGATTCTGTCAGGCTGTATCCGGAGGGGGGTCGGACAGGAGAGCCACCGCGGTGGTGGTGTTGGGGGTCATCAAAGGGGCCGCTGAATGGGCCTTGGTTTTGGTGGAGGAGCGATTGGGAGGCATCGTGTTCGGCGGGAAGATTATATTGCTGGAGCGATTTAAGGGGTAAGTTAGCAAGGGGTGTTCCTGTGTTGAGAGGATATCATCGTGAAACAAATGATACCGTGGCCCGCGACCAGGGGGAACCAATGCTGAATATCTCGATGTGTATATATGTATGTATATATACAGATCCACACACAACAGACACACACACAGAGACACACACGCTCTCTTATATATGTATATAAATGTATACCTATACCTATATCTATATCATATGCATATACATAGGAAAGAGTGTTTGCTCACGCTGCCAGATGGGAGGTCATGGAGTCGATGGCCATCGCCGTACCCCCCTGGAGAGTTCGAGCCTGGATAGGCCATGATGAGGGAGCTGTGGCCGCCGTCAAAACGAGAGGCCGGGTTGATGAAGCGGATAGAAGGATAGAGGGGAGAATGGATGGATGGATCGAGGTCGAGAGGAGGAAGAGAGGCAGAGAAAAGAGAAGAGAGACGAGCGAGAACAGAGCAGCAACAGAAGAAGAGAAAACAACACAGAAGTTCTTTTTTAGGGGTAGAAGCCACAGGCAGCTAAGGGAGCAGCGGACACGAAGCAGGGCAACGGATGAAAACAAACCACAGACGAGCGCTTGATATTCTCAGGCTTGCTGGACAAGACCAACGAGAATAAGCAGCGAAATAAAAATAGAAATAGAAAAGAAAAAGTATAAAAAAAAAAAATAGTAAAAAAATAGTAAAAAAAAAAAAACAAAAAGGTAAGATACAGGCCCGAAAAGGCGATGATGATGATTTTCCTTAGGGGGCAAACGGGTGGATGAACGTGATATGGTACGATATGGTATGGTATGGTATGGTATGGCCGGACAGTACAGAGTACAGGAGCCGTACCCAGCTTCTGGCTGGCAACTAGCGTGAAATTTACCGTAACTTTCTTTGTTCAGCCGCGTTTGGTGGGTAGAATACAGATTATTACCATACAGTAGGTAGATATACAGCGTATGTCGATAACATGCCCACATATCTGGAAAATGGATATATACTCGCCGTTTGGATTTCCAACCAGGTGAGCCAGCTACGTTGCTTCCATCGAGCATAGACCGATACTTCACAACTCTACTCAATGGTAGTCTCCGCCCAGGCCCAGCTCATCTCAGGCTGGATAATGCTCCCCCTTCCCCCTCGCTCAATCAGCCTTTCCTCTGCCTCCTCTAGCCGGAAGGAAAGGGCCACATGGTGGTGATTCTGCCATTTACTCAGTTTAATTTCACCATTAAACGTTTCCGCGAGGACTTCGTCCGGCATCAACTGCACGCACAGTTAGACTGCATACAGGCAGACAAACGAACATACTTAGAGGCAGCGATTCATTCATACTGCGCGCGGCACCGTCACATCACGACACATATGTATATGTATATGTATATGCATATGGAGGGATGGATGTATCTGAAGGACGGAAAACGGGCGTGGAGGACATCATAATGTGATGACCTCTGCAGCTACTTGCTGTATTCATGCATGCATCCTGCGAGGCTGTTCGTCCGTTAGTCGCCTCCGTTTGCAGCGACAAGATCACTTCTCAGCAGTCAAGTCAGGATGCTCGCTGCGATACCTATTGTCTGTGGTATTATCACATGAGTTTGAGAGCAGTCCAGTCAAAAAGGAAAAAAACAAAAAAAAAAAAAGAATTTCATTCCCGATAATGTCCCCACATATCTGAAACCCGCCAGAGATAAAACTTGTACCAGAATTTCGTTGCCAAAAAGAAAAAAAAAGTCTATTCTTAGCCGAAAGACGGGAAGTCAAGAGATCCTGGTCTAATTTGTCTGGTTGCGATCCTCGAAACTTTTGTTCAACCCGGTTTTACTATGTAACTTAACCTTCCCGTTATTCAGGGCCAAAAGGGGGAGGCAAAACCAAGCCGGATTTTTGGAATTTTGGAATTTTGGGATTTTGGAATTTTGGAATTTATTACTGGTTGGGATAAATAAATAAAGCTCATATGAAGATGAATCAATTGTCTTGCCATCCACCAACTTTTATGCGTGTCGATTGTTCAGGTGAGAGCTGTGAGCAATGCCTGTCTGGTCAGTTCGATTTGTCAATCACGGTTCAGGGGTGCCTTTTGGGGACCGTGCATGGGTTGGTTGCATGTGCTCCATACTCCGCTGTGGGTGGATTGAATGTTGCAATTTGGAGCGATGGATGATAGTTAGATATTGACCATCTCTCTCAACCGATGATGGGGATCATGTCCTGTCAAAGAAAAGAAGAGGAGGAAGCGACTTGGCTGGGTAGACCTCAAAAGCATCTCTCTGCATGGACATCTCTTCTCTCTCTCTATCTCTCTCATTTGTCACCAGGACACCAACCACAAGACACGAGACACCAACAGCCAACACCTAACAACCAACAACCAACAGCCAGCACCGTCCATCGGCCATGACCATCCCCCACTGCATCGAAATATAGTTGCTGTGTGTGGCTCCCCCTGACTCCGACTGCATGAACCACCCAGGCTCCCAGCCAGCGAGAGCGGGGCCCGTCTGCGGGCATCGAGCTGAGAAACGGTATTACAATACGGTACTGTACCGCCTGTAACGTCTGTACTGTGCTGCCCCATGCAGAAAATTCATCCCCCAGAATAATGCGACTGGGATGGTATTTCAAGCGCAGATCTAAACATGATTCGACGCTTTCTGGCTAACCGGTTCTTGGTTATTCTTTCGCGTTGTGATAAGATAGCACTATGACCATAGGTTATACATAGCAAAAAGCCAACGTAACCATGTGTTAAATGGTTGCGCTCATAGTGATATGTATACCCGTGGGTGTGGTGGGGTGGCTCGGCCCACAGCGGGCGTGGCCACCCAATCCACCATCTATACACTGCGACCGCCAGCCGCAGCATACATAGTAGTGGGGAACCACAGCGTACGAGAGCTGGCTAACTAACTAGCTCCTAAGTAGCTAAACGGCTTACGATTTCTGATAAACTACCTCTTAACGCCTGTCTCAGCTGGCTGGCTGTGTCGCGGGTACCTGGATGGATGTGGCTGGTGGCTGTGAAGGCTCTGTGGAGGCGCATGTACGGAGTAGGCGTCGGCATCGGAGGAATCTTTGATGAACTTTAACTACTTGATGACAGCGCTGACTGATATAACGGATGGCTGAAGGAAAGATGCAGCACTCTCATTATCAGGCTCAAGCGTCCTGAGGTTAGGCGGAAGCGGAGCTTGTCCCTGATCGAATGATGTAGAAAGAAACCCTCAATATTTTTAGCATATCGTACCCATTTTCTTCCGCCCTTGCAGCCGGTTTCGGCCTTCGACAAGCGGTGGCTGTCCGATGCCTCTTTTTTTGGGACACTCGTCTGCGGACCACCACAATTGGATGATGCTACGGTAACTTTGTGGATACTCCTTTCCCCAGTTCAGCCCTCAGGCAGAAGAAGGGGTGGCAGAGGAGCGGGAAGCGAGGCCATGACCTACAGCGTACCTGATCACAGCGGACACTGGCATCACAAGGCGCTATAGGGCTGAAGGAGGAAGTATATGATAGGACTGGATAAGGTCCGAAGGTTAGCCAAGTGAAACTAAAGCAGGGGGGAAATTGCAATTGAGACGAGAAAAGAATGCATTCCACTCCGTACTCAATGGTTTATCTTCCAATATCACCCTTTGTCCTGTCCAAATGCCCGCTTCGTCAATCATCATACACGTGGGTGCTATGAGTATCCATCCATGCACACTGATGACTGGGAGCGGGGGAGATCTCCCTCCTCCATTCTTCAAGGAAGAGGCTGCAGAGGTCAAGTTCTGCTCTAATGCTCAAATTTCAAAGAAAGTCAACATGCTGGCTGAGGTGCAGTGCAACTCTACGCCGCTGGCATCATTGACGATTCCTCCGCCAGCTCCCTCCCCGAGACCCGCCAACTTGCGGCAGAGTGATGATGCCAAATGCACAACCTCTCAGCAGGAAAAAAAATACCGCAGCATATGGTATTATAGTAGGTGTCGCGGCAGCGAGTTTGGCGACCGCGTACCCGCCCACTCAGAAGGGTTCGAGAAACAGACGTGGTAGACTCCTGCCCCCTGCAGCTCCCACCTGGGTCATCGCTATGGCATTGACATTCTTGCTTGTCATCTTCGCTTTGGTCGTTCTGACGACCCGGCCTCAGAGCTCAATTTCCTTCGCCTCGCTGGACGGAGCGTTGCCGCTGAAGTACTGGCGGGGGATAAGGTCGGGTGATTGGCGAAACAAGCGCTCATTGTCTAGCGGGTCGTGACGTCTTGTAGGCCCTTTACGACGCATGCTCTGCCCAGTGGCATTTCAAGAGGGAGGGGCTGAGATAGTCGTTCGCTACACCATGGTCCCATTTTAGCTGAGCTAGGTGAGGTCGTGGAGCCAGCGATGCATTCGACTCGGGACGGAGCGTCATGTAGGTGGGGGGAGAGGGCGGCATTGACTACCTAGCATGCCAGTCGTGAGTAGATGGCATTGCTGTTCGGACAATTGTAACAATGATTGCATACAGGCATTGGATAGAGTTGCTGAGTCAGCAAAGACATCTGATGCCCCACATCAACAAACGGATTGAGCAAAATAACAATATACATGACTGCATCAGAGCGCAAATTACTGAATTGACTTGTATATGATGCTCCAAGCTAGATTGGCATCTTGGAAAGGATTGCTCCCAAACAGAAGAGAAACAGAATAACATTTCCCCTCCTTCCACATCTCCCCTCTCATTCTCACAATGCAACCATCTCAAACACCCCCAGAATCCCACAACTTTCAAATCACCTCCACTCTCCGCTATGACCCAGATCTCCCCAGAATTCCTCATATACCGGACACCTATCCGGCCCCCAAAACCTCCCCCTATTACCTCCTCAGCTATCACTATGACCGCCTCCTTGCCGCTGCCGTCGACTTCGAATGGCCGGCCGCAATTACACTCCTCCAACAACAGCCTCGAGAAACAGGCGTTGCGCAACTCGCCCAGAAAGTCAATGAACATACTCAATCTAACCCAACACATCCCTGGCGCATACGCGTCCTCCTCAATGCCGTCGGCGTCATCACCGTCGAAGCTGTTCCAATCTTACCCAACCCCTCCTCAGCACCGAGTATATTCGTCCTGCCGGAAAAGCCAGATTTCTCCCGCCTCTTTCCCCGCAACGCGGATGGGGTATATTCCGGAACCGCCTCCACTGAAAGGATAGAAACGTGGACGCTACGATTGGACACCCAACCGACCAGCCCCTCACTCTTCACGCGCCACAAAACGACGGTACGAGATCAGTACACGGCATCCCGCGAGCGCGCGGGAATCACGTCCCCGCATGATAAGACGGAGGTGTTGTTGTATAACCCCGCTGGCGAGGTGATGGAGGGCAGCATCACCACTGTATATTTCCGACGATGGCGAAGACAGGGTCCTGGCCCGGCTGCGGCACCAGGATCTACGTCTGTGCCTGGGGAGACGGGTGATGGTGATTGTAACTCAGTAGATGACCCCGGCTATTATTGGGTAACACCGCCGCTGTCCAGCGGTGGGAATGCGGGGACGTCGAGGCGCTATGCACTTACAGCGCAGATGTGTGTGGAGGAGGTTGTGAGGGTCGAAGAGCTGCAGCGATTGGAAGGGAAGAATGACCGGGTGTGGCTTAGTAATGGGGTTAGGGGCTTCATGCCGGCCGTTTTAAAGCTCAATAAGTAGTTTAGGGCCGTGTGGTTGCCAGCACGGGTGCGGACAACTTCTATATTACTTATCCGGGTTATGGATTTTCCCCATTAGAACCGGAGTGGAAAGGCTGCAGGAACTACGAGATACTACTGCGAATAGGACATGAAGGCAGCAGCGGAAACTAGTCTGAGGAGATGCAGTATAGGAACCGTTGGCATATCCATCCATGCCCACATCGGTTGGGTATTGCGACATCGATGGATTGGATTTATGGCTAAATTAAGGCACAAAGCCAATGGGAATACCGAGAGGTAATTTCTTACATCCAGAGCGAGGAGCGGAAAAGCGAATCGAAGAGAGCAAGTGCATGTACGCTGTTAGGTTTTGTTTAGTGGTGATTGTTGAGATAGATAGATAGATGGGTGGATGGATGGATGGATGATGTATGCTATTGAAAATATCTAATATCTCTTGGTCAGTTCTTTTACTCTTCAGGTTAGGGGGGGGGGGAGAGAGATTCTGTCTACTAGTAATGCATACATCCCCACAAATGTCGTACATCCCCCACCCATACTCGGCTCTATTGCGCGGTGCTATATACCAACAGAATCGTCCAATTTCCGCCTCGAACTAACAAACGAGGACTGCCAGCAGATGGAGTAGTTTTGTTTAATGAACATTGGCATGATAATAAACTGAAATCTCATGATTTTTTTTTTTTTTTTTTTTTTTTTTTTTTTTTTTTTTTTTTTAATATTTCCTTTCTGATATGACCGTATATATACAGATTGCAACATACATATCACACACAGCAAACATCCAGTAACCAACAAAGAGGAGATTGAAACAGATCAAAAGCAAAAAGCTGGAAGGAAGGAAACAAAGGGGAAAATGGAAAACAAGCAAGGGCCGCCCAATCTCACATGTTATTGGAGAATGAAAGAAGAACGAGCTCTGTTTCTGGTTCTGTTCTGTCAAGATAGAGATACGACGAACAGATAGAGCGGATTGGAGTAGAGGGAAAAGCTTTTCAATTCTGATTTCATAGTTATATATACAATGTACATGCACATGCAAGATGCGGGAGTACCCCGTTTATCCACGCCTCGTTTCGATACGCGCTACGGTTGGAATTCCAATTTTAAGGTAGAGGGTGGATTAGGCTTGAGCGGACATTCCGTTTGTTGTTATTATTTCCTTTATCCTATCTTGTCTTCCCCTCCCCCGCCTTCTTTTGTATTTTTGTTGGTGTGGTTGTCATCGTCGACTTCTAATTCAGAAGGCCTTGGGCACGCTCGGTTTCGAGGCGGGCGTAGAGGCGGTCACGGGCCCGGACGCGGGGGAGGTGGTAGCCTTGTTTTAGGCACGAGTCAGATACATTGACCATCACATGAGAAGAATGCGGGCACATATTGATACTTACCGTACCAGAATAGGTAGCCGAAAGTGGTTCCGAGGCCTATATTGGACGGAGGAATTAGCCGAAGTTTTTTGATGTGGGTGATGATTTGATGGGGTAGGGGAATGAATTTCGGTGAGCATTGATATCGGGGTAGGAATGGCGATCGTATATATATAGTATCCATTTAGAGAATCCCACTCCCGCGCCGGGGAACGCGTGGAAAACTTCCTGCTCCTGAAAAGTGATCAAATCGAGAATCAAAACCTACCGAACGCAGTGCTGAGATCCAGCACAAGACCCCGACGGAGCATCTATATATATGCCAATTAGCATAACAGTCCAGTTGAGAGTGAGGAGAGCCAAATTGTTCCGGCAAATGCGAATTGAATTGGAAATTTGCGAAGAAACTTACACCCGTGATGGGCTGGATGGCGGACATTGCTCCGCAATTGGGTGGGATGAAAGGGTAGAGTGCGAGTGAGGCCCTAGCAGGCTAATGAGTATTGCAGTTGGAGTGCGATAGACAGGGAGCTGATATAGCTGTAGCAGTTTGCTGCAAAGGCGTTTGTGGATCGAAGGCGACCAGACCAGAGTGGATATGTTGGAATGTTGGAGATGGCTGCGGATCAACACGGCGCCGATGATCACGTGGGGGATTATTACTAATACTGGTAGCCTGCCCAGGTGACATTTTAGAACCTCTACAGATAGGATATTTTCATTCATAGAAGAGTTTTGATGTCTCTGTGGGCAATTTATTATATATATGGCACAGATTCCTATACCAGCTGATAGCTAAGCTGACTCTGAACCATCATTTGGGCATTCTGGGCACCAGTATACCTGATGTATCGTTGCCCTGTGAATGGTCAAAGGCATATATATTCCTGCTCATCAACATCGTCATTGACACCCGTCCATCAAACGAGCATCAGATTAGTATTCGTTTGATCACCTGGAGGAGACCACCTTGCTCATGGTGTACCTTCTTCACCCGTACCTCTTAGTTATCATACTCGGTCCCCTTGGATTTGCTGCAGGGGACGGTGGGCCTTGAGATATGTTGTAGGGACACCACGAGCGATGGGGTGATTTTCCAATATCAACCTGCAAGTGCAAGAGTTACTGCGCCTGAGCATTCTCTGGAATCATGAAGACAGATACCCACCTGGTTCTTGGGGTTTAAACATTGATGTAGGGCGACTTACATGTCAGAGAAAAGAGAGGCTAATCCTGTTTGTTTTGTCCTCGCTACTTTATTTCTATTGCATTCAGACAATGCGGCGCTCAACTTAGTATTTAGTTACTATCTATTGAGAGGCAATGCGGAATAACTAGTGGTGATCTTTAGCTCTTGATCAGATGGGAGGATCTTATTTGGGGATTTGCGGAGCAGATGAGTAGATAAAAAAGCAACTGGGCGCCTGAAGGACTGCAACGTTTTATTCCATTCTTCAGTACGGGAGGTTCCTGGGTATGCACTGTCAAAGCCTGCCAGTGAGCCATCGTCCCCTTCTAGTATTCAACGAGAGTGACAACCTTTGACAACCTTAACCTGCGCCGTTCTCATCACGTGACATACTCTAACAGCTCCTAGAATTTATTGTTCCACAGAATGCGACTAGCTACAATCAAGAACAACGCGAGCCCATCATGTAGTGTACTACCGCGTGGAGGAACAGCACCTCTGATGTCAAGAAATATTTGACTTAATCTCTCTTCCGACGCGCTCTCCGCACCGCACCGTCCAGCTTCAAATCCCCCCGGCCTCATCCTGTCGCCAACTGCACCCTCCAATATGAGTATCCCTCCTCCTCCAACCGCTTCGGCCTCCTCGCCCACAAAACGACCCTCATCTCCCTTAGATGCAGAATCCACAGACCATCTTGCTACAAAACGACAACGTCGTGGATACCGCCACCACCACCGGCTCCAGACACGCATGAAACCAGACCTCCTGCCCGATTCCGCCTTCACCGATACAAGCACCGTTGATACCTTGCTCAAACTGTCCATTGGCATCCTTCTGCGGGACTGCGGCTTTACCCATGCCGACCCCGTTGCACTGGATAGCTTTAGAAGTGCAGTTGAGGAGTGTATGTATTTTTTGTATTTGATATTTTGCATTTATACGCAGCTTGTAAATAGGTAGAGCACGATATATTGACGTAAGGATCTAGACATCCTCCACATTCTCTCCTACACCCGCCAGTCCATGTCCTCCTGCCGTCGCATGCAACCTATCCCTCCCGATTTCGAACACGCCCTCCGTAATACAAATATCCATCTCGACGAGCTGCACGAATACCTAACACCCTCGCTTCGACAGCAACACAAACAAAAACCCTCCCTCCCCTCCCCACCCCCCTCATCCCCCACTGCAGCCGTAGACCTCCCCTTCCTCGGCCCAGAACTCAGCGGCACCGCGCACCGCCAGCTGAATGTGCATATCCCCAAACACTTCCCCAATTTCCCCGGCAGGCATACTTACCGGGCGACGCCGGTGTTTACGGCCAGAGAGACGGACCCGAGGAAGATTCGAGAGAAGGCTACGGAGGAAGGCCGCCTGGGGGAGGAGGCGTTGAGGAAGTTGGCCAGGGCCGGAAGGGAGGGATTGGTCGTTCGAGATGGCGCGGATGCGAATGGTGATGGCCATGGCGAGGGCGAGGGCGAGGGCGAGGGCGAGGGCAGGGGCGGGGCCGGAAAGAGATTGTGGGGGCGTCGGCTGGAGAATATGGAGAGTATGTTTGAAAAGACTGTTAGGGGGGTTGTAGGCGTTGGCGGCGGGGGAAGGGCAGCGAGTGATGCAGGTTTAGCGTTGCCATCATCGTTGAAGATTCCTGACAATGGCAAGCTCGAGTTGAGTCCGATTGTGAATTGTGATAAAGTCTATTGGCGGAAGCAGACGAGGGCGGATGTGCGCAAGACGGATCAGCGCATGGTCCATAGTAATAATGATAAAGGGGCCAGAGGGACGTTAGTTCAGCAGAGGGGTTGAGTGGACTTGATTTTTCTGTTTCGGCGCGGCTGCTTTCATCCACGGATTTGTTTTGTCGATTGTTCATATGCGATGCACGGTGTTCCAGTTGGGGTTGGCCTTGGCTTTTGGGAGTGGACATAGCAGATATTTAGAAGATCTTGCATGCCCTAATGGCGTCGTCGAGTATATCATCTCACATTTATTCGTAATCTCTTCCTTGCTGCAGTAATTTTAGGACCTTCATTTCGGTCCCTCTCCTGCTTCCTTTTTTTTCCCCTTCCCTATCCTCTCCCACGTCGTAGTCTCAACCGTAAGCCCACCCGCACACCTGCCGCAAAAACAGAAATCAGTCCAATCCTGATAAATATACTATACGAGTGTATGGGAAGTATATGTCATTCTCACCTCCGAAACAATCGAACCACACTCTCGCACTCAATCACACTGCCAGCCGCTCCCTGTGGCGGGCCCTTTTCCGGCGGATTACACGAGTACTGCACCATCTCCATCAGAGCGCATTGGGAGAGATTCACCGCAGGTGGTTTTCGGGCGGTTTCTTGGAAGTTTTTTGTGGTTGTTTGGACGGCGGTGGGAAGGGCGGAGGTGGGGAAGGGCTGGGTTAGGGAGGACATTGCGGAATGAATTGGCGGGATGGATCAAGAGGGTCGTTTGGGATGAGGTATCGACTGCAGCGTAAGATGTGTTATTGAAAGGCGAAATAAATAGTTAGTTGAAGTTGTTATAAAAGTTGGAGGTGATAAGAATTGGCAATTTGCGGAGTTCGGAGAAACCTCCACGAGTTGAGGCTTTGCCCTCTTTACATAAACCAAATAATCAACATTCTTCTCCGAATAACTCCCAACCACACCCAGTGTATAGCACCACACACATCAGGGGCATTGCTCGCGCGTGCATATGGAACAATGGAATGCGAGTGAGCTGGTTGCTTGGTGGAGGGGTGCCGAAGCATGAACGACGATGAGCCTCAGTATGAACGTGGACGCTGGCGGTGATCAAATCCGAGCTCATGCGGAGCGGTTGCTGAGCGAGGTGAAGGAAGAGAATTTGGCGGAGGTAAATATCCGATACCGATATATATATATGTTATGATATGACATGCTGATTGATATACCACAGTTCCTCCACACGCTGCACCACCTCCACTCCCCTCCACCGACGTCTCCCCAATATGCACCTCTGGGTATAAAGCCCCTCGACGACATACTCCGCATCTCCCACTCCTTATCACATACATCCACCACATACACACCCCGCCAGCCCGTTCTCGAAATCACCTCCCCGTCCTCCGCAGACGGCAAGACCCATCTGCTCTACTACATCACCGCCGTCGCTGTCCTACCAGGTACATACCGCAACGTCGCTCTTCCCGGCCGTAATAGCGCCATCGTATATCTCGATACCGATTGCCGGTTCGATGCCGTAAGACTGCGTGAGGTCGCGAAGGGGATTGTGCTGGAGAGGGCGGTGGAGCAGGGGATATCGTTGCCTGTGACTGGAAGCCATTACGAAGGTGGGAATGGAGACGGAGATGGAGATGACGATATTGATCAATTGCTGCATACCGCCCTTTCTCACGTTCATATCTTTCGCCCGCAATCTTCTGCGTCTCTCTTGGCTACGATACAGAGTATAGAACACTATCTGCTTCGTGGCACGGGCACGATAGAGGGGGAAGGGGAGGGGATGCATAAACATGCCTCGCATTCCCGTCCACTCCACTCCATCCTGCTCGATAGTGCCAGCGCATTTTACTGGCAGGATAGACGGGAGATGGAAGTTCTTAGCATTCCTGGCGTGCGCGAGGAGAGGGCGCGGTGGGCCCAGGTCCAGAATCAGAATCAGGACCACAATGATACGGAGACAAATACGGCCACCGTCCAATCTCTGCTCCCACGCCAAATCATCCACGCCCTCCGCTCCCTACAGCATACTTTCTCCTGTCCGCTCGTTTTCACCACGTGGGGGTTACTGCGGGCCAAGCCGCGCACATCCTACAGCACATCTCATGTGGTCCCTGCATCAACAACTTGTACTCCGCTGTACACATCCCATCGGCCTTCCATTCGGCCACACCTACCCAGACCGTGGGCCTCGTTCCCTACGTGTAGAGTTATTGTGCAGCGGGATGTTGTACGCCCGTTTGCGCCCTTTTTGACTCTGGAGGAAGCTAAGCGGGAGGCGCGAGAGAGGCAGAGAGTTGTGAAAAGGGGGAAAGTTGTAGGGTGGGTGGATGGGCATGGATTGGGTAGGGAGAGGGATGGGGAGATGGAGGCGATGGCAGAGAGACTGTTTGGTTTTTCGCTCACGGGCGGAGGAGGAATTAGATGGATCGATGAGGGCGAATATGGGAATGGGGATATGGAGGGGTAGAACGCGCTTTTATTAAATTAAATACCTTGTATAAACTACGAACCATAATATATGAAGATGAGTCTCACTCTACGAATAGAAAATACCTATGTACAGCACATTTCACCCCGCCACACCTATCCCTCCTTCTCCTTCTCCTTCTCCTCCTCCTCCTTCCCGCCCATAAACAACTCCCCGATTCTCTCCACAGTCGTATTCCCCCCCGAAAACACAACCCCAACATCCCACCCTTCCTTGCCCTCCCTCGCACACTCCTCCACCACCATCCGCCGAAACCCCTCATCGTAAAGACAAACCGCCAACCCCACCACCGCCGACGGCTCAACCACAACCTTCACCCTCTCCAGCACAAGCCGCATCGCATCCCGAATCTGCCCCTCGCTCACCGCATACACGCCCCGCACCTTCTCCGCGTCCGAAACAACCCCCCACCCCACCTCCCCAACCGGCGTGCGCAGCCCGTCCGCGATCGTCAGCGTCTTCACGCTCGTGATCCGCGCCCCCGCTGCCAGCCCGCGCCGGCAGTCGTCGCCGCCCTGGAACGACGGCTCCGCCCCGAACACGAGCGTCTTCGGCGTCCGCCTAGCGTAGTACGTCGCTACGCCGGCTGTGAGCCCCGCGCCGCCAAGCGGCGTGATCACCGCGTCCAGAACGCCGGGCCTGCCGTTCCTCGCGCCCTCGTTTGTCGTCTTGTCACTCCTACCGCCATGCACGCTCAGCCCCGCGCCGCCGTTCTCTACCAGCTCCCGCACCTGCTTCTCGAGCTCCAGGGCTACCGTGCCCTGGCCCAGGACTACGTCGGGGTGGTCATAGGGCGGGACGAGAATGGCGCCCGTCTCGGCGATGACGGTGGCGACGACGGCTTCGCGCTCATGGCTGGTGGAGCCGGAGAAGATCACCTTTGCGCCGTGGGCGCGGGTGCCCTCGATCTTGGACGGGGTGGAGATGGAGGGCATGACGATGTAGGCGGGGACGGAGAGGGTGGAGGCGGCGAGTGCGAGCGCCTGCGCGTGGTTTCCTGTTTTTGTGGATTGGGGGAAGAGCTTGGTTAGTTCCCGGTTGTGCTGGAGAGGTGTGTGTAGCATGCATGTTGAAGGAAAACGCCCTGCGATTTCTCAATTGCGGAGTAGAAATCCAAACGATGTATGTATAGTTATAGGACAGAAGTAAAGTATTTACCAGAACTATGCGTAACCACCCCGCGCCGCCTCACCTCCTCCTCCCCCAAAACCTGTACAGCGCGCAGTAGCGCATGGAACGCCCCCCGCGCCTTAAAGGCGCCTATCCGCTGCAGATTCTCGCATTTGAAGAAGAAATTTATTTTCGGCTGCGCGGGCGGCTGGCCCTCGAACGGCGTGCCAGCGAGCGCCTCGGGTGACTGTGGTGTGGATGCGATGCGGTTGAGGGTCTTACTGGTTAGGATTGGGGTTTCGTGGATGTAGGGCTTTATCCGGGCATGGGCGGCAATGACGTTAGAGGTGGTAAGGGGAAGCCAGTGGCTGGGATCGGTCATGGTTGACTTGGTGATTTTGTATTTTCAACAATTTTCTGGGCTTGGAGTGAGGGATTTAATTAATTGGGCAAGGTTAGAATTGAGGGGAGGGAAAGGTTAACAACTTCCACTAGATAGATATACACAAATCTCTCAAGAATTCTCAAGAATAAATGGTGAATACGAGGAAGGCGTGAAAGTTTACAACATGGAGGAATAAGTGCTCAAGCGATATACTGACTACAATACTATACGCTCCGCGAATTATGAGTCATCTAACAGTCGAGGGTTTGCACTGTAGACCTCCCATCATCAGCACAGTAAGAGTAAACAAAGACACGAGTGATCTAAGGGAAACATACATCGAGCGTGATAGGAATGGAATGGAATACAGAGAATAGCAAATAGAAATGCGAGACGGTCGTCGTCGCGAATAACCGGAGATATGAAGCGTAGTGTGGGAAGATTAGAATGTTATTGATTTTAAAGCAGAAAACGAAAAGGAAAAAGAAAAAGAAAAAGAAAAAGACGAATTGGCGGATAAGTGAAGCAATCTTGTGAGGTCTCAAGTCTTGTTTACCCCAAGTATCAAAACACATATGAAATGCAATCCAGAAGATACGACAGAAATACACCAGAGTTTTTTTATCGTTGCCCAGATAAACAAAAGACACACATCTATCCATAAGATTTTTTTACAACACGCCCTTTCGTTTGTTTATTTCTGGTTCTCCGGGCGGAGGGAACTGTAAAATAGATTAGCGACTGTCAAGAGTGAGAATAAAGTACTAAAACAAAATCACTAACCGGACGGCCTTTCCAGCTCGCCAGATCTCCAAATCGCGAATCTCCTGCATCTCCTTCTCGTACTTCTCCCGATAGTCCGGTTGCGAGTTATACTCCAGGCTGCGTTTTGTCTCCCGCCCATCTTTGACGCTGTCGTACAGCTCGTTGAACACGGGCTTCAGGGTGTCCTTGAACTTGCTGCTCCAGTCAATGGCACCGCGGCGTGCCGTCGTCGAACACGCTGCATACATCCAGTCCATGCCATTGGCGCCGATGAGCGGGTACAGGCTCTGCGTCGCCTCTTCAACGGTCTCGTTGAAGGCCTCGCTGGGGCTGTGGCCACGCTCGCGCAGGACTTCGTACTGGGCGAGGAACATGCCGTGGATACCGCCCATGAGGCACCCACGCTCGCCGTAGAGATCCGAGTAGACTTCCTTTTCGAAGGTAGTCTTGTACAGATAGCCGCTGCCGACGGCAACGCCAAGGGCGATTGCCTTCTCCTCGGCTTTGCCGGTGACGTCTTGGAAGACGGCGATGGAAGAGTTAATGCCACGGCCCTCGCGGAAGAGTGAACGGACAGTGCGGCCGGAGCCCTTGGGGGCGACAAGGATGACGTCCACGTCTTTGGGGACATCGACCTTGGTGAGGTCCTTGAAGACAGGGGAGAAGCCATGGGAGAAGTAGAGGGTCTGGATGATCGGTTAGAATGGGGGTCCAAAGAGAAATAGTGAAACAGAGAAATAAAAGAGTAATAAAAAAAAGTTGAGCTAATAGATATGTTTGTATACCTTTCCCTTGGTGATCAGGGGCTTGAGGGTGGGCCATGTCTCGCTCTGGGCGGCATCGCTGAGGAGGTTCATGACAATAGTGCCGCGTTTGATGGCATCAGAGACATCGAACAAGTTTTTGCCCGGCACCCAGCCGTCAGCGACGGCCTCCTTCCACGAAGCACCGTCCTTTCGCACGCCGACGATCACGTTGAGGCCATTGTCTCGCAGGTTGAGGCCCTGGCCGTGGCCCTGGGAGCCGTAGCCAATGAGGGCTAGGGTGTCATTTTTGAAGTATTCCTGGATACTGGTTAGAAAGGCAACCAACCGCCTCTAGGAGTACTTCAGCTACCGGTAGTTGGGACGTACAAGGAGTTTTTCGCGGGGCCAATCCGCGCGTTCTGGTAAGATGCCATCAGCAGGAATCGGAACATACAGAGTTGTTACAGCCGTTACAGCCGTTACAGCCCGCTATAGATCTTTCCATGCCTAATTGAACAGGAGAATGGAAAACACACGTAGACAGTCTCCTTGGTGCCAGCAAAGTCAATGGTCTTGACTCCCCGAGTCTGTTGGGCCGAGAGAGCAGTCCAGAGAACAGATCTAACAGCAGCTACGGCAGCGGGACGGGAGGAGGCGGAGGCAGCGGCGGAGACAAACGAACGGCGAGGGATGCTGGAGGCAGAGGATAGGGATCGGGTGGCAGGGCCACGGAGAGCCTTAGCAACGGGTCTGGTAGACATTTCGGACGGGAGAGAGTTGTGAAGCAATGGAGGCGATGGAGGCAATCGAGGCAATCGAGGAGGGAGAGAAGTGGGAGAGTACAGAAGCGGGAGAAATGGGATTGAATTGAAGGATTCCGGATGGTTTTTCTCTGTCTCCTTTCTGTTTTGCATCTGGCGGACAGCTGGCGGAAGAGGAAAACAAAAAAAAAAAAAAAAACAAAAAAAAAAAAAAAGCTGAGGTTTGACTCAAAAAGTCAAGAAACTTCCGAATCGGGGAATTCTGGTATTCTGCCGACCATATCTGCCGCATTGGGCTCACCGCCTGGGCAGCTTCCCCCGATGTCGGCGATGACACATGCTGGTTAGTCAGTAGATTTTCAGTAGATTTTTGTTGGAGTTTTAGTGATCTAAAGTTGACTTTTTCTGTGGAACAACTTATCTATAACGACATATCTGTTACTCACCGGTTAGCTATGAGTTATTGATGGCGGCGGCGGCGAGAATAATAACAACATTTCCTCCGCTGACGTGATTTGATTTCTGTGAATATGTAGACCGCATACGGCGGCGGCGGCGGCCGGGGGGGGAAATCAAAGCTATGCCAGTGTTATTGTTCACTCCTCTCAGTCCTCAGCATGCCTCTCTGCCTCTGGGACTTCAAGTTTCTCAAAGTACGTGGAGATAAGGAAAAAGAAAGAAACATGGATTGTGAGTCTTCATAGGCTGGGCTTACTACATCGTACTCCGTACTCCGTGTAACATCGGGGGAGAGGCAGACGATCTGATCTACAGCTGCTGCATTATGTGCAGTGACATATTTTATATAGAGTAACCTACTACTAGTATGTATTAACTACGGAGTACTCCGTACTAGTGGCAGCAATAAGCATAGTGACCGTGATTCTTCAGACAAAGAATGAATCCTGACGGATGCTGCCGCCGCTGCCGCCACTACCGCTCTCCTCAGCGAAGGCCTGTCCGCAGCGGGCAAAAGGTCTGGCTCGTCCGGTTGGATATCAGATATCAGCATTCGCTTTAGCCCCAAGCCATTGTGATCTCGCCCGGGGATCCTGCAGGAAGCCGGGGGTCAAAGGCCCTTCAATTTTGAGTCGGTGGAGTTGCGTGCTTGCGCAGCAGCATATGCAGTACAGATTGTTTTTTTGTTATGATTATTGAGTTTCGCGTAGAATAAATCGTTCAAGTTAGCCTCCTAACTTACCCATCTTCGGGCCCCTCGCCTCCCCCGGCGCTGGGTCAGTTCGCCAAAGCCAAAGCCTGTTGTCCTGTTGTTAGAGTTCGCTGGCGCTGGCCTGGCTTTCCCCCCGCTGCACACCGTTCCAGGCTCGTTGGATCTTCTTGATCTTTGATGTCGTCAGTGGGGAAAGCAAACCACAAAGCATCCGCCCGCGAGGATATTTTCTCTGCTGGCTCGACCGTACCGATTTGTTCATGAGTCCTTGAGAGTTGCTGCTCTCCAATCCCACCACAATGGAGACGCTAAACAAGGCCCCTTTCGTCCCAGCATTAGCACCGGGGGGGGGATGAAGAAAAGCAGAAGGACAAAGTTGTGAGAGACTGAATAAAATCCGACAGGTCCAAATCCGTGAGACCTGTGTTGCGTGGTTCTTCGGTTTTTTTTTTTTTTTTTATTTTTTTTATTTATTTATTTTTTTATTTTTTTATTTTTTTTTCGCAGAGCTATTTACAACCGCCGCCGCAGCGGAAACTGTTGATAATTAAATAAATAGCCTGGCCGGAGCTATTTTACGTATTTTATTTATTTACCTATCCATCTCTTCATCTCGTAGGCCTGGTTGTGGTTTTCTTTCTCTTTCGTTCCGTCTTCGTCGTCGTGCAGCTCGCTATCCTCGCTCGATTATACACAATCCATTCATCCAGGAAATATAAATACCGTCAACCACTGCCCCAACATATTGCTCCTTAATGATATAGCGACACCTGCCTGGGCGACTCACCAACCATGACTACGAGTTGACGCCCTGCCGTCCCGGACTCAAAATCACAGAGAGAGAGAGACAGAGAGTCAGAGAGAGTCAGAGAACGAACATAACCCCCAGTAATACTATTCATTACTCCCCCGCATCACCACGCAAGAAGACTCTGCAGCATGTTTCCAGCCAATCTTCTGTCTCAGAGTCTGCCCAATGTACCCTGCCGAAAAGCGCTGTTGGTCCTTGACCTCCAGAACGACTTCGTCAAGCCTGATGGAGCTCTGTTTGTGCGCAATGTGCCCGAATTCCTCGATACAGTCGCCGCGCTAGCCCAGCGCTTCCGTGAGACTGGTGATGTTGTCTGGGTGCAGACTCAGTTCGAGCACCGCCGCCCTATCTTCAGCTCCGAGAGTGGCGGCGAGGTGATCGTCGTCGACAAGCTGCTTGCTTCGGGGAATAATAATGATGATGGTGACGATGATGATGGTGATGATGATGATAATAATGATAATGATAATGGTAATGATAATGATAATGATAATACTACCAGCAAGAGCGCCAATGACAAGGACAAGGGCGCGAACATTCGCAGCCATCTGAGCAGTCACAGTGCACGTCACCTCAGCGAAAATACAGGCAATACGAATTCCAGCTCCAATGGTGGGGCTAAGGATGGAAGCGGGCGGCTCAACTCCTCCCAGCGAAGACAGAAGCGTATCAGTGGTGGAGAATCGCGCCGAGAACAATTCTCTGTCTACTCAGATGATCCGGAGGCGTTTTTGTCCGTATTGCCCAAGGGTGATGGGCCGCGGCGCTGCTGCCTGCAGAAGACTGTCGGTTGCCAGTTCCCCGCGCCTATCCTCTCCGCCATCGACCACGAAAGAGATACCATTCTCGTGAAGTCTGACTACTCGGCATTCCAATCAGAAAGCTTGCTGCTCTCCTTCCGCACCCAGTTTGTCAGAGAACTCTACATCTGCGGCTCGTTGTCGAACGTTTCTGTCTACGCTACTGCCTTGGATGCTGTTTCCCATGGCCTGGACGTTATCCTAGTTGAAGACTGTCTTGGATTCCGCAGCTTTGCCCGCCACGAAGAAGCTATGAGACGCATGGCGGATATGATGGGCGCAAACGGCATTACAAGCAAGGAGCTGGCGGAGGAACAGGACTGGGAGGAAGCCGCTATCCCCAGCTCGGAGTGGCCCGAGCAATCGGCTGCCTCCACTCCCGTTGGAATCGAGGATGATATGGGTGTTCTCGCTGTCAAATCGCCGCCTAAACAACCCTTCCCGCAAAAATCAGATGATGCGCCTCTTGATGTTGAGGATCAGGAGCCTGAAGGCGACGAGCTCGCCGATGATCTGCTGGGACCATCTCTACGTAGTACCGCCGCACCGCAACCACGGGAAGCGCCACTGACGTCTGCTTCCGCTGCCGCCACCACTCCCTCTAGCGACCTCAAGGGTAAATCTAATCGCGCGCGGATGAGGAAACCTCGACGGACAGTTTCACGAGATGACACAAGCCAAGCCGAGAGGACACAATCCCAGAGACAGTCGGTGGACATGCAGCAACCGTGTGGCGCGACCAGTGGAACCCGCCGTTCTAGGAAGAACAAACACAATCAAACCGATCTCGGCCCTGATGATAGTATTGGGGAGGGCGACTCCCGAATTATCTACGATCTAGCTCTACCTCCCAAGTCTTTCCAGCTGCTACGCGAGGAGGTCAACTGGCAAAAGATGTATCATTTGTCAGGACAAGTCCCACGGTTAGTTGCCGTCCAGGGCGCAGTTCAGCCAGACAATTCCGTACCTATCTACCGTCACCCAGCAGACGAGTCCCCGCCGCTCTTCCCTTTCTCCAAAATCGTGAATAACGTGCGCCATGTCGTTGAGAAACATATTGGCCACCCACTAAACCATGTTCTAATCCAGCTGTATCGGGATGGTCAGGATAGGATATCTGAGCATTCCGACAAAACATTGGACATTGTCCGGGGTTCATATATCTGCAACGTCAGCTTTGGTGCGCAGAGGACAATGACCTTACGAACTAAATCATCAGCTGCGAAAGCTGCTGCGTCAACTGGGGATACATCGGATGCGGCAGATGGCGGCGATGAAGAAACTCCCAAAGAAAGCTCGACGGGACGCCAAACTCAGAGAATCCCACTGACACATAATTCTCTGTTCATTCTCGGTGAGAAAACAAACATGCGCTGGCTGCACGCCATCCGTGCCGATAAACGACCAGAGTCGGAAAAGTCACCTGAAGAGCTCGCTTATGGCGGTCAGCGCATCTCCCTCACGTTTCGCCATATCGGTACCTTCATCCATCCAGAATCAGACACCATCTGGGGCCAGGGCGCCATATCCAAGACTAAACAAACAGCGGGCAAGGTCATCCACGGCGACTGCACCGAAACAACACAGATGATCAGAGCCTTTGGTCAAGAAAACCAACAGTCCGACTTCAGCTGGGAGGCCAATTATGGCCAAGGCTTCAACGTAGTCAACTTCGTCACAACCTCCGCTGGCAAATTGAGACTGAGCGGTGACGATGTCGCAGATCTCCGCGTCCAGATCTGCTTTGCGGAGTATGGCGTGCGGTATGACATAGTCACCATCGATGACTTCCCCGCTGCGCTGAAGGGCACGCTCTCCCTCCCGCACAAGAGTGGGAATCTAGAACCTTGCCCCGTGTACATGGACGTGGACGGTTCTACATGCTTCACGGGCGACGATTGTATACTCCTGCACGTCGCGAAGCAGAAGGGACTTATTGATCATGAACGATCATCACAGCTACAGTCACAACCGCAAGCACAACCCAAAGGTCCAACTTCAATCCCGCATCAGCGGCGGCAGCAGCGAGCACAACCACAACAACCGACCCTCGCGTCCACCCTGCACGAGACAGACGATCTCCTCCGCTCCTGGCGCCGGTTCCAGAAACTGAAGACCCCGCACGGCGTGCTGCAGAAGATGGACGTGTTCGAGGCTATGCTGCGTCGCAAGCCGTATCTCGCTGGCCAGCTTTTTGGCATCGAGGACTGTGCGCTGTGGCCCGTCGTGCGCGATATCATTCGCGAGGTCGGCCATCTGGACGAGATGCGCTTTCCGTCCTTGATAGTCTATTATAATAAGGTTGGGAAGAGGGTGTGTGTGCGGACGGCGTTGGAGGAGCTGGAGGGTGCGGCGGCGGCGCGGGGGTAAACTGGCGGGTGAAGTTGAAGTTGGGATTGGAATTGACGGTTCGAATGAGAGATCATTTTTGAGAGTCAAGTGGATTTTCTTCTATTATGAGTTGCCTGGAGTTTTTATCTTATTTCATTTTCTGATGATTTTTTTTTTTTTTTTTTTTTTTTAAATCTCCGTTGAGGGTTCATTCATACCTCAACACATGCGTCAAAACCATGTTGAGATTTCCGAGTTGGGCTTCTAAAAGAATTTGGTTTTGCTTTTTGCTTTTTTATTTTGTCTTATTTTCTTTTTCTCTATTTTCTACTTTGGCATTCCCCCGGCGCACAGGAAATTGGAACGATAGCTAGTCATTTGCATCTGCTAATTCCATCCACATCGAAATGATTGAAATGATTCTCCTTTATTTTCCGCGTGCCATCCCCCTATCATTCCGACACAGTGCATTTTACCAGCCACTTCATAAGCAATAGTATCTACGTGGTCATCAATGTGAGCTATTGGCCCCACATATATTTGTTTTAGGAACCATGCGTAGAGCCACATATTCGTGTACTCCGTACGGAGTATGCAGAAGTTAATTAAATCGAACATACGGCCTATGGAATTGGGGTCCTAGTACTATCTAACAATATTCGGACATGACTATATACATACATAGATAGTTATATGTGAGTCAAAAGACTGCATTGAGAGTTCGGTATATGTGTACACGCGACCGAGCTGAGAATCAGGACGAGTTATTTACCAAGTTGCTGTCCGTTTGTATGCATGCGAATGCCGCATGGTGGCCTGTCGGCAGTAAATAAATTGGCCCAACCCGGGCAGCCAGGGTGTATATATATATATATATATGTGTGTGTGTGTGTGTGTGCTTGCCTATTTATATAAATGGGACGAAAAAAAAGATAACAAAATTCGTAGCCATTTCCGCGAGTGAACCCGACCTCACTCTCACAGCTTCTCAAAAGTCGGCCTTCGCCTTTCAATTCCGGAGAGAAGAGCACGCTGGATATCAGTTGTCTGGAGTGCGGCGCTGTTCCAAACACCTGTGTATCGGAGGCCTGGTTGAAGAATATTTGTTGTTAGAGATTTCAATTTCCATGCCATCATGTGTTTCAACAGCAAGCAACGGGTCGCAGAACGAGAGAGCATATATTATATATATATATATATATATACTAGTACTCACCATCCTGCACGCTATGATCCCGCGACCAATTCAGCACCTCCTTCGTCCCTTGTACTGCCACTGGGCTCTTCGCCGCCATCGCAGCCGCCATCTCCAACCCAGCCTGGACAGCCGCCTCCTTTGTCGCGAACACTGCATTCACAAACCCCACCCGCCTCGCCTCCTCTGCTCCAAATATCCGCGCCGTCATACATACCTCCTTGACCCACCCGAACGACCCGACAATCTTGCCCAGCCGTGACAGCGTCCCTATGTCTGCTGCGAGGCCGATATCCACCTCCTTCACGCAGATCTGGGAGTCTGCCGAGCACAGACGCACGTCCGCGGCGCAGGCCAGGTCCACGGCGAGCCCGTACGAGATGCCGTGCAGGATTATGATGACGGGCTTCTCGCAGCGTTCGAGGGCGGTGGCGCAGTCCTGGAAGTCGGCGATGTAGCGGCGGAGTTTGGCGGCGGTGCGGGCTGGGTCGGAGGAGGTTTTGCCCGGAGCACTGAGGCTCTCCGAGGCGGCTTTTACGTCTAGGCCGGCGGTGAAGGCGGGACCTGAGCCGGTGAAGATGATCGAGCGAATGGAGGGCGAGACGGAGAGGGTGTCTAGGATTGTGCGGAGTTCCTGCCACATGCTGGGTCGGGTTTAGGTTAATTTAGGTTGGATCTGGGGGAGGGGAAGAAGAGGGAGGGGAGATATACGGCTCAAAATAGGCGTTCATCTTCTTCGGCCTGTTGGTTTCGATGTGGGCGACATATTCCTGTGGAATAGTGACGTTGAAGTATGTGAATGATGGTAAGTTGGCAGCCATGATGAAGCGTATCTACTACTAAATAGTAGTTAGCACTGGACAAGGTGGGGCATAGTTGTCTATTCGATATTCGAGTATTATTACATGAAGGATATGTTATCGCGGAGAGTGTATCGTTGTATAGAAGCGCGAGAGAGATATGAAACGGACTCGATGGGGCCGAGAAAATTGGATTTTTATAGACAGACATCGTAGCTCCTATATACACCATTGCACATGGTCTTAAGAGTTATCCCCGCCGAAGTTCGGATAAGCCAACCAGATGCCGAAAGCAAGATGATGACTTCAAGTTTGGGTTTATATATCGGATTGAATTCGCTAGTTTATTCGGTATCTTCGCCGATAAAAGCAATCGAACAGGCCATTCGCATTTCCAGCACTTTCTTCAATGAAAAGTACTATCTATCTATCCGTAATTCAAGCTGAACTGTATGTAGCGCCTCAAGACAATGAGCCGAGGCAGCGGATAGTTAGTTAACTAGCCGTTAACTAACTACCCTAATGCTAATGATTACTTCACTACGGAGTAGTTCGTCTCTCAACGTCGCTGAAGGAGAACAAACAACTAGCCACCATTTTTTTGCTGATGGCGTGCGATTGCTCAGTAGGCAATTTAACTCGATTACTTTAAACAGGCTCTTCTTTCATATTTCGCGTCTGTGGTGAATGCTCACTCCATTCGCGTTCTCCCCAGGAATGAATATACTCGGCGTTATGATATTTGCGAAAGATGAGAGGTGTTGTTAATAGCTGGCCGCATTGGTTGGCCCACAGAAGTTCTTTAAGCTTACTTTCAGCGGCTCTATGATCCAGTCATGCACTGCTTCCTGGAAGGCGTCATTTGAGAACCTTGCTTCTTTGCCGTCAAACGGACATTCGATGCAACGGCGGACAGCTTCACTGTAATCATATCCAGCTTCATCCTCGACACCTTCCAACAGCCGTTTGATTGTAAAAGTATCAACGAGATCTTGCATTCCGCCACTGTCCTCGACGTCCTTGTCTGTCCTCAAACGGCTCAAGGGCCTTCCAAACGCCAGTTCGATTAGCACGATGCCGAGGGCGAAGAGTGCTTTATTGCGGATCAAAGGTGGAAACTTTGTGCGATTCTGCTGTTTCATTGGCGCCTTACTGGATTGTGAGAAGACTGTTGATAGATATGCATGTTCTGGCATTGATGAGGAAGGATTGACGAGAAAATGAATGTCGTCGGTGCCCCAGGATTGCTTGAGCCAGGGAGTGTCATCGAATTGCAGAACACTCGTCGAAACGGCAACGGCTAATTTGAACCGTTCTTTGCGCGTCCAAGGTTTGAGCTGCGGATCGGGTGACGGAACATGGCTGTCTGGTTTTATTTTCTGCGAAGTAGATGTGCTTGAGAGATAAATCTGAATGGCATCACGAAGCGATATAGCTTCCCAGTCAGTATTGGATGGAACTAGATGGAGCCCGTGTAGTCCGCTGCATTGGTCCTGGAGATACCCAATACAGAACTCACGGTCGGAGCTCGGGGATTTTTGCGAAACTGAGCTGGAGAGTGTAGCGCACAGATCTGATATCTTTGCAAGCCCTGATGGATCGTTGATGGGGTTTAAGGGCGGCGAAGGTGGTTTGCCTTCCACTACTGGTGAAGCTAGAGTTGTTGCTCTCGAGAGTGACGAAGATGAAGAAGTTGGCGGTGAAGGTGATTCCGCTCGTGCGGGCAATGTAAACGACACTGTCTTCTTCGGCTTCAGCCAAGTTCTAATCGTTAGAGGGCGTTAGAAATATATCCGACCATCTAGAATTTTGGTGTTGTGCTTGTCACGTACAATTTCTTACTGGGTTTCGTTGAGGACATGCACGATGTCGAGACAGGTCTCTTGGGTAACTTTGGCTCCTGGACTACTAGTTGCTGTATATATGCCTGTTGCCATTGCCATTTTGTGGTAACATTGTTTTGGTCTTCCATGGCCTGGAATATCATTTGGAGTTTTATATCGGACTGCAATGCCATATGGTTGGCCATAAGCGTTGGCAAATGTAAATTTGCAATATGGCCATCCTTACAGCAGCATCCCCAGGCTTGGCTTAAGACGTCGTATAAATTGATACAGTGTTGACGTATCCGTCCGTAGCCTGAAGATGTCGTTCGTCTCTTGTGAACTTCTAATCGTTGTCGTTGCTCGAATAAAGCCGCCAGCATGTTATTGTTCTTGCTGATGCGATCTAGTAGCTCTTCACGTTTGTGCTTTGAGAGTGTGAAGGCGAGTCGGCGAGGGCGTCTACATTTTGAACCTGGACTTTTCTTTCGGGCTATTAGCGAATCTCTCTAATTCCGATGGGTGGTCGACAGAGTCCCGCAAAAATAAAATGAAGATAGAACAAATATGACCTTGAAAACTACCAACCTCTAATAACACTCCCTATGGTGCACGCCAACGAAGGCCAGAGATAAGAGCGAAATATCTCTCACCTTATATCGATTGAGAATCTCCTTCATTTCCTCTAGCGCATTATTCATATCAACAATGGTCGCAATATAGGGATCGTATGAACGGCCAAGCATTCCCCGCAGTGATTCTTGATATTTCGCCCATTCTGCACCCGCGGGATCAACACCAGCAAGCAGCGTTTCTATCTCGGACGTCGAGGCATTTGTGCATGCACGAAATAGACTATCGCATGTGTTGAGAAACCGAGTCTGCTCAGTCTCCAATAGCTGTTTTAGATGCATCAACTGACGCTGATGTCGAGCCCATCCCTGGATTGTGTGTACGCCATTCATGTAACCATCAGCAAGATGGATGATGAGGGGAAACGCCCCGAGAACGATACCAGCAATCTCAAGACCGCTCATTTTTTGGGGGACATGCACGCAATTTGGTTGTTCCCCCGAGTAAACAGCTTGTCAGAACTCGAGAACAATGGGAAACTCGTTGTAAGTAGCACCGTTCTGCGAATCACATAAGGAGGATAAACGAACTCGGGAAAAGAGGTGAAAATGACATTTTCATCTATGAATATAACGACGGGGAACACTCAAAATCTCTTTTTTATTTAACAAATGTGGCTGAGCCCTTTGCGATCAACCTTGCAAAGGAAGCCTTGAGGAAGCCGTTTTGTTCAAACGGGTTCAGTCAAACTGAGAGCGCTGCATTAAGCGCCCAGCCTTGCCAGCTTGTCGCCCAAACGGCCCGTTTTCCCGCAAGACAGGGCATGATTGGGTCTCTATGCATCTGTACAGTATAAGCGACGCTGAGCAATTGTCTGCGTTGGCCGAAGAGCTTCCGGTAATGATTCTGATTCAGCCGCGCCATGTAAATAATGGCGGTAAATTTCTTAAATATCACATCCTGAGGTAGTCAGCGATCCCCGAGGCTCATTGTTTCAAAGTATGTGGCAGAGGACTGCGGGGGTGAATGCGATCTTAGCATGTCCTCTACGCTATCCACAGACTCATCGCTTGTCTGTATTTGTTCGAAAGGGTCTGCTCCAGATGCGACAAGATAATCGCGGCACAGCACGATCCGCTCACGTTCTATTATGGCGACGATGATGAATCAACGGGTATCCCGACTTTGTTTGAGCAATATGCCTCTTCACTAGAGAAGTTTCTGCCAGTTTTGCAAGATGAACATGGTCGCCTGCGAGTGTGGACGGGCAATATAGGAGCACATAAGAGCAGGAGGTCGTCGCTGGACTATCGCCTCCGGGACGCTTCCCAAGTCAGAGGCCAGGTTGCTTCGCTTCTTGACGTCTTAGAGGTGTCCTTAAGTGAAGGTAAGGGTTGCTTGTTTATTTTGTCGTTTCATGCTGCTTTTTCATTGTTTTGGTTGCTGTTCCTCGAAATGTAAGCTCTAAAGGTTTGTCTCTTAACAAGATTTTGGATCAAGTCAGCGTGGTTTTTCTTGAAACTTTTATCTTGACCTTCCACATCATGATGTTCCAAATTGCTTGAATTCCATTTGTTAATAATAAATATTTGCCTAGTAAAACTCTGCTAAAATATCAATACCTCACCTTAGTACTCGCCATTGTATCTGGAGAAAGGCCCGTTGAGGAGGAAGACACTGAAGAATGGTCCGACGATGACTATTTGGACGATGAATCCATCCCGTCTGAAGAGGGACTCCCTCAGCCAGCAGAGCTGTTCCAGCTGCTAGAGGACATCCAGGTCGTTATCAAGTGCCTCTACAAACTGTCCATGGTCATTCGCCATCCCGCCCAACACGACCGGATAAAAACCAATGTTGACCTCTCCCACTTCACGCAATTTGACATTCAGCATGTCGAACAGAAATTCCCTAATGCAGAACGCTGGCTCGTCCAGCGGCTGGGTAAAGCCATAACGAAACGACGGGAATATTTGAAGGGTCGTGAACTGCACCATGAAAAACTTAATCATGGGGCTGATGCGACTGCCGCAGCTCTGTTTGAGGATGACTCTCACACAGAAGCTGCACAAAGAACCCTACTGTCAGAAACCACGGCTACAACCTTCGATTACGGCCTGGTTGCTGCCCTACATACTGCAGCTGGAGAGACAGACGCTGATCCCGCCCCATCGGAAACTTCCTATGCATCAACAGTCGGTGACGATACAAAACTGCATTTTCCCCCGATTCCGGAGGAAGCAGAGCATAATCCTGATGGGTTTGAATGCCCTTACTGTTATTACCTTGTATCCATCCGTGGGCCTTTGTCCTGGGCACGGCACATCTTTGATGACCTGCAGCCATACATCTGCACTTTCCGTGACTGCCCAACGCCTCACCAAACGTACAGCCGCAGGCGTACTTGGTTCAACCATGAGAAAACAGCGCATCGAGCCGCAGGATTTCCACACAGTGATTCCCGCTTCGTCCCTTTGCAAAGCTCCGGGCCCGTGGATAGCTTATCTGCTGTTGACTGCCCTTTATGTGGAGTGAGAATACCGAATCTTCATCATCTCGAACGTCACCTAGCACGCCATCTTGAACAACTCGCTCTCTTCGCCTTACCCCACGATTTTCGGGACGACGATGACCAGCGAGATTCTCCAGAGAGTGGTGACGATAACCCATCTTCTGATAGCCTTGAAGACGGGTCAGAAGGTGAAATGGAAGAATACCATGCTGCCATGCCGAGGCCCGAAGAGACAGACGTGGATGTTGACTCGCCCCTTTCGAGCCTTCTAGAGGAATATAAAGAACCCACGCCTGAATCCAACATTGAATCATATTCGAGCACCATGGGACAGGATCCCCAAACGCCCATGTCTGCTCTGACAGACACTTACAAAGAGGTCAACCATGGACCAGATGCTCTTCCAGATCAGTCATCTCACGCCACACAAGATGCGACTTCGGCAGGGAAATCTACTAAAGTTACTACTAAAGTTAGCCCTGAGGAAGAGTGTAAGTAATTAATTTCTAACCTTTCTAGCATACGAAGTTTGAATTTCTCCTTTACCTGAGAAACCTGGGCGTTGGGATTGGAGAGAGGCAAGCAACTGACATCAGGTGAAATCCGCAGCAATCCAGAATCGACTTTCGAGCATCCAACGAAGGATCGACGAGCTGTCTAGAAATCAAGAAGAACGCAAGAAATATTTTAACCCAAATCCCAGACATGACAAGACCTCCAAGGCTTTCTCCCCAAAAGATCCGCCTTCTGTATAAATCGAGCCCTATCTGTTTCCAGAATCAAGTTGAGGACGATACAATATCTCCCTTTGGGTTAGTGGCGATATGGAATGGATAGGTTAGTAGTCTTTGGATGAAATCCTGTATCGTGGAGGACTTGGATGCGTGAAGAATTGTCTTTGTCTTTGTTTCTTTTCTTTTTTTTTTGCCTTAAACAAATTTCCCACAAATAGTCTACTCATAATTTATAAACCGCCACGATATGCCGTTGGTTCTACTGCGAGGACACTCGATCGAGTTTTTCAGGACAGTCGTGGTAAACTCCCAAGAGAAAGGAACACGCTACCTGATGGTCTTTTTTATTCTAGTTTATTTCATCTAAGCACTAGACAATATAAACATACATACATAAATCAGATCACAATTACCTTTCATACAAGTGCATTAGGGATGCTGAATGGGTGCGTTCGTGTGTGGGTGATTGTTGTGAGTCGCGAACTCATAAATGGACCATAAAAGCGGTTGATATTACAATTCCTCTCATACGGCTTCCTTCCTTCGTTTCTTCATGACCCTCGGGACTACCCCTTTGCCTTCTACCCCGGTACTACAGCCCCGAGCCTCACAAATCTCCTCCCACGCGTCTTCAAAAGCCGTCTTCCTCCGTCCAATCTGGCCCTCATAAAAGTTGAGGGCGCGTACTACTTCCATCGCCCCTGTGCCCAGGGACACACTCTTCCCCACAATAATACACTCCGACACTCCCTCGATAAGATCAGTCCTCCCGGCCCCGCCCGCATCGAACAGATGGTCCGCTGTCTTCTCAAAACTAGCGAGTTGTAGCACGGAATCGCGCATCTTGGCGAGGCCAAACCGGGTTATCCCCAAAACCTCACCCTTGTATGTCATGACGTCCGCAAGCAACTGCATGTGTCTTGGGTCAATGGCCATGTCTTTCATAACCTCGCCAATCTCGTCGACGATGGTCGTTCTCGCGGCTTCGATGCCGAGCACGGCACGTGTTTCCATGATGTTGTTTGTGCGTGTGTGGCGACCGTTGATACCGTCGGTGGTCATGCAGTCACGCAGACCGTAACCTTCCACAAGCAGGGTGTTGGTTGTGTTTGTTTCGTCTGTGCGTATGATGGCTCGCGCACATTGGGAATGGCCGATAACCTGAATGTTGGGAATGAGCCGTTTGAGATGTTTAAGGCGGATATACGGGTCAGCACCGGTAGCAGCTTCTTCAGCTTTGGAGAGAGCGGTTCGGGCAGTTTGTTGATCGACGAAAATGTGAATGTGTGAGCCGAAGGAACGAAATTTTAGATCTGCAGATTTGAATCGCTTGTGTTTTTTAATGGCCATAAGGATATCTTGGAGGGTTAGTTCGAGTTGTAGGTTTTGAATGGTGGAAAAGTCGATTTTAATATTGATGTACGCTTCATTTCCGGTCCAATCTTCCTCGATATAATAAATGATATCTCGGACAAAGGTCTTTTCCACTCGGCCCTTTACAATCTGCGCTGCGCGAAGGTCTTGCTTATTGACAAGCTCACAGGTGATAACTGGTGTACTGATTTCCTTGGAAGCATTGATAATCTCTTTGATACGCGGTACACCTTGAGTTATACTCATACCAGCAACGCCAGCGAAATGGAAAGTTTTCAATGTCATCTGCGTCCCCGGTTCTCCAATGGACTGTGCACCGACTGCACCCACTGCATGACCTGGTTCAACTTGAGCTCTCTTATACTTGGTTAAGCAGGCGGTGATGAATGAAGTGAGAGCTCTGGTTGACACTTTTGCGGTATGAATTACGCCCTTTCCCCGCTGTTTAGTCCCGCTATCAATGGACCTCAATTTTTCAGCTTTCGCACATACATAATCCTCAATGGACTGGAGAAAATCTCTGGCGCTTTCCAGCTGATCTATGCCGTGATCACTTCTGTCATTATACTCTAACTTCTTGCCTGACAGGTCAAATCTTGCAAGCTTGGCCCGCTCAGGAGCGAGTAAGTTTTGACACAAAGTTATTATCTCATCCGGAAGAAGGCCTTTGTCGGAGTTATCAAAGGTTGTCACCTCAGCATGGGTAAACGTGCGATCAAAGTGGACTGGTTTAGCTCGGCCCTCCATATCGACAGGGTCCAATTTATCGTCACCATACTGGAACTGCACAATATTTGAAGACGAATTCCTTACGGTATCATCGTACCGCGTTGATAGGTCTTCAAGAGATTTCATCAACCTACGGGACATGTAACCAGTTTCCGCAGTCTTAACTGCTGTATCGACGAGACCTTCTCTTCCGGAAATGGCGTGGAAAAGAAATTCCGTTGGTGTCAACCCCGAAAAGAAACTGTTCCGCACGAAACCTTTCGCGGGAGGTTGGCGAGCATACTTGGGGAAATGAGGTAACGTTCGATCTTGAAAGCCGTCCTGAACCCGTTGATTCCCTATAATTTGTTGACCGACAAGGGCAACCATCTGAGCGACGTTAATATCCGAACCCTTGGACCCTGAAGTGGCCATGATCAGGGGAGAGTTCCATCTACTCAGTTCCGCGATACAGATCTCTCCGGCTTGCTGCCGAACTTTACTGAGTAAACCGGATATCGCATTTTCCATTGTCATCTGCTCGTCGCAGCCTGGAGCCTTCTCAAGCTTCCCGTTTTTAAATAGTTGAATAACTTCATCACACTGCGCGTAAGCATGTTCTACTATATGGTGTTTCTCCTCTAAAAGTTTTTCACCAGGGTATACGTCTGTTATACCGATCGAGAAACCTAGGTTGGTGAGCCATCTAGCGGACAGCCTTGAGAGCCGGTTCATGCCTTCAGATGCGACATCAGGGCCGAAATCTCGAAGCATAACATAAAATACCGAGTCTTTCTTGCCGGATCCGATGGTAGACTTATCCATGACACCACACATGATTTCGGAGTTACGAATGCAAAGCCATCCATCATTAGCATCCAAGTCACGAGGAGTTCCTTTCGGCGCTTTGAATTCTCGACATGCTGCGTCTAAATTAATTAAAACCGGAGATTGCTTATTGGGTCGCATCAACACGTTGAAGACTTGTTTCCCTGTCCACAATATTTGGGGTTTTAGTACTGAGGGCGGCGGAAGGTCAAAACGGGTATCGGATTCAAGCATGTAGAGGCAGATGTGTGTGAAAGTTTTGCGATCATAGAAAACATCTTTACTACTCAGCAAGTAAGCAGCAGTGATGAAATCCTGAATAGCGGAAATGATGGGTTCGCCGTTTTTTGGTGTAGCCAGATTATGTTTAACTCCCATCAATTCCATCGCTTCGGCCCTCGCTTCTTCCGTTTGAGGGACATGTAGATTCATTTCATCGCCATCAAAATCGGCATTGTATGGGTTACATACACACTCATTCAGACGGAATGTTCGGTGAGGCCTAACCTTGGCAAAATGGGAAAGAATACTGAGTTTGTGGAGGGACGGTTGTCGGTTGAAGAGAACGATGTCTCCATCTTCAATATGCCGCTCAACAATATCCCCTTCCTCCAACTCGTTCGCAACCAGGTTGGGGTTACCAAATTTCAAGTTCATTTTAAAATTCTGACTTTTCTTTAAGACGTAATTTGCTCCCGGCCAAGTCTTTGTGCCATTTCGAATGCGTTGACGGAGTTTTTCTTTATTATATCTTGTCACCTGTTCGGGATAAGTCATGTTCATGGCAACAAGCTGAGGAACAGCAACCTCGTTGACACGCAGATTCGGGTCTGGAGAAATAACGGTTCTACCAGAGAAATCCACTCGTTTCCCTGAAAGATTTCCACGGAATCGCCCCTGTTTCCCTTTGAGTCGTTGGCAGAAGCCCCGAATAGGCTTTCCAAAATCAGCCTTCTGTAAACCCGGCACATCACTGTTGATATACACTGCGAGCTGCAGCTGCATATAGTCCCAGCATTCGATAATGGTCTGTACCGGTGCACCCTTGATGAGTGCATTTTTGAGATTGATATTGCTTTGGATGATATCTCCCAGTTTTGCTGTCAAGTCATCTTCGGTACTAGCCGCCTCCTGTCCAACCGATGGACGAATGCACACAGGCGGAGCCGGAACGTATTGCCAGAGAAACACTTCTGGCCGAGCCTCCTCGGGATTCAGGCTAAGGAGCTCGCAGTCTTCGTTAGAAACGGACCGAAACAGTCTCAGCACGCGCAGTGGATGTAGATCGTCGTGGGCCTTTTTGAAATGTTTGTCGATATCCGGATTGCTTTTCTTGGCTTCTTCGAATGACTTGTCGAAGACAACTTTGCTGGGCGGGGGAATTTTCTTCACAGACGTGGACGCGTTGAAGGCTCGGAATTTCTCATGAGTGATTTTCAGTGCGCTTGTTCCGGCTTTCTTCACCACACCATTGACTGCGTTGCATTTGTAGCAGGTCCGCGTTTTTCGACATCGCTCGTTGATCTTCTTCGCAATCTGCATGCGCCTGAGGTTATCTATACCAGGCCGTCTTAATTCTCTAAGAAACGCCCTGCGCTCGGTTTCGGGAAGGAGTATGTGTGAGCATTCCTAGTGCGCGAAGAAAAGTGTGTCAGCGATGTTTAAAAAAAAAAAAAAAAAAAAGAGGAGCAGGAAGACTAACCTTGCAAATCTCCTGCAAAATGCTAATAACCCGTTTAAAATAACCCACATGGAAAGCCGGAAGAACCAGCTTTACATGCCCGAAATGTCCGCTACAGACCTGTAGTGCTCCGCCGCAGGTGTCGCAAGTACCCGATTTACTCGATATTCCCATGCGCCCGTCGAGCGGGCCATGGGGGGCGACAGCGCGGTCATTGTCGAGATCGAAGAGCTTCCTATCAGAAACCTCAACGACGGCTTGACTCACGATATCTTGGGTCGAGCTTTAATAATACACCATTTTTGTGGTCAGTCAATTGTTTCTCATTGGGGCTGATCCATCTTTAATCCCTAAGTTTCCATGTTTGTTTCTTTCTTTCGCTCAGGTTTCACTCACAGGACGCCGAATTTTATCTCCTTGATGACCTTAGGCACGCGATCCACGACCTGGGATTTCCCCAGGTCGATTTGTACAGCCTCTGCAGACTGCATGATGCCGATATCACGAAACAGTCATTCTCAGTCTGGGTTGGGGGCAATCTAAGTCCCAACCTGGAGTTAACGAAGGAAGCTGAAGCTCGAGCGGAATGCGTTTATGCCCGAGAAATAAATTTATGGGTAAAATAATAGTTTGGTTTAGGGCGTGAGGGTGGTTGAAGATGAGTCTGATGAAGTTTGCGTTGCGTGGGAGCTTGGAGTCATCGATTACTTTTTTTTCCCTCAATGGCGGGGTTGGCGACGAAAACATTCATAAGACGGGTCCCCCCCCCCCCCCCCAAATGTGTAGCTACACAAGATACATTGGATGCTTCAATTTATTTGGGAAAAGTGGTTGAATAGGAATTGAATTGGAAATTATTCTATTTGTCCCAGTTAATGAATATCGTGTCGAAAACAATCTGATTGGGGGGATATTTAAAAGGGCTACTACATCAGTACGCCAACGCCCAACTATGCTCTGCGTGCATGCAACAAGGATCATCAAAACAGCTTTATACAGCTGGTATATCGTAGACTATCTGCAGCTCCAAGCAGGGTTGAGATTAAATAAACAAATGAAATTATTTGGCCAAAAAGGCCTGGAAAGCCTTATGCTCTATTACCACATTTCCAACAGCCTTCAGTTTCTTCCGCCCCTCTTTCTGTTTCTCTAACAACTTCTTCCGTCGCGTAACGTCGGCGGCATGCAGCTTCTGCAACACGTCCTTTCTGAACGGCTTGATCGATTCTCTTGCCACGACATTCCGTCCCGCAGCAGCTTGTATCACAACTTCGAACATTTGACGGTCAACATGTTCCTTGAACTTGCTCACCCATAAACGCCCCAGCCGCTGCACCTGACTAGAATGAACGACGCGAGATACCGCATCGACGGGGACTTTATTTACGAGGAGTTGAAGTTTGGAGATATTGCTGCGTCGCCAACCAGATTCCTCGTAATCCAAGCTGGCGTAGCCCTTTGTGGATCCTTTGAGCTTGCCAAAGAAGTCATCGACCAATTGGGCAAGGGGTAATTCGTATTTGAGAATGACCTGGGTTGACGTGAAGAATTCAAGGCTCTTTTGCTCGCCTCTGTTGGATTCGCAGAGTTCTATAACTCTTCCTAGGTACTCTTCGGGGAACGTGAGAGTAGCGAGGACGAATGGCTCTTGCAATTCGGTTACTTTGGCACGCAGTGTGTCTTCTTCGGGGAAGAGGGCTGGGTTCGTGATGATTTCCTCCTTTCCATCTTTCCAGATAACTTTGAACGGCACCGTTGGTGGTGTGATAATAATGCTCGCGCCATGTTCTTGTCGTAGGCGATCTTCGAAAACGGAGCAGTGGAGGGTCCCAAGAAACCCCAGTCGAAAACCAGCCCCTAATGCCTCGGATGACTCCTTCTGCAACGTCACGCTGCGGTCATTTAAGATGAGTTGATTGATGCTGTCCTCAAGGTGAGGGAAGTCGCTGGCATCCACGGGGTATGCTGCAACAAACACCATGGCCTTAGGCTCTTCGAATCCAGGGAGCGGCTGAACCAATTTCTCTGAGCCAACCTTTGTATACGTGTCACCCACTTTGGCTTCCTGACTGCGCTTCATGGCCGGATTGAAGTAAATATAACCGACTTGCCCCGCCCGGAGGACGGATTGGGCCGTTTGCCACGGATACATAATTCCAACTTCGCCAACAGTGTATTTCAGACCAGTTGCAAAGGATACAACCTGATCGCCTACTCTAATCTCGCCGTCGAATAGTCGAACGAGGAGAATCACACCCTTGTAGGTCGAGTACCATGAGTCAACAAGAAGCATTCGGAGAGGCTTGGTACGATCTCCAACAGGCCTACTAGAGTTAGCACTAGGGGAAACATTTACTGGAGGTTTGACGGATCAGAATTAAAAATAAAACGTACGCAGGAATCTGCTCGATAACAGTTGGTAAAAGTTGTGACACATTTAGACCAGTTTTTGCTGATACCAGCACAGCAGATTCGGGGTCCAACTCGAACGTGTTCTTCATTTGGTCCAAAGCGCGCTGCGGGTCTGCCGACGGTAAGTCCACTTTATTTATGACCGGCACCAACTTGAGACCCTCAGCAAAGGCGAGGTAAAAATTTGCTACGGTCTGTGCTTGGATTCCCTGGCTGGCGTCAACGAGAAGTAAAGCCCCCCCGCAACTTGCGTAACTCCGCGACACTTCAGCACGGAAATCGACATGACCAGGAGTATCGACGAGATGCAGCAGGTAGTCTTCGCCCTGATGATTGTAGAGCATGCTACATGTCTGTGCTTTTACGGTGATACCGCGCTCTCGTTCAACATCCAATTTGTCCAGAACCTGCTTGTTCGCACCCGCTTCGATAGTGCCGGTGAGTTCGAGGAGACGGTCAGAGAGCGTGCTTTTGCCATGGTCGACGTGCGCAACGATGCAGAAATTCCGGAATCGTTCAATTGGGATTGCTGCAATGCGCTGCTCTACCTCTGAGGCTGGCTTCCTCACTTGCGCATTTCGTGGGGCAGAGGTACTAAGAAGTCGACGGGGGTACCTGGTGGACGAAGCCAGTGATTGAGACGGCCGCAATGCTGAGGTCAGCCATTTGACTGACTGCAGGCATCCTCGCATCGGGATATCTGCATTGACGTCAGGTATCAGGCGTCGCTGTATTGCTATTGGATAGCTTATCCAATGGCTCACTGATGTTGTCCTTGTATGTCGCCGGATATTTCTTTCTCTGCAACTTCAGAAAGATTTTCGGCGCGGGATTGCGGCTCCGCAAAGTCCGGCCCAGAAAGGAAGGCGAGCCGAGCATGTCGTAACGTGACTTGTCAATTGCCGTAGCAGCGCCGAGAGAGTAAACAATAAAACAAAATCTTGAAATATAATTTTCCTCTTCTTATTCGACATTCTGTCCGAGAAATTACCAGTTATTCATTGCATCGAAACTCGTATATATCCATCCTGATATAAATCCCCAGTCGAAATGTCCACGCAAAAGGAGAAGTCGAAAGTCCACAAGTTGTCGTTGAAGGGTAAGTCAAGGAACGCGCACCCCGCAACGCTTGAATTGAATCTGATAATTGGAGTTTAGGGTCGTCAAAACTAGTTGCGGAATTCGTAAGTGGGTTTGCCAGAAAGTAAATGTATTGATGCTAATAATTGTAGTTTGAATATTCCATACATTCAATTTTGTACGTGCAAGATGACCAGGCGAGTCAGAAGCGGCCCGCGGGGATAATGAAGCTAACGACCAACTGTCACAGGTTCCAACGAGGGGTATATCCAGCAGACGATTTCACGGCGTGAGGGCATTTATTTTGCAACTTCCGAACGAGAAGAAGCCCTGGTGTTAACAGGTTTTTACAGTGTCAAAAAATATGGGCTAAACATGCTTGGTTGGTGCTGGTTACCATTTCCCCAACACTCCTGTTCACTAATAAACGTCTATCTAGTATCTTCCGATGACCAAGTCAAGGCGTATATAAAAAAGATCATGTCGCAGTTGAACAAGTGGATGATTGGGGGCAAAATATCCAAACTTGTCATCGTGATCACAAGCAAAGATACTGGGGAGCATGTGGAGAGATGGCAGTTCGATGTGTGTCAAAACCGCATTTATACCTCAATGTAGAATACTCCAAATTGACGCAACGCTTTATGAGAATGGCAGGTTCAAATATTCAACAATGGCAGATCTTCCCGAAATCGCTCTACACAAAAAGCATCACCTGACAACGAAAATGCTCCTATGTACGTTCACTCATTGCTAAGCCTATGCCACTTAGCTACAAAAATCATTCACATATATCTCGCCGTTATCGAAATCCCTGAGTAACAATTTGCAAAAAATGATGCCAAATCTTAGCCCCACGAATACCGCCGCCACTACCCCTCCTCCCGAGAAATCCGAAAAGGAGATCCAAGAAGAAATTCAAGCGATTTTCCGCCAGATCACCGCCTCCGTGACCTTCCTTCCAGTCCTCGATGGTAACTGCACATTCAACGTGCTTGTGTATGCGGACGCCGATTCTGAGGTTCCCATGGAGTGGGGTGATAGTGATGCCAAGGAGATTGAGAATGGAGAGAAGGTGCAGCTGAGAAGTTTCAGTACAAGCAACCATCGCGTGGATACGTTGGTTAGCTACAGGTTCGTCTATAGAGATTTCTTTTTCTACCTGCATTCGTTTGTGTATGGTTGCTTCCTGTATGCGAGATGACGCTCCTCTAACTTGATTTGTACGCAGACTCGCGGATTGAAGAAGCAGGTGGCGGGGTGGAAGATACGCTTTTGCAAACAGTCGCATTGGGAGTTTCTTTCGTTCTCTTTTTTTCAATTGGGTATAATCTTTTATTAACGCTAGCAACAGGCGTTGAACGTGAGATTCAGGTATTTAATTTTATATGGGATCTGGGAGGTTTCGAAAATGGATTTCTAACTGCGTAGCTGATAGTATGGTTTTGGTTGTTTCACTTTCTGCATCATGTGCTGCTCAAATACAGGGCCTACCTTCGGCATTTTCCTCTTTTGAAAATCTTTGTTCCTACGTGCTTCTCGTTCTAGGATCCGATCCCTATATCCATATCTAAGTACAATTCTAACTACCCCTCCCGATGTAGAGGTTACCTTTCAATAACCGACGCGAAGAAAGCAGTGTGCCGAGTGGATATAATGCCAATTAGTAAAGGTAATTTTTTTGTACTGTACATCTACGATTCCCAGTCCCATTTTTGAGATGATAAGTGGTCAGCCACACCGACCGCCGCATGACCACCTTGATACATCTAGCTTGGGATTTCTATTGCTCATTGGTGTAACTAGGAGAGAGTATGTCGCGTTTACGGACTTGGGATTTAGTGCCAGGATCTGTATATTACGATGTTTCACTGTTGGTTAGATCAATGCGTTGCAGATCACATTGATATCATTGTACATGTACTGTACATACATTGTGATATTCATTTCCTAATTTGATGGGCAGTTAAATAAAACTCCTCTCTTGCGAGAAAAGGTCAGTCGGGAGAAAAGTAATGAACAAAGGAAAAATAATAGATTTCCCAAAAGTCAACCTCTAAGCGGGTTGAAGGTATCAAGGCACACAAGAGAAACAAAATAAGGGAGCGGGTGGTCAGTAGTTCCTCAACGTCATTCTATCGCAGCTCCCACGCAATGCCCCGACTGCAATCTTTGCCTTTCCCAAGGTTCTCAGTCCCATACCCAGAAGGATATAGCCAATACCGACAAGGTATAATAAGGGATACAGGAATGGAAAGAAAATCGTCAAACGTGCATGTTTCCAAATCCTTTTGCGCCGTTCTCTTGCGCCCATGTTTTTAACAACCTTTGCTGGAAATGCAGGTGTTGCCCGGATCTTGAATATATTTAGTTTTGTGGAAAGAATAGAGAGACACCTTGGAAAGTTGTAGAGAGTATACGGAGTAAAGAAGAATGCAGAAGAACAAATAACATCACTGTACAAGGATGCCAGAGCGAGGCAGGAAGTTGCCAAATGCTCATTCAAGAGGGCAATGAGCGCGAGCCTTTTGTAGAGGCCATCAGTAATGGGAAAATGGGGCTCATATAACACCTCTATTTCGGGCAAATGTTTAAACCGAATCACGAAATATGCAGTCACCTCATACAATGAAGTTAACAGGGAGCGAGCACGTTAGCGATCTATTGATTAATGAGTACAAGATATGATATCTGGAGTTTTTTATTCTTATTTTTATTTTTTTTTTTTTAACTTCCATTTGCCATTTCTGATTGGGAAAATGGGTTTCATTTACCGTTTGTTCCTGAGATTTTAACCGCAGGTACTTGGGCAGAACCTAGGGCCATGGCTTGCCTAACAGCTTCTTGCGGCTGGCAATTCCAGCAGGGATATCGCACAATGCGCTTTTGGCGGCAAAGCACACACACATTGCTTTGGAAGGATGATAGGGTTAGTGCATGCGTTAAATCGAGCTGGCCGGGGAGTAGATAAGTCTTAACACGTACCGCAAATTCCCGTTACATTCAGGACAATCTATAATAGTATTTTTGCCAACGCAAAAGCGGTGATATGGGTCAAGGAGATAGGACGGCGTTTCCCGTTGAGTCGTGCTGGCCATTACGAAAACTTGTGACGGGAAGCTGGCGTTGTATGACAAAATGAGAAGTAGAAGATATCAATTATCTGGCACAAATGCAGCACCGTATAAGTGTATACCAGAACCGATCTGATACAGATATGGGATTCTGGAGCAATGGAGATCATGTAATTCCGTAGATGAGCTTTGTAAAACTTGCGGCGGAGACGCCAACCAGTAATCGTATTCGACTCAAAAGATACTAAGGACCTGGCTGTTGGTGTAGCATTTGCATTCCAGATGAGGAGGATAAGACCGGGTGAAGGGCTTCATTATATAACTCCTATCCCATTCTCATTGTTTCGCCAATTACTAGGAGGTTACACTCAGTAAGGGACGAGAAAGCGATTGAGAGATATAGTAGTAGGAAGTATGCAACAGTACTAAGACCTTGGACCTGCCGTGGCACCAGGGACAATACGGCAACCTAGGATAATATCTTGCCAGTTCATGGCTGAGATTTCGTGGGGGTATGGTTTTCCAACTTTGACAATAGCGGAGCAACGGATCAGCAGGACAAGGATGATGATCACATCTCCGACACTCGACAACCCAGCCCGGCTACGCCACAACTTCATCCAGCCTTAAGATGATTTATAGGCAGGGATGGAGTAGAAGCGGCGGAATTCAACGGTCCTCTTGGAAACCAGTATTAAGCGAGTAGCATCGGAAAGCTTAGAGCTGGCTGCATGGAGAGAGTGTAAGAGTGGGAGATCAGAAATCAACCGACTATGTTAAGGTTAATAAATGGACGAGGCAACCAAAACCACACAATTGCTAGTAAAAGCAACGACTCCTCTTCATCACGCTGGTTCAAACCCAGGAGTACGGATAAACTGTCCCATAAGTAGCGCAGTAACTACGGGCGATAATCAGTGACTGACCATCACGTTGAAACAAAAGGCAGGCTAAATGGGGCGTTTATGTTTGAGGCCAGCGTTCCGGAAAGTCATTCGATTGAATGGGAAAAAAGAAACCAATAGCGGCTGTAGATTCGACAAAGAAAGGATATGCTGCATAGCGGTTGCAGCTTTCCGTATACGTCCAATAATTGGCGCTGTCAAATGACTCCAAACCCGGTAGTATGGTACGGGATAACTCTCATATGCCGTAGACAGCCTATCGTTTGTTGTCCAGCCCTCACCGCTGGCCCAAGCGAGATATTTGGAATTATCATGTGAAATAACGGTCTATTATCACATAGAGAAAACGACGAATCAAACACGGTAACAGACATTTCCGCGAAGTCGGAAAAGTCGGAACAATATGGTCGCAGCAGCCCTATGGTAAGTAGTCGAGGCGTCCAAGGTGCTGATGTTGCGGGGTGGTACGATAAACGCCGCCCAGCGAGAGAAAGATGGAATATACGCGGAACGCGAGGGGTAGGGTAGAGGAAATCCATGTTCATTTTGACAGCGGTGCCATGGGAAAATTAGCATGTATCTCTCAATGGCGAGATAGGGATACAGGCCTTAACATGGCCAATGGACGATGGAGGACAAGGGACAAGGGACATTCCTAGCTGAAGCAAGCTGTAACAGTTCCGCCCCAATTGGACATGGAAATCGGAATAGCCGGAAGGGCGGGATCGGTGGGGGCGTCAGCGAGTTGCGGACTGGCCTGGGGAAAGGAGCGTCTGGTAGGGGTCAATTGGTATGGTGTCAAAGCAGCTGGCACATTGGATGCCAGCTGTGTCCAGCTCGTATATGCTGTACCGGGAGTCTTTCCTCCATAGACGGCGTATGAATGGGGGGAAAGTGCCAGCACAGAATCGACCCCGATGAGACTCTCTGACCAAGCCACAGGAGAATGGGTGCAAAGAGTTCCTAATTTTTCAGTCTATTTGCAAAAACATGGAATTTCGTTGACTCGAAAGGAGAAGGCAATCGCCTAATCCCATGTAGATGCAGGCTCCACACGTTGGCTTGGCTACAGCACCAACGAGCCCTCGAAAGAAGGAAGAAAGTTGGATTGCCAGGTGGCAAGGAAATCTTCAAGCAAACTAATCGGGCTGAGGGTAATTTTTTTTTTTTTTTTTTCCTGTCGCACGACGGCATTATCCGAGGCTTGATTCCTGCATTGGCAGCGTACGCAGGACATCCATTGCGCCGTCCACACAAAACCGGTTCAAGACTGAGCCTAAGCTCACGAAGTGCACAATCCTTTAATTCTGTCGAACACGGCAATCACGAAAATAAAAGAGGCAATCCTTTTTTCCCTTGGAACACAAAGCGGATGCGGAATAATTTGCCGGCGATTTGAAACAACGTAACAGAAAGCGACTATAACGGGAGCGTGAACGAGACGGCTGTGCCAGATCTTCCCGAGCCGAATAGAACTAAAGCAGGCCAAGACGTCACGGTAGCTTAAAATAAACTAAGGGAAGATAGATATATGCAAGCTTCAACTTAACGGCATATCAATGACATTGAAGGCTCAGATAAATGCGGGAGAAGAGGACCCTTGACGAGGTCTCAACAGCGTCTGTCAACAAGGCTCAGGACCAATCAAGATACCACTACCAAGATGAGCCAACTTTCTAATCAAAGCATAGTCCACATGATTGAGAGAGTCGAGGGAAAACGGGAAGAAGCGGCTGAGGACGTTGACGCTTTAGATGTGCTGCAGTTGGCTATCGAATCACCAGTGGTTATCTGAGCAGGGTCGAGAGCAGCAAATAGCCCAACGACATGGCCGTTGCAGGAACAAGCCCAGTGGTGATCGAATCGCAGTGGTTCGTCAAGGAGCAACTGCTGCTGGCCTGCAGCCTGTAGTCTGTTGCATATGAGGACCTCGGGAGGACAAACATTGTTAAATGGGGACATTAGCGTGTGAGAGCTGAGACCTGCCTTCGGAGAATTTAGACCAGAGGATCCAGCAGAATTGATTCGGTTTGAATAGTTAATGAGTCTGGGAATATAGATGCTGTCCAACCAGAATATCCCGTGTTGTGCTAAGATGGTGTTTATCAAACTAAATATTTAAAACACCAGAAAATTGAAGCACGCCAGCACCATTCCATATAAGAATCAAAAATGTGCCAACAAACAAGAGGGGAATATTTATATCAAACCTATTTACATGGAAATACGTGTATAGATAAGTTAGCTTCTCTTTGGCATGTCGAATTATGTCCACTCGACGAACGGTTGCGTCAGTTCGGCCACAATGTTTAAATCAGTAGTTATCTATTTATACTATTTATGGTCCTAAAAAACGTGCAATAAACGTGTACCGAACCCCTGATATCTCTCGGAAGATTTGATCTCGTACTCCGTACAGTGTCTTCCGTTGCCTTGTAAGCCGCGACCTGGCATTTTGGGTGCATATAGTTCTTATCTGGATAAATATTTCGTATGAAACCTACGGAACCGAGGCTACACAAGACAAAGAAGAAAAGAAAAAGAGAAAAAGGAAAAACAATAAAGGAAGAGACACATTCCAGGAACAGAATGGGCTAGGATGCCAGGTTCAACAAAAACATGATTCAAGCGATGGCCATCTTTAAAACGGAGCAAAATACCCGATAATCCTCCTTCCAACGGCCAGCGAGTGCTCAGAGGTGAAACAGATCTTTTTGCGGGAATCACTCATCTTCATCTTTCTTCTTCCCTATCACAAAACGAGCCTCCTGTAGATAATTGTCCGGATCTGGATGAACTGCCTCCTGCAATGGAACATACCGCCCGCCCATCCGTTTCTGGCTCACCAATATTGTGCCCGTAAAACACAAGGGATCAAACCACTCACTTCCCTTTTTGCAATCCGGAGACAGCTGCCAGTAGCCGATGGAATTTGCATTTTGGCTGATGCTGCGAACCGCACCGCCATCACCACCTGTATGAACGGAGTCCTAGGCGAAAAATGTGCTTGGAAGAGAAAGCAGTTGTGTCGACAGTGCGTTTTGAATGCTCAGACGGACGAGATCGTTTTTTCCATTGCATCTAAGTTGACCTTGCTGTGGTTGGACGGACATGTTGTCCTCTGCGAAGCGGTTGATACAGACACATGTCGCTGCATAGACTGTAGGTGATACATTGTTGGACGGGTTTTTAGGGCTGGCTGAATACTGGCAGGAAAACATTTCAAGAAGACTATTTAAGCTGAACAGTGCAAGGAGGAAATAATATCGAGCTCGTATTTCTAAATTTTTGCTGTGGATTTGCATGGATATATATATATGCATGCATCAATGACTGTAATAGATATACAGGAATGCCCAGGCCTTATATGGGTCGAAGAATCATCGTGATAGTCACAGTTGCGCCCAAAATTGGAAGTCTGATGTCGCCTCGAAAACATATATCTTGGCTCGAGAACTGTAAAATATAAATGCATGTAGAGGAGCAAGGAGCAAGCCTCACAATAACGTTATTTGGTGTTGTATTACCTATAGACACTGCATTTCTGACATCCAGCAACCTTCCTGCACCCACTTGAAGAAGTAGCCTAACATCAAGATGATTGAAAAATGTAAAACACACCCCCTCAGCTCCATATACGTACCATGACAGCTCGGTGTGAAATGATTGAAGAACGCCCCAAAGGGAGTACCGCTGTATCAGGCTAGAAGGAGGCAGCGATAGAATATAATATGGCAAATGAGAAAACATTGCACTGAGAATCAGCCTTCTTTCCCGAGTTTCCCTAACGCCTCTGTCAAGAACTCCGTCGCATTGACTAGATCCGTGCTCCCGTATACAATTCGTCGTGACGTGGCGCCAGATGGCCCTGATCCTCCACCACTGCCGGATCCGCCAACTGTGTTCGAAGAGCCGCTCAGCGGGCCAGCACCTGCTAAGGTTCCCCTCCCTGTTCGATGTGCCCAATCTTGAAGATTGCCATATTCATCCATACTCCCACCTCCCACCGTGAAGACGATCGCTTCGCTGAATCCCTGTCGCCGTTGGCCGAAACTCGCGCCACTGCCGGGTGCGGGACCACTTTGTTGATTACGAATCGAGGCCGCGGGGGGTACGGCGCCTCGTGCATTCGCGCTGCGTGGATCGAAATAAAGGTAGTTCTCAGTCTTTGCGATCGCGGAACTTGATGCGCCCGCTGGATCCATGATTGATTCCGTGATTTTGGTTAGAGTTAGGTCTTTGTTTACAGGGAGGAAATTCTTTACGCCGGATATTAAGGAGTCGAAATTCGCGCCAAGCGCGCCGGAGGTGATGCGGTCTGTAAGGCGGTTCGAGAGCGAGGAGAATCCACGGAAGAGGTCAGAGGAAGGTTGTTGGGTAGCAGCAGTGGCCGCGGTTGTCATCATCGTCATCCGGGTAATTTCTCGGACTCTTTTCACGAACGCTACTGCGTCAATGTCTGTGCATCCGGCTTGCATGAGCGCCTCTTCAAAGCGGTTCAACTCTGCTCTTGAGAGGTCTGTTTCTGTGCTTAGGAACCAAATTAAAAAGAACCTTAGTTTGTCGGATGGATCGGTGCCTCCGTCAGCATTGCACAATATTTCGAGGATTTGTGATTTATTCTGCTTCATAATGTTTTCCTCAAGCTGGAAGTAATTATCTAGTTGTCGATCCTTAATTCCCTTCAGAAGAGCAGTAGCGATGTTCATGTGCATGTCGAGCAGTGCCTTGCGTTCCCGCAACTCTGGAAGAAGTGTGATGGCAGTTTTGAGGTGTTGAGCGGATGCGCCCATATCATTTTGAAGATCTTCGATGGAAGAAGCGCCTGTCTTCCTCGTGATCTCAGCCGCGTCTTCCTTATACCGCGTCAACTCAGCGTCAATGTCTTCGGCCACCTGTGGAAATGGGACGCTTGCGTTGCGGTTCCAAAAAAAATCATTCACACTCAAATCATATGAACGTTTCGTGGTGCCCTTTGCTGGGTTTGAGTCGTCGACTGGTACGTCCACGGTGATACGGTTAAGATGCATTTTTAAGACATCATGAACCAGTGATTGGTAAGACCAAGAGTGGGAAAGCATAGGAACAAGGTCCACATTACGGTCAACGATAATGAGAACCGGGCGGACTGATGGGACGCCAACACCCTGTCGTTGGGATGCACTGGAGAACAAGTTATCCTTTGAATTTAATATGTGATCCCTCAGTTTACGATCGAGTTTAGTCGCAATCAGTTCGGATGCTCCTCCTTTCGGGCATCTGATTATTGGGATGGAGCCTTCAATAACGTAAGTGAGAGACACAAAAATGAAAAGAATATGGGTGAAGAAGCGTACCCATCGTGACACTGACACTAAACAGACCACTCACAATTCTGTCTATCATGTTATCCAATTCCTCGTCCGTGGTTTTGGCACTGTTTAATTTCCAATACATGTCTTTCCCCATCCCTAAACTGAACAAATCTGGTTCTGAAACAATAAAGTTCAAATACTGATCATAAACTTGGGCAACTTTTTCTGATGTCCCCGTGGAGGCTATTTGAGATGCAAAGTCCTCTAAGAGTGGCCGCGGAACGGAAGATATGAAATTTACGTATGCGCGGCAGTAGATATCCCTGGAAAGGTCTGAGGTCACGAGTTGTACGTTCTCTGGGGTTGGTTCAACGAAGTAGATCACAGGAACATCGGGAATTGGGTATCGAGGGCTATTGATATTTCTATTTCCATGAGTTAGCAGGACAATACAATCCTGAATGGACAAACCAACACCGAAAGCGTGCCTACAGATGAATCGTAACACCCCAAGTTCGCAGGTCGTTCACTCGTAAAACGCTACTTATAACATCTCGGCCCAAGTTATCAAACACCAGCACTTTCCATATGGGATCGCCATCTTCATTGAGGATGGGAGTGGAGTGTATTAGGCCTGTCGGGCTGGCAGCGTCGCCTTGGAATTCAGTTTGGTGAGGCGCTTCATGGTTCAGATTTAGGATCTTCTCAATGGAAGCTATATCAATAATTAATATGTATACATTTAGCCAATGCCGTTATGCGGAGCACAGTTCATACCAATTTGCCTCTGCCGCAGAGATGGAGGATGCGAAGCCATGGGACAAAAGAGATGCGCCAGTCGAGCGGACTGGCGAGGTTAGAAAAGGGCTAGCCCTTGTCTCGGATGAATTAATTAAAAAATTACTGAGGGCACGAAATAAGGTTGATAGTCATTCAAGTCTAGCATCGGCATAGAGCTAATTCGATCAGCGAGGTGAACATGATATGATATGTGGAAGCTACAAGTAGATGTCGTTTCTAACAATTATCGCCAGATCTCAGAAATGCTGATGACATAACCAGCATCTTGATCCACGACGGATGTACTATTTTTCCGCAAAGCACATGGTTTCGGGAAAACTAATCGGGCCGGTGGCGGGTGACAAAAACAACGCAAAACAATCTTGCGGCTTTGCCGCCCACGAAACGTTCTTCTCTCACAACGACAAAACCCAACCTCCATCTTCTCCACCATCCCGCACATCTCGCACATCTCCCATATCACCTCTCAACTGCTGAATTCTCATTGTAAAGGCATTTTACTATGCTCCTAAGCTGAAGCCCTGAGGTACGGGACCCAGTGTGAGACCTTGGTCCGTCGATTAAGGGTGAGTGAAACGCCGGTAAGGCTGTCCCAAGCTGGTGGCTTAGAACGAGAACACTGCGCAGGAACAAGGTGTGAGGATAAAAAAAGGAACATTTGAGAGATATTTGAGTGGGAAAAGCAGTACAATACAACCTGGGAGGTATTTGGCTGAAGTTGAGCGGCTGTTTTGGTGGATATTGCTGTACTTTTTGACTTCACTTGTATTCTTGTTGCAGCAACATTTCCTCCATATTAAACCCGGCAACAACCCCCCAAAGTACCGCCAGAGCTGACAGTCAGGAGGGCAAAGTAAGCCTGTTTGATCCTCCTGCATACGCTCATTTTTCTTTTCTCTATTTATATGCCCCTCTTAACGTCTTAACATTATGTTGAAAACCCTGCAACAAATGACGTCCCCTTTTGGCATTTAACACAAAATCACCTAACAAACCCCCAAAGAGAGACATACCATACGCCATCACAATTCTACACCAGGTCGTGCAGTGCCGCAGGCATCCAGCACCTCCAGCCGGATATTGCCAGCGCTTCCAGTTATTACTAAACTAGCACGTTACGCCATAACAGACTGCTCTGGAATATTTGAGTTCCTCGGAAAGCCGAAAGGTCCTACCAGGGAAGGGGGGCTGGTATCAAACTTTGCTCTGTTGGTGAACCAGTGGACAAGGGCGCCAGCCGCGCCTTTCCTAAAAGAGACTGCATTTCCTTTCCGCCTTCACTAGTACGCATTCAGTTAGACCGGAAAATCTTGTGACGGCTCTCTTCTAAAAGCGGCAACTAATCACACCAAATTGGGAAGAAATCGCTTTTCGGGTTCCACACGACCACGTGACCCGACCAACCCTTTCTCGCAAGCAGATAGACTAGGGAGCTAAGATGATCATGGACCCCTCGTCGAACCCTTCTCCTGCGCCTGAGTCCGCGACCAATGCATATCCCGGAGAGTTCTGGGGCGGGATACCTTCGCTGTATACTTCGAACCCGCCCGATGGACAGCCTTTTGGTATAGGCTGGGACCACCCTGTTTTTCAGGCCCCTCATTCCAACCCGCCATCGAAACCCCATCAGCCACAAGATATTTATCCTCAAACACAGCAGCAATGGCAACAACCACCGTTGCAACCTCAGATGGTGCAAGAGCCACAGCGGAATTATACTCTGCCAGCACAATATCATATCAACCAGTATCAGCCACCGAATCCTACTCCTACATACGAGACTTCAGAACAAAATGCTCCTTATCGCCAATACACTTTCGATCCCCAACCCTTTTATGCAAACCCCCCTTCAGCCCCTAAGAGTGCGTTTAATCAACAAGCCGCTGTTGATCTACATACAGCAAATCATCCATCACGGCTGGCGCCCTCTCCAGTTCCAAGCCCTCTACCGTCATATGGAAGGCCAATATCACTGCAAAGCAATTTGCAGGTGAGTGAGCACCAACCTTGACCTGCTGAGCATAATGACTAACTCCACTTCCGTAGAATGACGCCATTAACTTTGCGACTGGCTTCCAAGAACATCACTCCGCTTCTACATATCACAACACCATTGATCCTCAGTTTCTTTCTGCACCCCAACATTCAATGATCCAACCCGTTTCCTCGCAACCCGAATTTTTTGTCATTAACCCCGCAGATCTAGACAATCACTCGACCTCTGAGTAAGTTCTTATTTCGTTTTTAAACGGGATGTGTGTAGCTAAACTACTGGACATAGCCATTATCATGCGTACAATACGGAGATCGCTCCTCGCTTAATCGGGCCTAGCCAAGCGCTTAGTACTATGCAACCAATTCCCCAAATTACAACAACCGGGAAGAAGCCAACAAAAGGTAGGACTACCGCCAACTTTGTGTACACTTAAGCATTCCAACCTGGGTTTCGCGGACATCTGGCTAACTATGACTAGCACGAACGAAAGCTGATAAGCCGCCGGCAAAACGAAGAAAAAAGGATGCGCCGGAAAAGGTTCAGGATCGCGCAAAGGCTGCAGCCAATAAAGCCGTAATCAAACAAGGTCCACGACCACCTGATGCCTCAGCTAGCTCCGATAGCAGCGACGACTCTGACAGTTCTTCTGATCTCGAAGTCGCCCCAGAGCCGTTTCCTCTCCCTCCTTTGCGCCCTCTGGATGCCGAGGGTGGCATCAAATACGACACTTTAAAGGCAGTTTGGTCGCCGAGGAATAAACAACCACCAATATCCACCATAAGAAATGCATTGATGCTATTTTCCGATCTTATCAAGGGGGTTCGGGATAGTTGGAAAGCGAAAAGCGAATCATTAAAAGCAGCCGAGAATCAAAACCAAGAGGATAAGATTCCCGGAATGAAGAAGGAGGTCACATTGCAACGGCGTCTGATAGATTTGATTGTCACTACAGCGCTGGACGGTGGCCACCCTGCCATCATCCAAAGGTATGTTCAATTTTCCATCTAATCGCCAGTTTCTCCACCCCCAAATTGTCATTATTATCACCCCAAGTTGTAGTTGTTTGGGGAGATAAAATGAGGAAAGAAAAATGCAAAAGAAAAGACGAAGATATAATTATAAGTAATAATGTCATGTATGGACAACCAACATGATTTCTGTCTTGTCATGAGGCTAGAAGCAAATGCTATTACATCTACTCCTTAGAATTTTCCGAGGGAGTAGTTTAACATAGAAGGCTTTAAATAGCCGGTACAATTAATATGCTAGCCTCCATATTTCGCTGCATCTAATTGCACCAACACATTGACCCCTGACAAAGCTCTTGAAAAAGGTGATGGAGATAATAGCTGTTCGGTACTCGAGAGCGTATCTAGTCACGCAAAGTTACCATCCAATCCCCCTACTGTGTTTTCATTCCAGCTTCGTCTCTATTATCATGTTGTTTTAAAGAACATCAACTAGGATAAGAAAGATACTTATGTCTATCACAGGTTCGGTGAACATCCTATTATCGTATCCGCGCTGTATTCCTTTCTTCTTGATCGGCACACGGCGGCAGATAGCGACGGGCCGCTGACAGTAAACATTTTAAAGGTAATTTTGAACATGTTTTTTCTTCATGCCGTATCATGTCGATTCTAAAGCTCCTTACTAACGGAGACGATAGCTCATGACGAAATTTGTGACAATGGATCAAGCAATGCTCGAGAAAACTAAAAATGACAAGATCCTCTCTCGTTTTGTGAAGAAGGGGGGAGACATCATTAAGCAGCTCGCCCAGACAATTTTATCCAACGCCGCGGAGTTGACAAAAAGGAAAGCTGAAATCGCAAAAGCATCCCCTAAAAAGACAGAGAGTGCGCTGAATGAGGACGGATTGGTGGTCATGGAGCCGGAAATCGTTATCCGGAACCCGCTCCCTTCCACCACTGATGCCAAGCGGCCCCGTGAGCTGGAGACGGATGGCTCGCCATCCACGAAACGTTCTGTAACCACTTCCAACGGCAAACCTGCTGTGAAACCTACAACTGTGGCTGTCACGAAACGAACCACGACCACTGCTCCGGATGCCAAAAGCACAGCAGCCGCTGGAAATGCAGCAGCAGCCAAGCCGAAGCCTAATATGGTGATCCCCAAACCGACCCCAAGCCTCTTTAGCAGCTTGATGTCTGCTTCGAAAAAGCCTGGAACTTCAAATGCGGCGCGTGCAGCAGCAGCCGCCAAAGAAAGGGCAAAGTATGTGATCATTGACCATTGTAGATAGGCCTTTTGCTAATAATGACATGTAGTCCTCCGGAACAGAAACCCGCCCCACCCCCAGCTGTTGTTCAGAAACCTGCTTTCTCATTCTCAGAGACGATGGCTGATTTAAGCAAGCCAAAGGAATTGGTCCCCAGTAAGCCAGCGGAAGATCTTCCTCCAGAAACAGAGGAAGAGCGCAAAAAACGTATTCGAAAGGAAGAACGTCGTAAGCTGCGTGTCAGCTGGAAGCCAGATGATTCTTTGACTGAAATACGTCTGTTCACCCATGATCCTGAGGAGGATATTGGCCATGATGACAGCATGATACGGGATGTTGCTGATGTAGGAGGCGAGGGAAGAACCCTTAAGCTTCATCGAGGGATGGATGATTTGGATGACGAGGATGAGGACGATGATCCCGAGGCTAGAACAAAAACCTTCCATCCTTACACTTCACCAACTGGTATGTCGATATCCTGTTATATCTAGTTTTATGTGATTCTCTTACTGAAATTTTGATTAGAAATTGATTTCTCAGAGCTTGATTTTGAGGAGCGCCAGCGGAATTTCATCAAGAGAGGCGGTATTCAGAAACCTGAGAGTGCCGAAAAGCTGGCCCAGGAGCAACGTGAATCGAAAACACTAAGTGTCTTCTATACATCGCTAGCTGATATCCCGTCTTCTCCTAAGGAGCCACCTGCCCCTGATGCGGATGAATCGTATGATCCGGAAGTTCCATTTGGCGAACCAGGGGATCAGACAAAGGTATACTATATAAGCGCGTGCCATAATATCTTATCCGCAATACAACCTTCTAACATTTTCAATTAAATAGGCGCGCTCCGCGAAATATTTTGCGGCCAGAGCACCAATCCAACCACCACCACAACCTCAATCTGCCCAGACCCCTCAAAACTCCAGCACTGTCGACATTTCCTCTCTACTCAAACTCATCCAGCAAGCTCCTCAGTCGGGACAACCTCAACCATCCCAACCGCCAATCCCTATACCCGACCTAGAGAAAACCTATGGTCAATTCGTTGGAAACCAGGGTCAGCCCACTCCCACCTCAATACCGCAAGTACCCCAAATTCCGCAAGCTACTCAACCTGCCACGTTGCCAGGGGCCCTCGACATCCAGGCACTGCTTGCGGTTATGAATGCGCAAACACAGCTACAACAAGGAGCTCCTGCATTCCCTCCCCCTCAGGGCCCAGCAGCTTCTTCGTCTCAGGCCCCGAATCTCGCCTCGATCCTTTCGCAGTTTCAAATCCCAGTGGTGACAGGGCAGACACAGACACAGCCACCGCAGCAGCAGCAACAGCAACAGCCACCCTCCCAGCCTCTTGCGTATAATCAGAACCAATCTAAGCAGCATGGGTCCTTTTATGAGGATGCCGATCGGAAGAGGATGCGCGAAGGCCACGGACATAAAAAGCATGGCGGATATGACAATAATGATGAGGTAAGCCACGGTCATGGCCATGGCCACGGACATGGCAATAAGCGGGCTAGAACGAATGGAGAATTCAAGCATAAGAAACATGTAAGCTGCCTCCCCCGTTTCCTCCGCAATCTCCTAGATTCTCCCTAGCTAACCCTTTTCCCTCTCACTCGATACAGCCCAAGGCAGGCCTCGTCCCCTGCAGATACTGGAAGGAGGACAAATGCCTGAAAGGCGATGACTGTACATTTCGCCACGATCCTCTTGATTGAACATTTAATAATTCTTTCTTATATACCTACGACCGTCGTCAAGTCGTAGGGTGTAAGAGCATTTTTGTCGAGAAACATCTGCACGGAAATATTTGTCGATACTTCCACGCAAGTCACAAGTCACTACCATATTATCTTGACTAGGCTATGCCGTCCACCGCAGAGCGGAGACGACCATCGAAATATGACCTTATCTTTCGCCTACCTGTTCAACCCAATCTGATACGTCCCTTTAAATCTTTCGCTCTATTCCCCGCACTTGCAAACTTATTTTGGATTTTTCTTCTCGTTCTCAATTTTGAACTTCTTATGCTTAAACATAACCATACCCATCATTCCTCAGTCTCCATGAATTGCCAGCCTCCTGTACTATATGATCATTCCCACCACGATACGTCTCAATTTCATGCCCAGTCCCTTACCCCAGCATGCATTACTGTCTGGATATCATCCGTCATCTACCATACGATCATTCCTCTTACCATGTTTGTACAAATTTCCCCGCGCATTGCTTCAAGCCCTCGTATATCCATGTTTTATGTCATATTTTTTTGAGTTCCTCACAGGCGAGCATGGTTGTTCGTCTCCTGTACCGCTCGATACATTTAGTAGTTCTTTTTTTATCTTGTTTTTTTTCTTTCTTTCTGTTTTTATTTCTTTTCTTTTCTTTTTTCTTTCTTTCTTTCTTTCTTTCTTTTTTTATTTTTTTTTTTTTTTTGGCAGTGCTTGCTATTCTTAACTTTATTCTTTTTACATCAAATCTTGATCCGCTTGTCTGCACTCCTATATAATTATTTAGAGAGAAGATGACATACTCAGACAGAAAAGAATTCGGTTTTTTCTCTTGTTTCTCGTCACTTCATTAAAAACACTTTACCTCCTACAATCAACATTCGTGGAAGTAGGTTTTCTTCGTCGCTGCCTGCTTTCGTCCTCTGTGATCCTGGATCTCTACATTGTTTCTTTCTACTTTTCCCAAATCTAATAGTAGCATGTCAGTCCTCGGACGTGTTTTTACCTCCACAAAGAGGTAAAGTTGTATTGCCTAACTGATGAGCCACATCCTTTTCAGCTTACCCAACTCCGTTTGATCGTCTATGTATGTAACCTAGTCGACTTCTTGCAATCAATTTCAATTCTGTCGAACTTAAGAGAACTTCTATCGGACGAAACGGGATAGTGGATGGAAAGGGGGGCACACCGACACAGAACGCGTTATGTTTAGACGCTTCCGCCACTCTATCTCTGATCTCCGATCTCGGACGAAGAGACCGAATAAATATCTACAACCTCAGCGGTTGTTGTCATTTACATCTCCAAGGGAGTGAAATGTCTCCTTTTTGACTATTTTGATTTATTTGTTTGTATGTGTTTTGTAGTAAATTTGTCTGGTGATGTCAAATTCCAATAGGGTTTTTTTTTTTTTTTTTTTTTTTTTTTTTTTTTTTTTTGGGGCGGGTGTCCTTGCTGTTTCCTCTTTGGTTACTATAGAAAAGAAAAATACACAAATCGAAGAGGATTGGAAACGGATAGGATCATTAAAAAAGACATGAGTCAGTTAACTAGTAAATAGAAAAATAATAGAAAAGAGCTTAACTAATTCCGCCTTTGACTTGATATCCCATTGGAAGAGGTTATTAGAGAAGAAGAAGAAACGTATTAGGACAGAATACATTGAAGTACTAAACAAGGAAGAGAAATAGAATAAAAGAGAAAATTAAAGTGACACGAAAAAGTGAAGTGGAAGTGGGAAGTGGAAAGGATATCAATACTGTTGATGACATGGGAAGGAAAATGGAAATTCAAATGAATGGCAAGAACAATCATTGTCATCATTTTACTGCGGAAACGGAGTCTGTTAAAAAGGAGGAGATCCTGGTGAAGAAAAAGGCATCCATCAACACCCATATAGCATAGATGAAGGGAATTTCCTCCTTTTCCATCCGCTGTAGCATTTTCTTATGAATGAAAATCGTTCCATGAAATCATACTGCCATTTGCATTCACCTGGGAACATCAAGTGCGCCCATCTCATTGCTTGTTTCTTTTGTCTCAGGCCTAAATGCAAAAGTCAGTAGGTGGAGAGTTAGTTTATAGTCGTAGTTCGCCCAGAGGCAAAGTCTGGGAGCTAATTATTTTGTGGTCGCGCACTGTGGAGCAAATCAGGTCCCACTGGCAAGGAATAGTGAAGTAGAATTAATTACCTCCTCTTGGTTCTGATATTGGACCACCAGTAGGAGAGTGATCCGAGTGAAAATCAAACCTAAAAGGAAAAATGCAGACAAAAAAACCAAGGCTTCACAGTGGGTTTTGAGTGACAAGGGAACACGAGCAATGAAAGAAAAAAACCTACGAAACGCAGAATAGGCCTGATACCGATATGTAACCCCCTCCTCAGCCCTACGTTGACTTCTCTCCTCAAAAAATAAAAGAGGAAAATAGAGCTCTGACATTCCCGCAAGGACTGCCAAAAAAAATCTAATTAAAGAAATCAGGTGGCAACGACGCCAAAGCCACAACGACGCCAATTCCACCAACTGCCGCCCCCAATAATGCACTGGCAGCGTAACGGGCAAAGCTGGGCGAGGCGGCTGGTGTCTCTGTCTTGATCTTCTTCGCCTGCGGCGGTAAATGTGTTGTCTCATCTGTTTTTGTAGGTTTGAAGGTATGGCCGAGGCCATGCGGCTCGTTATTGGTTGTTTTGAATTGGGACGGGAGATCGTGTTGATGAACGAGGAGGTCTCGCGGTTGGGCTTCTGGGAAGCTGTCATTTTCAACGTTGTCGTACTCGTTACCATTGTAGAAATCATTGATGCTTTTGAGTGTTTCTACTGAAACTGGTTCCGAATTTACTTCCCTCGCCTTACGCTTTCGTGGGTTCGTTGGTCGGTTAGACTCAGTAGTCTGCTTGTGCGCATCGACTATATTTGCAATTGGGATCGAGGCTGCACGTATCGGATCTTTTGGTACGGGATTGACATATTTGGATTGGGTTGGGTTGTTTGGTACATCACTTGTGCTCTCAAGGGCGGGCTGCCACGGAGGGTGCGATTGGAACTGGGACTGGGACTGGGACTGGGACTGAGACTGAGACTGGCAACGGGGTGAGCCTGGGTATGCGGGCCCAGAAGACGATCCGTATCCAGGAGCCAGCGAATAAGGAGAGTCAAACCGATATATATCCCTGGAGTTCTCGGCCAGTGCTTGATCGCGTGCACTATCCGCGGAGTAAGTGGGTGGACTCCTACTCTCAAGAGAGTATGGGCGAACGCACCTAACAGCATCACCTACCCAACTGTTGTCTCCTTGGCTTGAAGCGGCAAAGGGACCGTCTGGATATAGCGGTCGTAGAGGTGGGAGGTGGGGGAGCCCGTAGTCGCTGGCGACTGATGTCCCTCCGTATAGTGGTGTTGATGAGTCGGGTTCGAAGGACCCTGAGCTCCCAAATGCTCGCTGGAATTTGTTAGCAGCCGGAACCCACCGGGGACAAGTGCTGTCGTCATGGAAGGTCAGATACGGGACGCCTGCAGTCGGTTTGGCGAGTGCCTTGTCCGAAGGACTGGGTGATCTTTTTGAGCCGAGGGCTAGATTCCGATCCCGTGTTTGAGTTTCTTCAGCTAGAGTTTGTTCACAGCCCGAAGTTGGCGGCTGCACAGTGTTCACCAGTTCTTCACGCAGAATTGGACTGATAAACGCAGAGTGTGTGTCATTGTCGCACCCGGTCAGCTTTGGCATACTCCCAGTAGTAGCAGTAGTAGTGGGGCGCGGGCATTCAGGTTGACTCGTCATGTCAGCGCGTTCGGTGGCCAGATCTATCTTATCAGGGGCGGAAAACTGTGCATGAACAGCCTCCAAGTTCTCCGAGGAACGACGAATGTCAGTTTCAATAGTGTGGTCAGCGTTTTCATTGCTGATGTGGGTGTGGGTGACGTGGTGCTGGCCAGAATCGGAGTCTGCTTGAATTCCAAGTCCAAGGTCTTCTCTATCAGCATCGAAACTAGAGTCAGGGTACTCCTTTGATACTTGGGCATGTTCACTTTTCGGCTCTGCGTTGTGAATGCGGTCGTTATCAATAAGAGTCGGCATGGCCGTTTCAACATCAGAGTCAGGAGGGTGCTGGGATTGGATGACCTGCTTAGAACTCGTTGAATTGTCGCCCTTTGACTCTGAATTACTAGGCAGGGAAGACGGTGGAGAAGACGGTGGAGAAGATTTTGATTCTTGCCCGCCATCATTAGAGGAGTCGTGAGCTGATCCCACCTCAGAGTTAGCGGAGGCTGAAGGCTCGCGAGATATGGCTTTGGTATCAGATGCATTTGCGAATATAGCTTCGGCTTGCGGGTCGCTGAAGTCCTGACCATCATCGTCATCGTCGTCATCCGGTACGACAAAGGTATTCGCCGAGTGACTCTCGCTAGGCTTCGGAGGATCCTCCGCAGGTTTCCTGGAGGAATAGGTGTTAGTGACTGGGCCTACAGCCGATAAGAAGGTGCATTGGGTAAAATGTAGGGACGTACCATGACAAGAGGACACTAACACTCAAGGGTTTATAGATCTCTGTAGGGATCAAGAACAAGTTAGAACGGGGAGTCGACGAGAGTTTTTGACAAAGATGAAGGAATACAGACTTGAACCACGGGAAATCGTCGACCCGAAAGTCAAGATGTCCTCATTCTTCACCACCGCCTTCGTTTTGGCGGTAAGCCTTTTGCCATTCAACAAAGTTCCATGCATAGAATCTGTATCGATGACGGACGCTTGCTGTATTGCAACACAAAATAAAACCGCTTAGCCTTCATATGCATCGCAAAGCATATATACATCTACAAGGAAAAGTGTGGAAAAGTGTGGAAAATACAATACCTTTGTCTCGGGACAGGCAGTGATTATGGCATGGGTGCGCGACATGACCGGGGAGTCGAACCAGGCATTCTCGCGGGATGGATGGAGGTTGGCATGCGTCTTGGACGAGCGGCCGACGACGATTTTATCTTGCTCGGAAGACAAAGTCAAAACACGGATTTCGAAGGGACTTTTGGATTTGGGGAGCAGGCGAACGATAACTATGATATAACACATGAGATTACTCCACGCCGTTGTATAGATATTGGTGAACTCGATGATGGGGTGGGAATGGACGAAAGGGTACATACGCTTGTTACGATCCATGATGACCACTATGCATCAGAGATAAATAAACCCCGTTGCAAGGAATTTATAGAAAACAATTGGAACCTTTTTGGTTTTGGTACAGGAGAGAAGAAGGTACTGGGGAATCAAGAACGATAGGAGTGATTGTTGCAGTAAGCACAAACAAGCAACACAAGTTCAGTGCTGAAGCTTATGGCAATGTCCAAGTTTCCATTCGGAGCAATCAAGATTCGAACACTGTCTGCGCACAGAGCTATTGTGAATATGAATGGAACAGGAGAGCGATAAGGTTGATGTTCTTCCGGAGAAGACGGGGGAATGATATCCTCTGTCGTGTTCTCCTTGAGTATACGATGTAATTGGAATCTGACGTGGTGGGTGGGTTGAGGTGGGGCAGGACAGGCAAGCTTCCGCCAAAGCAAAAACGCGGGGAACGTGGATTGGAATGAAGGAGACAAAGCTTCTAACAACAGCCGTTGAGAGCACCGGACGGACGGAGTGGCGAGATGGGGGGAAGAGAGACGAGTTACAACTGGCGAGGATGCGAAGGCGACGGTTGAAGTTGGAAGTTTGGAGTTGACGTTGGAGGCGGACAGTGCCAGGGTCAGGTGGTTATTATTAGGCAGAATTACCCGCATAACTTTGGTATCCCGCAGTACCAGTTACCAACTTCCGGGCGCATGGTTGCAGGCAACACAAGGTCACAGTGACATGGAACTGTAAGTGCCCCGATGCATGACGTCACTGGCCTGGTGGTCATGTGACATGCACTCACTGCGTCGGTTGATACTCAACGTCATTATCGAGGGCAGGATAAGAAGTAAACCAGACGTAGAGAAACAAATAAAACAAAACGAAGTTCATCATGTACCTAGGTAGTTGGCTACGCATACAAACAAGAATGGACAGGAGGCAAAAGTGGGAACAAGAAACAAATATATATATATAATTACATTGAGACGTTGCACGCATGCCAACCCCCAATCGTGCTCAGGAGCTCGGGACCTCGGAGACGAAAACCGGAAACTAAAAAAACCAAAACAAAATGCAGGGGGTAGGGATGAGGATGGGGACAGGTATGCCAGCAGCCGGGGAAATGGGGCCACGCAGTCTAAGATAAAGCAGGAAAAATTAAAATAAAACAGAGTAGAAACAAAATATAGGAGACAAAACCCAAGTCCCAGGGAGGGGGAGGGGAGTGAAATGCGAAAATGTCCACCGAAGTGTCTGCAAGGGGAGGAAGCGGAGGGAACTTTTTCTGCGTGGCCCTCCTTCAACCTTTTTGCACCGAACGGACCAGACCAACGCGGAAAATCCTCAGTCGTGGAATGAGGGGTTTAGAAGGTTATGCTCGTTTAAAAAAAAAAAAAAAAAAAAAAAAAAAAATCTTTTAGAGAGTCCAAACAAGCAATGTCTGGGACTGGGGAATCTCTTCGTTGTCTGGTTTTTTCTTGCTTGGGGGTTACAGATCTGCTATACACGCGCTTGTTTCGTTCCCAGACGGAGAGCTAGGAGCACACACACACACACACACACACACACATATATATATATATATATGTATATATGTATATATGTATATATGTATATATGTATATATGTATATATGATCTTAGATAGAGGGAGGGAGGGAGAGCGGAGAGGGAGGCAAAAATATGTTTCTCTTTGCTTTTCTCTTTTCTTTCTTGTTTCATTTACTTTTCCTTACGCGGGCGGCACCCCCATCGCACCCGCACCGGCCACCTGCTGCAGCCGCGCAGCGAGCTTGGGATACCGCTCCTGCACCTCGAGTTGCGCACGCGTCGCTTCGGCGTATGACACGGCGTTGACGACTTCGGCTTCCGTGCGCGCAAGCTCGCCCGCGCGTTCGAAGTATTCGAGTGCTTGGGACACCTTGCCTTGTTGGAGGAGGAGTTGCGCGAGGGTCGCGACGGCGATGTCGCATTCCGGGTCAACTGTGGGAAATTATAAGGGATTGGATTAATAGCTGTTTACGGGGAAAGGGGAAAGGGGAAGGGGGAAAGGGTTGGAGGTATGAATAACAGGTAGATAGATATAGGATGGGAGGGCACGTACTGATGAGCGCCGCTTGGCAGAGATTCTCCGCTTCAGCGAAATCGTGTTTCCACTGGAACAGCGCGAGCGCTTTGTTGATAAGAGGAAGCACGTTGACCCCCCATGGCTTGTTTTTCTTCTCCAACTCGACCGCCTTGTCGAACTTCTCAATCGCCTCTGCATGTTTCTGCTGGTCGAGAAGCAACTCGCCATAGTAGTTGTAGACGTCGGAGATGTTCTCGAAGTTTTTGACGGAGCGGCGGAAGGTGGACATCGCAGACGCCACAGAGCCCATCTTGTATTGTGTTACTCCGAGTTGGATGTGGGAGTAGATGAAGTCCCGGTCGATGTCAATTGACTTTTGGTAATCCTTGGCGGCCTCGGGGAGCTCGCCAAGGATGAAGTGAAGCTGCGCACGGTGGTAGTAAATGTCCGGATCATCCTTGTTCTGTGCCACGGCAAGGTCAAAATCATCTGCTGCAGCTTCTCGGTTGCCTGTTCGGATGTTAGCTTCAATCTGGTCGAGATTTAAGAGCGGAAACCCCCCACCCCCGCCCCCCCAAAAAAAGGGAAGAAGGGAAAAAAGTAAACACCCACCAAGTTCAAGGTGCAGACTAGCCCGCTTGATATAGCTCTGGACCAACGACGGATCCAGCTCAACACTCTTATTTAAGTCCTGCAACGCAGCCTGAGCATCGCCAGCAAGATACGTGAAAGTCGCCCGCATGTTTAAGGCCAGGGCCTCAAAGCTGCCCAGGTCACCCAACTCAAGCGACTTCTCAAAAGCCTTGGCTGCCTCCTCGTACCCATCTCCAGTCGGCTTGGACAGGGCGAGGAACCCTTTGCGCAGCTGACCCTTGCCGCTCTCCTCGTCCAACTCCACATCCTCACCCAAACCATCCGGCAGGGGCCGTGGGCGGAAGCTCTGCAGGTAATTGGACACGAATGTGGCGCTGGGCAATTTCTTCCCCTTCGCTTCCAGGATTGCGCGGCCCTTTTGCTCTGCGACTTTCTTCAGCAGCCGCTCCACGGCCTGCTTGCTGGATTCTTTGGCGAAGCCGTCGATGATGCAGCTGGCGGTGTAGTCCAGCAGCGCCTCGTGGAATTTGCCCAGCTTCTCGTACGCGTTTGCTCGGCGGTTCATGGCTTTGATGTATTCGTCGTCCATGGCGAGGGCCGCGGAGGTGTCCTCCACCACCTTGTCCCATTCGCTGAGGGCGTTGTAGCACGCGGCACGGTTTGAGTAGTACACGGGGTCCGGTTTGCAGAGAATAGCCTTGCTGTATAGTTCGATGGCTCGGTTGTAGTCAAGGGAACCGAAGGCTTTGTTTCCTGCAGCCTTGAGCTTTGCAGCATATGCCGCTCGAGTCTGGGAGGGAAGGAGAAAAAAATCCCGCCATTAGCAATTATCTAACTGGGTTTTTAGTTTTGCAGGGTGTGCCTCAAGGCGCACATACTTCGGCGGACAGACTGTCGACAGTGAGCTCGTCGACCTCTGGCAGTGCTTCCGGAGATTCCTCTGGTTGTTTCTTGGCGGCATCTGTAAATGGAGAGTTAGGGTCAGTAAGTGACTGGCGCATTCGAACCCAGGTCAATATTTCAGGATGGGATTGAAGCCATACCGGATGAAGCAGTACCCTCACCCTTTTTCTCCTCCTCCGCCTTCTTCTTCTCACGCCGTCTCTCCTTTTTGCTCTTCCTTTTCTCCATGGGTTGCGTCGAAGCTGTTGATCGGCCGGAGTCGGTTAAGTAATAGGCAAAACCGGCACTTGTGATGACTACGGCGACTCCGGCAATGGTGCAGACAATTGCCTTATTCTCGGAGGCCCATGTGGAGATGCGATCCCAGACTGAGGATGATGGTTGCGCTTGGAGAGAGGGTGTGTTGAAGGCGGCGGCATTGTGTGATGGCGCAGGGAGGATTTTATCTGACGACATTCTTGACGTTGTGGACGCAAATTGGGATATTAGAGCACCGGAAGGCGATTACAAGATATCAATTGGGCTGCTCTGTGAAACGGCAATTGATGAGGAATAAGTAAACAAGAAGATAAACAGATTACTGCAAAAATAGTGCAAGCGGAGCAGGGAGAGAACAGAATAGGAAGAGTCGCACCCGGAACGAAGAAGGCTCCCCCGAAGCAGACAACAAATGACACGCGAATGGGGAGGGATAGCAGAGAGGGCTGTATCTGGGCTGGGGGAGATGGTGTTTATGCCGGGGCCTGTGTTGACTTGAATTGCTGCAGTTCAGCATGTTGAAGCTTTTTTTTTTTTCTTGGAAGGGGTTTAGTCAGCCTGGATCGATTACATCAGCACCAAATAGTTGTTGTACTGTACAATGAAATAATGTGAATAATACATTTAAAAAGGCAGATAGATATATATCCAATTTTGTAATTGAACAAGACTTGATGAAAGAACATCCGGCGTATTTATCTATGTATGTACAGATCAAAACCGTGATCGCAAGGTATCCATCAGGTATCAACCCTCCCATCTTCATATTCAATCCCAATCTGACTGACTATCCACCGAAGGAAGTATGCAAAAAATTAAGCAGGGGAGAAAGAGAAAAAGAAATAATAAATCAATCACGCCCATTTACCCAGCAATCCCATCAAAACCATGCCAGCCACCAACGACAGAAGGCCCAGGCCTGTCTTGACGATTCCTGCCTCGTGCAAATCGCCATACAGCCAGTCATGGCTCCACATGTCAATCAGCGCAACCCAAGTTAAGATGCCGGCCGACAGCGCGTCCAGAGTGCCGATGGCAAGGAGGGTTGACCGGTCATTGCCGTTGAACTTGCGGATCACACCCAGCCCGACCGCCATGCCGACGGGGGTTATTAGCGCGAAGACTGCCGCCATGCCCACCGAAGTGGGCGTGAGGGCAGACCCGAGCTTGGCGATTCGCGCGCCTAGCGCGAGACCTTCGAACATCTGGTGGAAAATGATTACGATAAAGAGGCTTGTGTAGCTGGAGTCGCCGGCGACGACGAGTGTAAGCCCGATGACTGGAGGGTGGAGAACGATGTGAATGTTTTGTACGTTTATGTGATGCGCACGAATGGTCCAGGGTTATGACTTACTGATTGAGTGAAAGATAATGCCGGCTTCCATCACCACTACGCTTAGCTTGTCGTCTGGTCGAGCCAAGGAGTGGTGGTGGTGGCCGAGATTGGTTAGGGTGGGAGCAGCCCGTTCGGTGTCGCTTCCGTCGATGGATTTTGCCGTAGTCCGCCGGGGTTCTACTCGGGATTCGACGCGGGGTTCGACATCGCAATAGGCGTGCGGGTTGCAATCAGGTTTTCTTGTGAGAAGGAATCGGTTTCCGCCATATTCAACTAGAAACGAGAGGAAGATGCCGGCCATGGCAATTGACCCTGTGGTTGCTTCGTACGTCAAAGTCCCCAAGCATGGGTTGCTGAACATCAGCTGTGCGTGGGTAAACAGCTGAGGGGTAGCAGGCTGTCAGCGTGAAGTCTTAAAAGGAAGAAAGTGCCGGCTTCGAGAGAACAAACATGTATGAACGCAGTTGACACCATAACTCCAGTGCCAAACTGTTTAATGACCGTGAAAACCAACCCGTTCATGCCCGTATTGGAGAGTCGAGCCCATGACATTGGGCCAAACACGGCAATGGCGCTGGTAGCGAGAATGGCAAAGAGTGACCCGATTCGGAGGGGGATATTGTAGTCTCGATCTTTTCGTTCACACGAAGGTGGCTCCGAAAGTTCGGATTCGCCCTCGCTCCCGCAATGCCTTGGTATTGTTAGCCAAGGGAGTTTATTTCATAGCTGTGTTGTCATCGGCTGCTACATACTCTACACCGGCATGGAAATGACAATTTTCTCTGTGCTCGGGTTCCATCGCCCCATGGCCACCGGCCGATGTGGAGGTTTGGGATGGAAGGAGAATCTGCACCTCATCGCCGTTGGGAGCTATGCAAAATCTAAGCAATGGGATTAGTATATAGATATGATATGTGAGGGATGTGGTGGTGCGGGATCAATAACGGAATAGCAGACTTTTCAGATTCATGAGTGTGGCAGCCTGTGTATTGAGAAGGAGGTTCTGCTGTTGCTGTTCCAGTCGCGGTGACCTGAACCTCTTGCCCGTCGCCCGCGATGCAAAATCTAGAAGGAATTTATGTTTAGCAGAGTGAATTGTGGATGCAAACTTTCAATTCATCCCATCTTTAACCCTATTGCCTTGCTATTGGGGGAGACATACGTTTGCGTGCCGTGTGTATGGCAACCGGTGACCGCAGTTGTTTGAGGAGCAACAGAGGCGGCAGCCAACACGGCGGGCGGTTGTGTTTGCGTCGGGGCTACCTGGCTGCCAACGGGAATGTCCTTTCCATCAGGCACAGTGCAGAACCTGGGAGATGTTAGCGAGATGTAAATAATCGACAAAATGACAAAGAACAAAAATCAGGTGACAACAGAGAAGAATATACACAGTGCCTCCACGGCTATGGCAGCCATAATAACTCTGAGAACAGACCAACGGGACGGCCGAAAAGATGCAGCCAATACCCAGGAGGGTAGTGAAGGCGACCATCCTGCACAAGAGATTGGGGGTTGGGAGGGAGGGCGGCGGAGATTCCCAAAATTCCACTTACCAAAGTCGAGTGGAATTTTCGATATGAGGATATTCTAGCAATGTTCAAGTCCGACGGGAGAGGGTTTAGCCAACTGCAAATGGCAAATGCATCAGCACCTGGACAGACTTGCTTAAAATATATACATTTATGTCGACATATATATGTATTTGGATATACACCCCCACGACTCCGACAAAACGGAGAACTGCAAGGGACTTTGTACCTACCACCAAGGTACCAGAAACACATCAAACAAAGGAGCGACGTCGAGGGGCAGCATCCCGGTGTAGATGTAAGAGGACCAACAAGGTTTGCTGTTCCTGGCGAGCAGTGATGCTGAGTGAGTCCACTCCAAGGTGTTCGTTCTTTGTGCACAGGCGGGGACCTTGGGGGTGCCAATGCCCCCGCCAGCATTGAATCAAGATGGCGCCATTACCATGACGACGATTTCAGAAAATCTCGGAGATCAGGCCAAATTGTTGGCACTAACTTCCCTCAAAAAGAGCACCCTCCGAACTCTTCAAGTCTCGAACTCTTGAACTCTCCGAGTGCCAGCAATAACAGCTCTCAGGCATACCGTCGTGGAATTCGGCAGCCGTCTTGTTGAGTATTATTCATCCGTGTCATGCAGCCATAGCCAGTAGATAGAGGGCATCTTTCTTAAGGTGAAAGTGGCTTTCCCCTTTCTACCCACGTTTCAACCAGAACCCGGTGGATAAAGCAGTGGGGAGTGGATTATCGGGCAACCCCCAGCAAAGTGGCATTTCTCGTTTGCCCCGCTCCTGGCCCACAGCCACCTGCGGTTCGCAGTTCAGCGGACATTTCCATCATGGCGAGCCATGGCATGGAACGTCTCTGCGGGTAGCTGAATATTGAATATTTGTGCAGAGTGCTCCGTATAGCGGCGTTGAACGAGGTCAAATCATCAACCCATCAAGTAACGAATGGTGCCCTGATGCTGACTCACCAGCAGTTGGGTGTGGTATAGTAACTACTAGTTTCGGCAAACCGCGGCCTGCCGTCGAAGCGAGGTCAATTCATTTCTCATGATTCTGAGCCGGAAAATGTGAGACCTGCAGGTCTTGGCTTATTAATCCTTCCACCATATAACTTCCAGAAAAAGGGTAGCCATATACATATATGTAGTATATAACCCTTGCAGGAATCCATAATAGGATGATGCCACCTTGCGAATGTCGCGGTAAACAACTGCCGGTGCAGGTCCTCCCCTCTGCACACTGAGAATATATATATATATATATATTCGCCTGATGCACCTACCCCACAATCTGCATCAGAGTTTACAATTCAGCGAAGAGTATATGACACGCTCCCAGTGCAAACAGCCTACACTCAAGCCGATGATGGATGTCAGTATTCAACTGTGTAAAGGTCGCTTGCTGTCCATATGAACACGGCGCACCCTATTGCCATCTACACTGATGAATGTTTAGAGATGAGAATCATCCCAGCATCCGAATGACGCTCATTTCCAAGCCATGATACGTGAAATGGAGCATATGGAGAGGAGGGAAAGAAAGAGAGAAAATAAAAAGAATAAGAAAAGTAGAATAAAAAAGAACACGGCAAGAAGCAATTTTTTTTTTTTTTTTTTTTTTTTTTTTTTCATTTTGAATGGTTTCATACATTAAGGAGCTTTTCCCCCATTTGTTAAATATACCAAACAGCACACCCTTGATGTGATCTTCTACACTCTAGGTCTTACATACAGACTGTAGAAAGATTTCATCTGTGCCAGAGTGGAGATTTACTTTATTTGCGGGCGGAACATTTTGCCATATAATGGGGAATCTGTTATGGCTTTTCATGGTCCAGTACAATGTTTCGTCCTGGGGACTTCAGTCCAGTTGCCCGTCCCACAGCCATGGGCAGGATGAATCATAAATGATGCTTGATAGCGGAAACATCCTCCTAACAAGGCCATTTTTCCCCCTACAGCCACAGGATATGACTGGAGTGTTCGGATGCTGGATGCTGGGTCATCTCATGGCCTTATACTCGATTGCCTCCATGCCAAAGATAGGTAGCTAGCATATCTCCATCTCATCTTCTGAGTGAGCATGGGATCCCCTATCCGATGACTTATCTTACAGGAAACAACACCACAGCAGCTCCGTAATCCTCGCTTCATGAGAACTCTGGAATTCGAAAATCCGGAACGACACCCCAGAGGTTCATATATCATCGGGGCTTCAAGAAGATTCCCGGTGCCATATTGCTCACCAGCAGCACCACATCGCAGTGTGATATCTTTTTTTCCTTTTCTTTTTCTTTCTTTCTTCTTCTTTTTTCTCGGTTGTTGGATACGTGGAATAACACCGAAACCTGCTCCGCTCCCCGTCTCACCACGGCTCTTCCAATCCTCCATTCCCGCATTTTTCGTAGTTGCCCTTGGAACGATGTGGGACAAAAGTGCGTACCTTGGCTGGTTGATCGATGTTCGTGGATCTGGAGAACCTCAAAGCACGGCGTGGATTGCTTAGAAAAGGCGTAGATAAAGCAGTGAAGGAGCTGCTTTAGCATGCGATGTGAGCTGCGCAGGAGAGTTAACCGCATGCTGAAAATATAGCCCGACTTACCCGGCAACGCGGCCGTCGGGATGATACAGGAACAAGGTGACGGGGTTTCACTCGAGAATAAACGACGGTGCTACTCTGTTCGATGGAGAAAAACAAGAGACGCGTGCCCCCTGATAAGCGGAAACGCACCGAAGTTAGTTGCAATAAATGTAAATCGCGGAAGCAAAAGTGCGACAGAGTTCAAGGTCAATCGGCTTGTCGGTACTGCCAATTAAACGGAATCGCATGCAGCACCAACCTCCCGCGCAAGCAGTGGATATATGGCAGTGATGAGACCCTTCGCAACAAGCTCGTCCTTCTGGAATCCCTGGTCAAGGGCCTTGTGCCAGATGCTAACCTGTCTAGCAATGATGAGATGATCAAATTGGGAAAATCCCTAGTCATTTCACTTCCGAAAGATGGCACGGGAGCCGACGTGGAGGTGGAGGAGGAGGAGGAGGAGGAGGAGGAGGAGGAGGAGGAGGAGGAGGAGGAGGAGAAGGGTGAGGAGGGGGGAAAGAAGAAAGAGAAGAAGGTCGCCAATACCCACGAAGAAGGATATACTGTTTCGCTGTTCCCTGATCAGCAGGGCCAAATCCAATACATTGGCCCTTCAAGCTCATTTGAACTCCATGGGAAATTGAGGATGCTGTTGGGAAGCTACGTGAGCTTCGAGTTCATGATATTCGGCCACAACGCCGCTGACCAGCCTAGCACATCGGACACATCCAGCGACCCCCAAATGGGTAGCGGGAGGGATCTGCGAGAAAGCAGGGAGTTGAGCAATGTGCCCAGCGACTGTATTTCCCTTTCACACCTGAGGCACAACGATGGGGCCATTCTGGATCGGAGATATGGTGACATCGACCAGTCATCTAAAATGAAAGGATTATGGCTTTGCGGGACATTACCCCCAGGACTTTATGAAATGGTCGCAGCAGCTTGTGCTGCTCTTGGCGTCGACGTGCAAAGCGTTAAATCAAGCGGGGACGGGGATCCTTTCGGGTGAAGATGCGTACAGAAGGCCGCTCTCCCCGGAAGCAGGTATTCTGTGCGACCTTGGCTGGTGGAAGGAGAATCTTCCGCCTCACTTGCGCCTCAAGGTTACGGATTCGCTGGCGCCATCCTCTCGTTGACCAGTACTTTTGCTTCATGCTCAGTATAACTATGTAGTAGTGTTGATCTTCAAGCCAGCTTTGCTGCGCAGGGCAACCAGTTCATCCAAGGTTGTCAAGGTGCAGTTGCCACAAAGCCTATACACAGTATCGGAAACATGCGTTGAATCCGCACGGGCCCTGGGATCAATTATGCTGAAGTTGGAAGCCAACGATCAACGATCAGTTCAATGCATTGACCTGGTGGGACATTTTTTATACCTTAATATCCTCAATGGCCCTGGTGCTGGACATCTTTTGCCGCGTCAATCAACAGGGGCGCTCTGAGGATTCATTGGGTTCGCAAGCGTTGCTTCGAGAACTTGCAGGCCTAATGTTAAGGCAGCTCCGGAATCCAAGACTGCCAGGTACCATGCGGACGTGGGGCGTGGTAGTGGTGGAACTCAACTCGATGAGGGAGCATTTGGGATCGATGCCTCAGTCTACTACTATCGCCTCGAGTGAGACTTCGGGAGATCGGCATGTCTTGGACACGGGGAGTCCGTATTCATTCCCGATGCACCCGACGGGCAACAGTCCGATTGAACCCATCACTTCCAACGATTTCAACCTTGCATGTTCCCCGATGATCGCCGGCATGGACAACAAAGTATGGCCGACCATTTCGCGAAAATAAATAACGCCATAGTTCGGTTTCAAAGATGGCAATGTCAGGCCGTTTAATCTGCCGCCAAGCTGACAGTTGTTTACTTTCATGGAGACCTATGTAACCCCGCATCTGTTGCGGATGTCCTCCGTATGGATGTATGCATCCGATAATTCAACCATGCCCCATGTCACTGGAAAGCATTTGGGGAAAGTCTGTCGAGTTGGTGGGCAAAACGCCCAGGTCATATCAAGGCCCAATCCTTTTATACATTTATGCGCTGGATTCCGCCATCTTACTAGTATTCCGCATCAGGGGATTTAGTGCCCACTAGTGTCATGGCCAACTCCGTCCACCGTGAACTTTGTCCTTCCTACTCCGTAGTATCCTGCATGTCGGTTCGTGGAAGATATGATGGAGAAGTTAAATAAATAAAAATTAGATGCCCGGGACTTCACTTTTAAGGTCAAGGGGACAGAGCGCAAACCGTTAATTCACTCTCATTTCTCCGACAACCTCAATTTTAATACGGGATCATATCCCAAACCGGTTGCCATACGGATGTTGATTACACTGCCCGGGGAAAGTGAGCAGATGGGGTTTCTGAAGTCGCAGGAAGGCTACCCCGTCCACCGGTTTGTCACTCCAGCCACTCCCAGCCAATGCAACCAATCGGGAATATATTGGCGCAAAAATTGGCTAACCACCACTAGCAATAGCGGACCTTGCATGGGGCAAAAATGGGCCGGCCGGCCTGTTAGATGATGAGTTCTTGCATACTTTGTGAGCGGGTTAGAGAAAAGCTAAAAACTCGGGGTGCGGGGAGTTATTCTGTGTTATACATGAATTCATTGGGGTTCCTTTCAATGCCGTCTATTTACGACTAGTATCTCTCAGCTACGTACAGAATAGTTTCTAGGAATTCGTTGAGATGTCTCCTCTAAATAAACTCCAAGGAGACGGTGGCAGGTAAATTGAGAGTGGGAGGGAAGTGTGTAAAGGATTCTAAAACAATCATAGTACTCCGCACCTTTCTTTACCTTTCACTCTCCTAATATCAAACCATCCCACGGTTTAAACACCGCGCATCCGTACAACTGAATCTGAACCTGCTCGCGTTAGTAATAACAACAATAATAATAATGACCTTCATATAGCAGAAGGAGTATGACGTTCCTCAACCGCAGGCCATCGGACAACGCACAGCACGTCCCATTACGATTATTATAATTATTGTTATTCTTTTCTTTCTTTTCTTTTCTTTTCTTTTCTTTTCTTTTCTTTTCTTTTCTTTAATTTAAAAATAAATAAATAATGAAATAAATAAATAATGAACCCTTCTCTGCCGTGGGGCATTTCCAGGCCGAAGATCTAACCCTAACTTCACGACCAACTCTGCAAAGCGAAGCGGGTTCTTCCTGAGGCCCCATCAATCGGCTCCACCGATGTCCATGTCCATGTCAATGTCGTCGACGCCCGACCCGTCCTTCACCATCGCCATTATCTGCGCGGGCATCGCGGGCCTCGCGCTCGCCATCGGCCTCCGCAAGCAAAATGCCGCGTGCAAATACACGATCTACGAGGCCGCGCCGCAGTTCCATGCCGTGGGCGCCGGTATCGGGATGGGCCCCAACGCTCTGCGCGCGATGGAGCTCATGGACGCCGGCTTTGCGGAAATGTACGTACGGCCGGATCAAGGTCGGGAATGCGAGCGGCGACCGCCGGCATGAGCAGTTTGAGATACTGAGTGCCGCGCAGGGGTTTGGGGCGGGTCGGTGTCGCATTGGGACTTCGAGAGGAGTAGTGCCCACCGCCAGGCGCTGCTGGAGGTGATGAGCGCGCTGGTTCCGGATGGAACGGTGCAGTTTAATAGATGGGTGATGCGTGTTGAGCATGTGGAGGGGCAGACGCGGGTGTGTTTTGGCGTTTTCGGGCGGGGAGGCTTGTGTGATGGGTGACGCTGTGGTGGGCTGTGATGGGATTAAGGGGGTTACAAGGCGCGTGGTGCTGGAGATGGAGTATCCGGAGGAAATTGTTGCGAAGTACTGTCATCCTTATTTCTACAGGAACATCGTGCCGATGCAGGAAGCTAAACTAATACTGGGCTCGTATGCAGACAATGCAAAGTGGTTCATGGGCGAGGGGCGGAGATGTGTAATGTATGCCATCTCCAAGGGAGAAGAGGTGAATGTGGTTGTTTTCATCCGGGATGAGCGGCCCTGGGTAGGGGAGCAGGCGGCGATGCGGGTTTCAAGGGAAGATATGCTTTCCGACTTCAATGGCTTTGATAAACGGCTATTAGACCAGTTAGACGTAAGGCTGGGCGTCTTCTTCTTCTTTTTTTTTTTTACTGTCCATATATATGAACAAAGCACAAAACCTCTCCGATGGCCCCTATTCCACCATCCCGATATCTTAACGTATTACCGCGGCCATGTCTGCGTCCTCGGGGATTCAGCCCACGCTTCCAGTCCCAGCCAGGCGGCCGGCGCCGGGCTAGGGCTGGAGGATGCGTTGGTCATGTCCGGGCTTCTCGGCCTAGTCAAGAAGCCGGAACAACTTGAGAGTGCCTCTGAGGTTTATAATTCCATCCGTCAGCCCCGCGCGCAGGCTGTGGTTCAGGGGAGCCAGGAGGCACTCCTGGCCTATTTCCTGGTCCACCCGGAGTTTGGCCACGACATCCAGAAACTCACAGACTATGCAAACACAAGGCTGCCATTGATCAGGTTCCATGACTTGGAGGGTGATGTGAAGACGGCGGGGCAGCGGTTTCGGGAGCTGACTGAAGCAGCTCAGCCAGACAATCGAGAACAATAGGGTAAAATAGGTGACAATAATAAAGAAGGACTAATGTTAGGAGACCCTGTGGACACCTTGACATACGCGTTTTATGCTCTTTTTCCTTGAAGATGATGAATCCGAGACCAGAGCGTCCATGGATTAGTCATAACCAGTCATCCATCGCAGTACAGAGGATGTCGGTAACCAATGTACTGTATCTGCAGCGTGCGTAGAGGGCCGCATCAGCTTCAGGTACTGTGCACTGCGTAGGCAACTAGGTTGACAACCGTCCCCAGTCGCACTATTGAAAGCCCAAGAACACACAGTAGGGTCCCTGGGGCAGGGATACTCGGGGAAGTGAGATGACAGCTGGAGGCAGTTGGGTAGGGGGAACACTCGTTCTATGGCTAGCTATGTGGCAAGTCGCAGCGGGAAACCAGAGAGTCAAGCAAAGCTGCCATGTCATGTCTGGGGGGGCAAAATTGGAAGTGAGTTGATATTCCCTCCCAGGGGCGTGGTATAGGTAACTATGGTCTGAACGGCATACGCAGCGTACGGTGTTGCGACACAAGGAGGGATGTGCCTGCGAATCAAGCGTTAGGGCTGGCATGATCCTGGGTTGGGGACACGGACCCCATACAGGCACTATCATACTACGGAGGAGAGATGTAAATAATTGTTCTCTGAATACACGGCGACCATACACGGACTCTATGATATGTGGGTTTGAATATAAATAGTTTACTCGTCAGCTAGTTAGGAGTTGAACTTCACTAACTATGAGCAAGTTAACTAGTTAGTTACTTATGGTTGGTTAGTCAGGGATGACCAAGGCTGCTTAAGCGGCAGCACTAGGCATTCGGCCCAGGGGGCTCCTGATTGGCGGGCGGCGGTGGAGTGGTAATCTCCACCGCCAACGACACCCCTGCGGGTTAATTTGGGACCAGCCCCACGGCCCAGGCTGTCTTACAGCCACGACATCACTGCCATCCCCCCCCCAAAAAGGAGCGTGGCATTAGAGGTTCGCCCTGGGGGTGGCAGTATTGACCGTCAGCACAGCCCCCTGCCGCCCAGCCAAGGGGGGGAATCGCAAAGGGGGTGACTGCGAGGGTACATCTATCGCCATACAAGGGTCGCGGCGCCCGACATGTCACTGCAAGGTCACCTACAGGTCTCACCGGCGGCTGTCTGGCCTCGCCTGGCCTGGGCCACGGGGGCTCTCCAAAGCCGCCAAATTTCCCGTCTCTGGGTTGGTGATCCTCCTCTTTCCTTCCTCTTTCTCTCATAACCCTAACCTCTCTCTCCTCGGATCTCTCAACCTCTCAACTCAACCTCCTCACCTCAACCCTCAATCCTCTGCTTCTTGACTGCTTTCTCCTCGTTCTCTTCCTCTTGCACGCCATCCCGCGCCTGCACCAACAGAGTCCAACTGCTGCAACAACCTGCACCAAACACAGCGCCCCGGCCCCGTCCTGGACAACGCTCCCCGACCGTTGCTGCGTTCCACCTCTCAAATTGTCACCACAATGACTGTGGCTGCTCTCCTCCGCGTCTAATCCACCTTTCTATATTCAAGAAATATCTTCCCCTCTAGCCCGGCTGCTGTATACACACACTCGTTTCTTTCTCTCTCTCTCTCTTTTTTGCTATATTCATCTCTAACTAGCCGCTCGTTTTATTTGTTTGTTTGCGCTTCCTCGTTTTTCCTCAGTCTCATTTGCATTGCCAGCCGTTGATCGGCCTCACTCGATATCAACCAACCAACTAACCCAAAACAAAAATCTAATCGGCATATTTTATATCAATGCTCTGCTGAGGAATTAACGACTACCTGACTCCTGCTTCCTGTCTGGTCTGGGATCTTTGTGTGTTCTCTCCTCGCTCTCCTTCCTTACCGTTTTGCCGTCCTTTTTGTTGGCTCTCCGTACATCGACTCATCCACATCCACATCCACATCCTTCAACATGGCTGCTCCTCAAACAGAACTCCGTAAGTTTATTCATTTTTGATACATATTATCTACCAGGGAAAAAATGTGGGGGATGGGGGAAGAGAAGAAATGCTAATTTATTGGTTTTGTTTGTTGTAGAATACGGTCGCTCTCTCAATTCTCTATTTCGTCGATGTGTCGTCAATTGCCCGTCTCAGCCCCCGCCCTGCCCTGAGTGTGCCAAAGGAGAAACTTGTTCCTTGATCAGCCAGTCCTGTCAGGCGTGCCAGAAAACGATCTGCATCAGTCTCGGGCAAGTGGGAGGTGGGAGTAACTCCGAAAAGCCGTCGTCTTCGAATGTCGGCGCCATCGCTGGTGGGGTCATTGGTGGTCTGGCAGTCATAGCTGTCTTTCTTTTCGCCTGGTTTTACCTGCGGAAGAAACGTGCGAACATTGCTACTCAACAGAAGTGGGAGGCCGATTCGTACGAGAAACAGGAAGCCGCATCTTTGGCCCGTTCCAGTGTCGCACGGCAATCCACCGTTGGCTCAATTGCGTCAACTGTCCTCACCAGGGCGTCGAATGTCATCCAGATCGCCTATATTCCAGGCGTCACCAACCGCTCTCCACCAGACACTCCAGGTCTCCTTGTGCCTCCAGTTCCCCCCCTCCCTGGAGCCAATGGAGGCAATTACAGCCAGGATCAACACTATTTCATGCCCGGTGACATCCGTGATTCCGTGTGGTCTCAGATGACAGAGGATGACCGTAAGAGCATCAGTCCCAGTCTCGCGCGCAGTAGCGTGGCTACCACCATTTACCGCCACGACGCCATTGTTAGCCCCGTCCCTGCTCAACAGGCTCTTCGAGCCAAAGCTGCAGTCGTCAGTGTCAAATCGGGTGCTGCCACTCCCATCGAAAGCTCTCCCTCCTCAACTCCAGTCGTCCCCCCCATTACTGCCATGCAAATCGACAAGGCCAAAGCGGTGGGCGCTAAAATAGAAAGGAGGAATGACAAGGCCGCCAACGAGAAGAAGTTTGCGGGGTCTATCGTCGCCCGCTCTATGGTTGCACGCCCTGTCAACCTCACCAAATCTCCACAATCGCCTGGGTCCCCTCGATCTCCCCGATCTCCCCGATCACCTCGATCCAAAGCTAGCACCATTTCCGAAGGTGACGAGTTTTCCAGCCCTAGAATTACCATCTCGCAAGCATCATCGTTAAGGAATGAGCCTGCTAGAATTGCTGAACTGCCCGGGGATCTGTCTACAGCCCCTCCAAACCCTTCCAAGATTGCCGAGTTGCCTGGCGACCGGCCGAACAATCGTCAATCCGGCCAGTCCGTCGCGGTCACTGTCATTGAGGATTCGCCATCCACCAAACAGAGTCCCTTCGACGATAAAAACGAGGTCAAACCCTGAAACTACGGAGTCAACAACAAATAATATCTTTATATATATACAAATGTTTTTGTTGTTTTTTTTTTTGTTTTAAATACTTTTTGCGAGGGTGATACTCCAGAAGAATCTGCATAAATCTATCTTTTTCCTTTTTTTTTTTTTTTTTTTTTTCAAAGAAAAAAAAGAAAGAAAAGGGCACATAGACACAGCTCCTCACACCCTGCGTTCTGGACTTGATTCATTTTGAAACACTCAATGAAGACTCCGGGACGACTTATGACTGACGGGGCGCAATGATCGTCGAAGTTTTTGGCTGGGATTATAAAATGGCGCAATATGGGAAACACTCAATAGTCTGGGGGGTTTTTTATGGATACTTTTCTTCTTTCTTCTTTCTCTTTTTTTCTTTACAAATGGCTTATATTATTTTTTCCCCCACACTCTTTACTTTCCTTCCTTTCCTTTCCGTTTTAATCCTCTCTTCGCGCATGTTCGACATTCCATACAGCCACCGTTTCCCTTCCCTTTTTTTTTTTTTTTTTTTCCCCCTTTTGCTCAACGTATGCTTTGTCCACGCGCAAGCGCGTTTCAGTTGATCCTACCCTGTAAACTTTGCCGGGGACGAATCACGATGTTGGATTTACAACCCGTTCGTTTACCAGATTCGTATATGGATATTTATAGCAAACATGGAAGATTCGCCCTTCACTGTCATCGGCCTACTCGTCAGTTGGCGGTCGGTGGTTTCCTCAATTCGTTGATATAGTATCCAACTAGATATCCTGATATTTTCCTCGTAGGAAAGAAATATGAGCTGGTTTTCTATTATTGGAAATACATCGGAACATCTGCTTGCCCAGAGAGACAATGCATGGGATTGCTGCCTAAGCCCCCGGGCCTCCACCAAGGCCGCCACATGACCTCGTGTCCCCTCCGCGTCAGCCACTAGGCCGCATACGGTATAATTGGATGAGCGTCGGCAATCCGCGCGTCCGTATCCCCCCGCCCCAACGCGTGTCTCGGCGGTGTGTTGGCATCTGCAGGATTTGGATTCGGTTGTTGTCTGCTCGTTTCCCTGCTGGTTGGCCCAGGGATCGTGCGGTGATGGATGTTCTCATTGGGGAGGATTTGCCTTTTGCCGGGTGAGTCATTTGTCCATCACCTTGTTTGGGGCGGAGATTTGTTAGGACTTCGAGGTTGGGGGCTTGACTGAGGTGGTTGGCTGGGGGATGAGTTGGAAATTATCCAGCCTTGGTTGTGGCGACTTTAGCTTTTGGGGTTGGGGCGGGGGGGGAGGAGATGGGGAATGAGGTCCAAGAGAATGAATACGAGGAGGATCAGAAGGTTTGGGATAAGTTTTCGCTTGGGAGGAGGATAAAGCAAGAATACAGCCCGGCCCGACAGAACCCTGCAGAGGAGATGGAGGGGGGAGATGGTGTATAAAAGCATCCTTGATTCCTCCCCTCTCCTCCTTCCCTCTTCTCCTCCCATCATCTCAAACCAGAGTCCTGTATATATAATCTGTCTGCCCTTCTCAATCCTCTGCCCCATTCCCCCGACCCCAACGTACAGAACAATCCCCCATCTCCATCCCTAATCCACCATGGCTAGCAGCTGGACCCCTCCTCCTTTCGGCGCCCCCTGCTGGGTAAACGTCCCCGTCACAGACATGGCCCGTGGTATGACGTCTCGCATGCAACTGACAAACGAGGTTCGCCGGCTGACACATCTCACCTAGCCAAATCATTCTACACCAAGGTTTTCAACTGGGACATTATGCCCCAGCCCGCCAACCTGGATGAGAAGCAAATCGTCCTGTTCAGCTTCCCCAAATCCGACTCCGGTCCCAATGCGTTGTGCGGCAGCTTCGAGCGCGTCGAGGCCTCCGCGCACACCAAGAGCGACGACGGCTATAAGATGTATTTCATGGTGGAGGACGACCAGAAGACCGCTGAGGTATGCCTTGCCTTGTTGGGAATATTCCCCCGCCCCTCCCCCCTACGTGGGTTTGAGGTAAAGGGAGAAAAAAAAAAAAAGAAAAAGCTCCTGACTAGCAGTTCTGGATAATAGGCAATCGTCGCCAATGGCGGAGCCAAACTTAGCGACCCTGTCCCGGAGGGGGACCATGGATTTATCACCCAGTGCCGCGACTCCGAGGGGAATGGCATTGGTATCTATGTTATGAAGAAAGCATGTTCGTGAAAGACAGGCGGGCAGGACTGCGGGACTCCCTTGGCGACTTCAGCTTGGGTGGGCTTGTTGTAGGGGAGAGTTTCACATTTGTGCTGCTTGAATGCAAATTGCCACATCTGCCTTTTTTTTTTTTTTTTTTTTTTTTTTTTTTTTTTTTTTTTTCTTATTTTATTTTTCATATTCAACAACAAACGAACAACAGAAATTGTGTCTTTGTTGTTGGCTCTCTGTCCCCAATAATGATATATGAGATGGACATAGTAATCGTTGATCTTTTGCACATTTGAATAGCTTTGTCTGAACAGGTGACATCATGTTGCTTTGAATTGATTAATTCTGATTTAGGGGACCTTATTATTGTAGATGAGCTATTTGCCGAACTGCGTAGCGCCAAAGGGTATATCAGACTGTGTGGCTAAGTATCCTTGTTGGGAAATATGCCATGAACACATTGGAAAAGAACAACAACCCAGGGAAATTTAGCCGCAGAAAGGCAACCACCAGTTTTGGTTGTGTATATCATTGATTTCCCATCCGCTCCCACATGCCCATATTATTCCCGACCTATGCATCCAAAACCTGCAGTCATTCTCACTGATACATCAGCCAACCAACTTTTGATCTCTTCTTGTTTACACAGGCGACACAGAGGCAGCCTGGACATGCCAGCTGCTCTTCCCACAAGATGGAGCCGCCCCAAAGTCCCCGTGAACACCTGGCTGCTCGGTATCTAAGAAAGCAAACTTGGAGTCTGGAAATTACAGTGCGCCGTATAGTCTCATACCCGGTCCCTCCCGCAGCCCGGAGTCAACATGACTTGCCCGGCTCGACTATGCATTATTCTTCATTTTCTCCTCGTCCAGTTGCAAAGGAAACATCACTCCGATTCGGACTCCTCCGGTTGCATGATCTTCTCATCCAGCTCCTATAGGCCAGACACATGATATTTAGCATAGATTGAACTTATATATACATAGCAATCGCAGACGGTGAGGGGGTATGTATAAAATGGTCAAACCCACGTTACTCAAGCGCGCCTTCAGATGCGGCAACTGGCTTTCCTTGATCACCAGATGGCGCTCGTCATCGAGGTCCTCGACGATGTAATCGTGCCGCTCCTGGTCGTATTTTAGGATTATGGCTTTGACGGATGGGTCGCATTCTATCAGGACACCTGGACGGGGGAGGAAGAAAGCGGAGGGAGATTATGTTAATTGGGAGATTCATTTAAGTGCATTTGTTTTAGGCCAGTGGCCTAGGGTACACACCTTTTACAGCGCGTGGCATAGCTGGAGCTTGGGGTGGGAAAGAAAGGCTTGAAGTTGAGAAGCCCTCGTGATAGGTGAAGAACCACAATCCTGGAAGATCTCGAAGTCATAAAATGGGAACGGAGCTTCAAGGCTTGGCGTTGAAGCGGGGAGTCATGTGATTTACCTGGATCATCTCAAACTTTGAATCTGCGAAACTGCGAAACTTCCATCCATGCAGTTTCATGTATCGCTCACTTCAGGGAAACAAAACAGCGCCACGAGCAGGCGTGGCGGGGTGGCTGCGGATTCTCCTAACCCCAGTGATACTCAGAAGCAAATATGTAAGATGCACGAGCAACACCTCCATCCACAACCCGTCTGTATGTTGGGCCGGCGTCGTTTCAGGATGAGAGAACCCTCCTGCAATTTTCAATACCGAACGTCAAGCGCCCACGCCTCTGTTTCAAATCAACAGTCGCCCTGCCCCGGCTAGCTGTTTGCGGGATACTGGACAGCTGATGCGTCGATCTTGATATCCATTGTTTTATCTCTCCCAAGGGCGACGCCGAGCCGACTTTCCTACCCACGCAATGCGATGCAATGGGGTGAGGTAGCGGCATACCCCGTATACATTACACTTTTCTGTTTGTTTCGCGGGATATGCTATATGGACGGATGCCAGTGTGAGATACATCTAACTAGATAAGAACTCTTGATGTGGTCGCGAATCTTGCGACGAGAAAATTGCACGGTTGAACCTGCCAAATCAAATGTGCGTGGAGGATGTTTGCCAAGTCAGAGCGCACCCCTGATGTACATACGTGTACAGTACTATGCCAATGTTTGACGCGGAAGAGATGAAACATTGGATTGATGCCGGAAATATATCCATTGTTTAGATGAAGCAATGGTTACGGAGCACGGAGCATAGGATAAGCTCTTGAAGGTTTGGCGTCATCTCGCTCTATCTTATACTCGACTTGAATTGTGGATAACACGGAGCGCTAAATAGAGAATGATTCCTGATTATCTATATCTATATCTATTGTATCATGTGCCTCATGTTCTTCATGCCCTGTACGGGGTACATGGATCGGGAAGACAAAACGATCCACCCAAGCTTTTCCTTTCCAAGCTGAAGATCAGCGACCAGATTCTAAACTTTCCATCTAGTTATGCAAGATCTATCATCTCACGCATGCCAGATGCGCGATCCTAAACTCCGCTAACTTGTGTGCATACATGCTTGGCGTGCGGTGTTCCCTGTCCTTATGGTAGACGGATCCTTGAAAACAAGCGAAAGGAGTCGATTTACAAACTAGGTGATGTGGATTCAATTTATGAAAAATCGCCTCGCCGCTGTTCTAGCGCCTCTGCGGTTCCGTTGGTAATTGAGGGAGGCGACGTGTAGTCTGATTCGTTCAACCCCGTCTCTGGCGACTATAGCTCGTTACACAGGACGAAAGACATTCCCATCGCGGATGTCCGGATATATCAGTAGATTTTCATATTCATTCATAAACAACCTGCGAATAAATTACGAGAAAATCGTTTGATCCGAGATTTGGTTGGGAATGAAGCACATAGTTTTCGGAGAAGTAAAAATTTTATTAATTAAACGTATGTGACATGAATGTAGGTGGGTATGTTGCTCTTCGGTTCGGATCTGTTTTGTTGTTTTCTTTTCTTTTCTTCTTTTGTTTGAAACGTTACAACGGAAGGAAGAGGGTATCAAAATGGGAAGAAGCGGGAAAGGGGCGAGGGGAAAGACAAGATTGGATGAGATGCAAAGAGTTGATTGACGAGAGATACACAGAGTATATCCTGCGGTGCGGAGGTAAACTAGGGATGGATTTTTCAGATACACACAACAAGAGTTGATATATGGCGGCCCCAGATATCAAGATGGAAAGAAATGGAAGAGAAGAAGAAACAAGTCAGCCCATGAGAAGCTTGAGGATGGAATAGAACCTGCCTGCCTGATGAAATGGAAACAGATACACAAATAACCTCCCGAAGAGTGTAAAGAGTTCTAGAAGTGAGGCGTATTGAGAGCCATGACCATCAATAGGCCAGAGAGCAACCCAGCGATCGGGAGAGTCATGATCCAGCCGGACAAAATGTAAGCTAGCTGTCTCCAGTTGACGGCCCCAAGATCGTAGTTCATCAGGGCGGTACCCATAGTTGCGCCAGTGAGACACTGGGTGGTACTGACGGGAAGACCAAGACGTGAGGCCATGAGGACAGTGATGGCGGCGCCAAGCTCCATAGAGAAACCACGAGTAGGAGACATCTGGGTGATCTTGTTGCCCAGGGCTCGGATGATATGATAGCCAAAGAACCAGAAACCGGCGCCGAGGAGGAAACCGGCGACAACCAGGATCCATATCGGCGTGTCGGTTTCCTTCGAGACAACACCAGTGATGTAGGTGTCGTAGGCACCCACCCAGGGGCCGACAGCGTTGGCAACGTCGTTGGAGCCGTGGGCGATGGACATCATCATGGCACTGGCAACTTGGGCGTAGGTCCAGAGATGCTCGACTCTGTTATCGTAGCGCTTGGCCCTTGCGTGGGTTCTGGCGAGGAGGTCAGAAGAGTGGGAGACGCAGTCACGGGAGATGCCCTGGAGGAAGAAATATTTGACCCAAGACCAGAGGCGCGTGGGGCTATACACGGGGAGATGTCGTGTCGGGGCGAGCCAGCGCTCCTCAGGCTCGAGGAATTGCTTGCTTTCGAGACCAGCGCTGTAATGCTCGGGGCCTTTCTCAATGGCAGATGGGTCAGGAGACTCGGAGCCCTTATCGTCGGAGGTTGTGGGTTTGATGGCATCTGGATCGGAAGATTTGTTGTTGTTGCTGATGTCTTTATTGTTGGTGCCGGGAGAAGTGGTGTGGGCGCTCCTGTAATAGTCAATGACGACCTCACCGTCTGCCGGGCCAGGGAAGTAGAGCCAAGGGTCATCGCGCCAGAGAGTCGGTCCAAGCGGGACATGGTAGAACTTGACACGGGAGTCTCCAACGATGAGGCGGCGGTGGAAGTAGGGGAGGAAGAATGTATAGGCGATGGCGAGGAAACCGAAGAAGACGCCGAGGACAATACCACACATCTTGCCGACGCCAAACTCCTCATAGGACTGGCCGCCCGGCAGTTCGACGATGATGAAAAGGGCGAGGATGGCGGCGGTGATGGAGAGGTAGAAGGGGATCAGCCGCATGGCCCATTTTAACGGGTCACGTCTTTCGAGGACCGAGTACTTGACAGTCGCGAAGATGAGGGCAGAGAACACAGCGGCAATGCCAGGAGCAATGGCCCAGGAAGCAGCGATCTGGGAAACACTGCCGCTCTCCCAGGACCATTTGACGCTGGCCTGGGAGGCGATACCAGCGCCGATGAGGGCACCGACAACGGTCTGGGTGGTCGAGACGGGGAAACCGAGTCTGGTGGCGACCAGCAACCAGGAAGCAGAGCCAACTTCGGCGCAACCCATGGCAAGCATCATAGTGCCGGGCCGAGGCTTGAATCGGTTGATGTCGATGATACCGCTCTTGATGGTCTTGGTGACTCGAGAACCCAAGGCAACGGCACCGACGAACTCGGTGATCATGGAGAGGAAACCGACTTGAAGCATGGTGAGGGTCCTCGCGGCGACGGAGGTGGCGTAGGAATTGGCGACATCGTTGGCTCCGTTACCGAAGGAGGAGCAGCAGAAAGCGATAGAGATGATCGCGAGGATCCAGTCATATTGAGTGAGGACAGCCATGGCGAGAAGCGCGAGAATCGGCCGAGGCGGGGAGGCAGTCCTGTGTGATCCGTGTATACGGTACTACTAACGAGACAAGCAAACCCAAGACGGCAGAGAGAGCACGGCCCTGCTTGGCGGATTGGCCCTTCGCACGACGAAGCAAGGGGAGGGGAAGCCAAAGGCGTTGTTGATGTGTGGCCGAAGGAGAGAGAAGAACAAGAGATGGAAAAGAGGGAGGGAAAGCAGTAGAACGGGGGAGATATAGAGATAGATATAGGGATCGCCCGGGTCTGGTCCGCTTCACAAAGCGAGGGACGGTAGTGGGATGGTGGGATGGAGGGGGAGGGAAACGCGGTGAAGAAAGTCAGCCACTGCCAGCCAACCACTCGGCAACATGCAAGACAGAGATCCAAGAGGGAAGAAAGAAAAAAGAAAAGTAAAAGTGAGGAATAACTAATTAAAATAGACCAGAAAATAACAGAGTAGCAAGTAGCACACCCTCCGCCGCGAACTTCTTATCAGCGTCGCCATCTCGCAGGCGTCCCAGCAGGCGTCCCAGAACGGCAACACAGCCCTAATTCTAGATGTTTGAGCTCTCCCGACGCCAAGACCATGGAATGTCTTGGCGCAGCGCTCGCGAGGCTTGGCGGCCCACGGATCCCGGTTCGGCCACGGGAACCTCGTCGGGGGGTTACCTTGGTCCGGCCAATCACCGCGGCGGGCTGCAGCACGTTGGTCGGTCTGCGCCGAGCTTATCTCAACGTCTGGCCACCGGATGCTGAGCTAATCAGCACATGGGGCTTGGCATTGGTGGCGGGGGTCGGAGGAGGCACGTGTTGGACGTCTCGCGGGCACGTTTTCCGCTGCTGAGAACCACGGACCCTCGCGCCTTTTGCTTGGCGGCGTGGGATATGGGACAGGGACAGTTGGTGGAGAGTGCGGTGGGGATGGTGTCTGGAGCTGTGCTGCGACGGCGACACACTCCATCCACGTGCGCCAAAACCTGTGTGTGACACGACCCTGCGGGATGGTGTCTGAATTTGTGTGTTATCACCAGCAATAATACGGAGCAATGTCGGATTGACCGACCGTGTAGCTCTGCTGGTTGCTTTGTTGCCTCCGCTGCGATACTACTTCCTACTACACTGCGAACTGCGACTGTAGTGATGGTTAATTTTCATTCCCTTATAGAATTGGAATTCAACATGTACTAACGACTGTAATCTGTACTGTACATGTACATGTACAATGCACTATCAAAGCAAGGGAAAAAAGTCTTTGAATCACACTGCGTTCTCTTCTTTTCTTTCTCTTCCTCTTCTTCTCGCCTGGTTTTGCTTTCCTCGGTTCCCTCTTCCTAGTTTGGAGAAGAGAATGAATGGCTGACCATCATTATTTCCGACACTTTCTTCCACGGCTCTGCCATCTCGCAATCTCGCCATCTCGCCATCTAGCGAAGTAGCCAGGTAGCCAGGTCCCAGAGCTCTCCGCTGGCTCGTCCAATGGCGGCCATGATCCCCTGCACGGTTCCAGTCCGTTCGCTCTCTATTCTGCAACGTGTTGGGATTGCGAATTGCTTATTTTTTTTTTTTTTTTTGATTTTTTTTTTTTTTTTTTTTTTTAACGTTTTTATTATTCCCCCCACCCCCACCCGCTGAACCACTGGCAGGACCGCTGCAACTCGGAATGAGAATAAATATAAACTGCCATAGCAAAAAAGCCATGCTTTCACAGTTTTCCCACTCTTCCCACGCTGTTTCATTCGTTGGCTTTCATCCCCCACCCTGTCTGTCCGTGGACTCGGCTTGGATGTGGATGGCAATGCAGAGCATCTCCAGGGTCCGTGGCTTGCAGGGGACAAATTGCATGTAGGCAAGTGGGTCGTTACGAGCAGGTGGGATTTTTCATCTCGCTCACACCATATCACAACCTAACCCCCAATGTGTGCGGACGATTCATTATCGTTTTTCCTCTGGCTGGCTAATCCAATCATTTAGCTTTCCCTGGGTTTGTTCTTTGCACGAGCGTTTCCAATTTCTCCCGTGTGCATCCTGGACCCTTGTTCCAGCTGTCTGCCTGACCTCTGTCTTGTCCAGGACGATCACGGTTCTTTATTTCTTTGGTGTCTGGGTGTTTCGGGTATCTTTTCCTTTCTGCTCTGCATCGGGATCCACTGAGCTATAGTTCCACTGCCGGTTCGCTCTTAAGGTCACTTCTTCGTTGCGCACAGGCGGTGATTGTCTCACTTTTCCCCCAAGCCATTCCGAGTATCTCCTTACCGAAATGCAGTATTTCAGCTATGGTATCTAGGAAGGAGGAAGACTTCGGGTCATAAATGTATCTCCAGTGCATGTGTTTCAATAAGACATTTGTTCGAATCCAGAACTGAATGGTTCGCCATTCCTTCTGTCATGCTGATTTTGTTGCATTCAGATTGATCTAACTAACAATAACTTGAGTGAGCTCTGTATGGATCCGCACTCTGCGGGACATTGCTTGAGCATATATTCTATGTTGTGGATCTACGCCAAGTTCTGGATTCAACTACTCCGTACTGAAAGCAGAAGCAGGGCTCTGATGCTCCCTTTGATCCCCGGGACTCCCGCGCACAAAGAAACCAACCACATCAACCTATCCATATCGATGCGAGCCAGATCTCCTGAATCCCACGACTTCCGACAAGAGACCCTCACGACCTACCGTCGTTGGCTTTCCGTTGCCACCTTGACCCAACAGCCTTGGTAGGAGGAGGAAATATACGCCGCCGAAATCAAACCAGAATGCACGCCGTCACAGCTATTGTCCAAGATTTAGAAATCACAGCGATGTGGCCTTCGCATCAGCTGTGCAGAAATATATGTGGCAAAACGATGAACTTAGTGCGTCGGAAAACTGCGAGTTGCGAGACCCTGTCAAATAGTGGCTCTGATGCAACTGCAGATAGAATGCTTTCTGAATGGGAACTGGGAGCTTGCTGACTTCGACTAATCATCCAGTAGATTCCTTCCCTAACCCTCATACAGGGTGTATCGAGAATGCCATGGCTTGTGACTACTGCTTGCTGTCTCATTTTATTTACCGGAGACCCATCTTATGGTCATGTAGGATCTAGCAATTGCGCACCTATCTATATCCAGGGATTTCAACTGTTTCTTTTGATTCGACTTACTCCTTCCCGTTCCCCACCCTCGCCCCCGCCCCGCTCCCCTTTCTATCACTCGAGCCAACCTGGGCCAAAAGTTGGGATATCGAGAGATCCCCTTGGGCACATGTACTGCCTTTCCTTACCTAGGTACACTCGGCTCCCCGCCCATTTCTCCCCCGCGATGGTCGACAGACCCAACTGCGGAGGTGAAGAAATACACCAGATCATACTACATGTTTCGAAGCACGGATTTTCACTGTCTGTCTCCCTCCCTGCCAGATACCTGAAAATCTCGAGCATGCCCGCATCTTTATATTGAAATTTCCAGATATTCACCTATCCCTGTGCGAATATCTGTCAATCTCTCTGCCAGCGGCTTCAGACCTCTGTTACTATAGAAATCTCTAGACGCTGACCACCCTGGCTTTCTCTGAGATACTCAAACTTTTATTATTATAGAGATCTCCAACCAGCCTCTCTGCGTATTTTCCGCGTCTAGTAGTTCTTTCTTCCACCTCCACTTCCGCTTCATTTCATTATTCATTGCAGTGCTGTACACACTGCACTTTCCATCAGAGGGAGCTGCGGAGCAACCATCTCGAGAAGCCCATACGCCTTATATAGTTATCCTCTAGTTATCCGCTCGTTTTGCAAGTGGTTTCAGGTTGCATCGTTGCCACGAGCTGAGGTAAATAAAAATAACTTGCGGCTTCGGGCAGACTTGATACTTAGCGAGATGCGGGGGTTATTTTGTGACATCACATCACTTATGCCTTGATCTCATATTTAATACAGTCGTTGTCCTCTAGAATATACAGCACGGCATAAACATTTTTCATTTCTTCCATCTTGTGATTCCCACTGGGCGCCTTCGTAGATTCCACAGTGTGACTTCAAATCTAGCCTTGGACCATGGCTGCACCCGGACTGGAAATGCAGCTCCAGGCGCTCGGAATCATTAAGGGCAACCTTCCCACAGACCCTGTCGATCGCGCCAATGTGGAACACTGCCTACGCCACGGTTACGTTGTTCTGGAGAACTACGTCACCAAGGAAGAAGTCACCGTTGCGAAGGCTGAAATTGATCGGCTGAGTGGCGCCGATCCAATGAAGGGTCGCAACACGTTGGAAGGACTGAATACAAATTCGCATATATTCACTTTTGAACAAGTATGTACTGGACCATTGTACTCTCTGCCTCGGTAGTTGGCTTGGCCACGGAGTGAGACTGATGCATACTTTTCGTTGTCATAGGACGAGGGTATTCGACAAGTTTGTAATTCTTCCTCGTGTGTTGGCCTTGAACGACTACTTTCTGGACACTGGTTACAATATTACTGCGTTCCACACCATCCAGATCAACCCCGGCGAAGACGCTCAGGGCATGCATCACGGTACGCCCACGAACCGCACGAAGGCGTGGTTCGCCGAAACTAACTAATCACGAAATGCATAGATGATGCCTTCTGCCACGTCCCACGTCCCGCATGCCGTTGGGGAGTGCGATAATTCTGGGTATGCCATCCCGAAGGACATTTCGGATAAGACGATGATTGCGTTGACCTGATAGTTTGAAAGCATTTGATGAATTCACTGCCGACAATGGCGCCACACGTGTCGTCACTGGTAGTCATCTCTGGGGAGCCGATCGACGACCCGAGTGCGAGGAGAGCACCCCGATGGTCTGTCCCCAGGGGAGCGTCGTCTACTTCCTTGCGACGACGTGGCATTGCGGCGGACCAAATAATTCCCCTAACCCACGGAAGAGCCTGACGGTTCAATACTGTCAGCCCTATGTGAGGATACTGGCCTCTTCTCGATTGCGACGACACTGCTGACTCTCCAATCATCCACCACAGATCCGACAGATCGAAAACCAAATTCTTGCAGTCGATCCCCGAAGACTCACAGAGATTCCACAACGCATTGTCGAGATGATGGGATATCGGATTCATGCGCCGTTTATCGCCTACGGTGTGTTTCTCTACACCACTCCATATGTCTAGGCCTTTCTCAGTATTGATACTAATACTTCACATTCCGTCGCCTGTCAGCGCGGTACGCAGGATGGTGAATTGGCTACAAGCTCCGCTGGACCCCAATCCCCCGGCGTTCACGTCGAAGTCAGGAACGGAAGGAATTGCCAAACTGTAAATGGCAATTGGGCATTAACCGTGCCAAGCGCACTCACTCTCTCTAGTGAGCGCCCCAGTGAAACTGTAATATCACTGCAACTGTAATATTTTCAATTATCATTATTCTTCATCTTCATATATTCATTAATCATCACCACCATGTTTAAATCATCTAAATACACTGAATCTTAGCTTCAAAATGCTATTGACACATTAAAATCAAATCCAAAATTGAAAATAATGAAGATGGTATGAGAATTTGAAGTTCCATTAACAACATTAATTAAATGGATTAAAGGAAACAAATCAAAAATCATGAGGATTTCAATCAATTGAACATTGAATGACAGTCAGAAGAAAGCTTTTAAGAAATGAATAATACAATTGAATATTAATTTTTATTCTTTCGTTATTGAATATATCAAAATTGCTATAAATTGTATGTTGATTCTTGATCACATTAATTTTAAACATTAATTCTCTGACTATGAATAAAATGTGAATAAATTGATTTGCAAATTGTCTATCAGAGTATAACAGAGTGAAGTAGAAGTCAATGAATTTAAAATAAGTATTTAATAAGAATATAAACTTCATCATCAACTGATTCAATTATTATAAATCTTTATTCAATCAATACAACTTCTATATAAACAATATTTTGTAAAGGGTGTACTTCGATTAATGACTAGAACTATTTTAAATACAGTTTAACACTCCACAGTGAAGTGTGAAGCTGAGCATGAAGTAGAAGAACATTAAAAATTACATGAAAGAATCATTAACATTACACAAGCACAGAGTAAATTTTAAAAGGAAAAAGGTCTTTACTTTTATATAAATACACTGAAAACGATAGCGAACGATAGCCCTGATCGCAGGGAATCTCACGACACCCAGCAATCCCCAGTTGAGGTGGTGCTGGTGCCATGGTTGTGATGGAGGAAATCGTGGGACGCGCTGACGGACGCCCGCGAGAAGAAAACTCTGACAAGAGGCAGCAGCCCACCACATGTGGAGCAATATTGACACAGTTGAGCAATGTTCTTTGCAATGGGAGCGAAGATCCTGCCATCAACGGCAAAGGGAAGGAGGTAGTGGAGGAGGCAGCCAGGTTGGTGAGGGAGTTGAAGGTCAAACTGGGGGAGGTGATGCTGGCCAAGGTGGAAGACGCGACCGTGGCGACACGTGTACAACGCCAACCCGAAGGAGTGAAAGAAGCCAAACTGTCATCATGGGCCAAGGTCGCAGGACAGGGAATTCCAGAAAAACCAGTGCCTAACCGAACCCTCCGCGAGATTACTGTCCTACGCCGGGACTGCGAAGCCCTCCCAGCTGAGGAGGCCACCCCCCCAGCGATTGTGGCAGCCGTCAACGCCAGAATTGTGGATGTGACAAAGGGAAAGGTGCTTGCAGCAAGATGTCTCCCCAGTGGAGACATCATCCTGACAACCGACGCGAGGGAGACCAGGGAGGCCTTGACTAAGAGCAGCACATGGCTGGAAGTCTTGGGACAAAAGGCGAAGGCAAAGCACACCCTGTACCCAGTCATGGTTAAGGGAGTCCCAATGGGCAACACCAACTGGAAGGAGGAACAGCAAGCCATCAAGGCAATTTACGCACAGAATGAAGGACTCCGAAGAGGGGTACAAATTGAGAGACTGTCTCTACGACGGAATGCCAGCTTGCAGGCAAAGGTTGGGTCTCTTGTACTCAGCGTCACCTCGCCTCAGCAAGCCAACCTACTAGTAGACAATGGATTGATAATAGACAGCATATTTTGTGACGTTGAAATCTTCCACCGGGAAGCGCAGGTCACCCGGTGCTTTAACTGCCATGAGTATGGGCATACGGCCAGATTCTGCAGGCAGGCCAAAAGGTGCGGGTTCTGCGCGGCAAAAGAACATGACGACAAGGAATGCCCAGCACGAAAAGCTGGGGAACAACCGAGGTGCGCAAATTGTAGGGGAACACACCCAGCCTGGGTCTCTAAGTGCCCTGAGAGGGAGAGGGCATCAAGCAGGGCCCGTACAGCATACATGGAAAGACCCCGTAGGTTTATGGAGCCAAAAGCACAAGATGGGTGGCAGGTGGTGCAAACCAGAGGAAATAAAAGGTTACCCACTGGGGAACCAGAGGGCCAAAGAAGAGGACCAGGCCGACCCAAGGGGATTCTGCAAGCAGGCGAAGCCCAGAGAGGAGCTCTAAGTGCCTTTATAGCACCACAGAGCTCACAACCTGGGTCTCAGCTGCAGGAGGACCTAATGGACTACACGCAGACCCCAGCCCCCACGCAACAATGAGGGACACACTAAACCTCCTACAATATAACGTGCACAACTCTGCGAGAGTTATGGGTGCGTTATTGGCAGACCCTGCAACAGAAGACAAATACGACGTAATTGCAGTACAAGAGCCCAGCCGGAATCCCCACATGCTAGCAACACACTGCCCCAGAAGCTGCGGCTTCTGGCCAGCATATCACCCGGAAACACGCCCAAGAGTATGCTTTCTGGTCAACAAAAGGCTCGTAGAACACACATGGGAGTGCCACTACCACTCAGAATACATTGCAGTGCTGACAATCACCACCGACCTGGGTAAGGTGCAAATAGTCAATGTGTATGCACCTCCTCCAGGGGGCTACAGCAGTGAACCGGAGGAATCCACCATAGGCCAGCTGCAGGAGGTAGCCGGAATGGGCACAGATGCAGAGCTGGTCATATTAGGAGATCTTAATGTCCACCATGAGAGGTGGGGAGGGGTGAGAGTGGAGAGAAACTTCCGCATGGCATGGCAGCTAATAGCACAGGTGGATAGGCTGGGTCTCCAGCTTGCCACACCTGTAGGAGCTACCACATGGCAGGACAGAGGCAGCCCAGGAACGACTATAGACCTCACCTTTCTATCACCACTCCTGCACGACAAGCTCAGGAGGTGTGCAATAGCGGAGGAGGCATGCAAAGGATCTGACCATAAGCCCATAGAAACAACACTGGAACTCACACCCATCCCAAAGGAGGCTGAGAGACGAAACTGGAAGAATGCGGAGCCTGAGGAGGTAGCAAGGGACTGCCAAAAGCTATATGTGCCACAAAGCCTGGACTCCAGGCAAGCAGTCAAGGAGTATGCAGACTACCTGGTAGGATTTGTAGGGACATTAGCGGACAAACACGCCACCGTAAGTAAGGCTGGGTTAAAATCCAAGACATGGTGGTCACCGAGGGTGGCCAAGGCAGTGGAGGAGTACAAGCAGGCTAGGAGGTCCCAGCTCCCAGAAATGGAGCGGCTCAGGGCACGCTGCAAGCGCAACAGAGAAATCCACTTGGCTAAGACAGCAAACTTCAGAGATCTGGTTGACAGGACCCGTGATGACCCCAGATTGATGTGGGGACTAGCAAAATGGGGCAAGGAAAGAAGCCATCTGCCCCCACAGGCACCTACTGTTCCCCCCCTGAGAACAGGGGAAGGGGCTGACGCGACGGTAGAAACCTCTTTTGAGGGGAAGGCTGAGGCATTACGACAACGGTTCTTCCCACAGCCAGAGCCCGCCGACTTAAGTGACACCAATATGGAGCTGCTGCAAGCTGAAAGGGAAGCGTCAAATGACACCATCAGTGTGGAGGACATGGAAAGCCTGATCCAGAGACTGCCAAACAGGAAGGCACCAGGGAGGAGTGGGATCACCAACGAGTTCCTTAAGATGCTGGGCAGAACATTTGTGGAGGCCATAACAGCTCTCACCAATGCATGCTGGCATTGGGAGACTTACCCAGACACGTTTAAGGAAGCCAAGACAGTGGCCTTGCGCAAGCCAGGGAAGGCTGACTACCAGACTGCAGGAGCGTGGAGACCCATTGCCTTGCTGGACACAATAGGGAAGATTGTGGAGGCAGCAACTGCAAAACGCCTGCGGAAGATCGCGGAGGACCACAACCTGCTACCCTCACAGCAAATGGGGGCAAGAAGGGGCAGGTCCACTGAAACAGCCATAGCACAACTTCTAGCCCAGATAAGGACAGTGTGGCAGCACCCAGGACAGGTGGCATCGGTACTCTCCCTAGACATGACAGGGGCCTATGACAAGGTGCTGCGGGAGCGAATGGTTCACATCCTCCGGCGACTGGGCATCCCCAGGGACCTGGTGGGATGGGTTGCGTCCTTCATGACCAACAGGAAATCCACAATTGCCTTTGAGGGCCAGGAATCAGACACCTTTGACATCCCAGCAGGCATCCCGCAGGGGTCACCCCTATCACCTATACTATTCCTATTCTACAATGAGGAACTGGTGCGCATCTGCTCAAGACCGGGGCGCCCGGTGGTGTGCATAGCCTTTGTGGACGATGTCAACGTGATGGCCTATGGCCAGTCCACTGAGGACAACTGCAGGGAGCTCCTGCGCATGCATCGGGCATGCGAGGAGTGGGCAGCACGGCACGGGGCGGTCTTTGCCCCCCAGAAGTATGAGCTAATGCACTTCACACGGGCGCGCAACCAATTCAACCTACAGGCTGAGCTGAGACTACCAGGACAAACTATACAACCGAAACAGGTGATGAGGGTATTGGGTGTATGGTTAGACTCTAGGCTGAGATGGAAGGGCCACCTGGACGCGGTGGCAGGCAAGATGAAGACTCAAGTCAGAGCACTGTCCCAAACCACCCAATCCACATGGGGGCTCCCACTACAACAAGCGAGAATGGTGTATAACATGGTCATCAGGCCGGCCCTGACCTATGGAGCAATAGCATGGCACCAGCCACAGGGGCAGGGGGGCACGGGTCCAGCTAAGTCAGGACTGGCCCTCAAGCTGACCACAGTGCAGAACTCCTGCCTCAGAATAGTGGCAGGGGCATACAAAAGAACCCCAACAAGCACACTGGAAGCGGAAACCCACACAGTACCCTTAGACATCCACCTGGATGGGCTAGTGGCAAAGGCGGTCAACAGGATGAAGGCCTCAGGAATGGCGCAACAAATTGAGAATGCGTGTGCGGCCCATAAGGACCAGGCTTCGGCACCGGGGGGTGACAAGGGGGGCACAGAGACACATGGGAGCTGTGGTTCACCCGGCAGCCCTGCCAGTGGACTGGGAACAGCAATGGATTCAGGGTGCTAAGGAGAGAGTCACAGCAGAGATGACACCGGAACAACGAGCCAACCTGGACCAAGCCTCATATAATCACTGGCTGAAGCGCGAGCAGCTCTGGAGGTGGGTGCAGAGGTGGAAAAGACGTGAGCCCCCCTGGGGGGAGCGGCATGGCCGGCCCCCAGACAAGAAAATTCTGAAGTGGCACACCGGCCTGCGCAAGGCTCGCAGCACTATCATCATCCAATTGAGGTCAGGGAAAACCGGACTGGCAGCTTTCCTAAACCGGTGTAATATACCTGAATTCCCCACCCCACAGTGCCCCTGTGGGTATGAATGGGAAACAGTCGAACATGTTCTGATACACTGCGAACGCTGGGAGCAGCTGCGTCAGGGCCTTATAAGAAATGGCAGGCTAGACAAGAGGATGTTGCTAGACACCAAGGAAGGCCTGCATCTCCTGTCAAACTGGTGGATGGAGAGTGGGATTCTAGGCCAGTTCACATTAGCACGCGAGCTGACACACTATGTACCATAAGGCCCTGAGCTGCCTTGAGACCCCCAGAATCCCCTGAATCCCACATGCACTCACTCCCCGGACTACTTAGCCCCTCCCTCTCCTCCCTCTCCTCCCCATCCCCTCGCCTCTCTCCACCTCATTTGCACCACCTCATTTTCATCCCCTCATCATCTCCTCACCCTGCCGTATAATCTCCTCTATCTACCCCTTCTGTCAATCCCCTCTACCCCCTCCTGTCACTCCCTTCTATCCTAACAGCGCCTACTATCTGTCCCTCCCTTCTTCCATATCTTATGTTACTCTACTTTCTCTAATTCCTTTTCCTTTGTTCCCGCTCCCATTGCAAGGAACAGCTCTAGCTGACTTGCCCGGTACCCTGCAGATGAACAGGATAGTTAACACCGCTGTGCGCAAGGTTTTTCACCCCCCTGCGCCAAGGCGCAGTGGGGTTTTCCTAGCTAGACATATGGTAGCAGAACCGCATATCCATTGGATGAAGGCGGAGTATAATAAATAATAATAATAATAATAAATACAGTTTACAAATCAATTACGAAAAGAAAGAAAGAGAAAGAAGATTAGAAAAAAAAGATTGTATAAAAAGATTTTTATAAAAAAAGAAATGAAACAGAAAAATATTAAAAATCATACTGCAATAAAATATAACACAAACAAACATTAAAAATTATAAGGAAGAATCATTAAAAACTATATAAATACAGAATAAAAACTACATGAAAAAATTATTAAAATGCATTGTAATGAGATGTAGAGTGGAAGAATATTAAAGATTATATAGAAAAATTATTAGAATGTATTGTAATGAAATGCAAAACTAAAAAATGTTAAAGAGAAGTTGATTGTATAAATTAATTTATTAATAGATGCTAATTCATCACATTATCCTTCTTTACTGAAATGAATGAGAATTTATAGATGTTGAGAGTGGCAGTGTCTTTTATAAGTCACCCATCCAACACTGATAAGGCAGATATTTGCAGAAAGGGATTTTCGGTGATAATTTTACCCGCGCCGGATCCCCCATTACACCAGCAGCCATAATAACGTGGAAACCACAGTATATATATATATTGACAATGATATCTATCAATTGTATCTAATGATGATATTTAGTGATGATATCTAGTGATAATATCTCATGATGATATTCAATGATGATATCTAGTAATGAGATCTACAATGATGCAAATTCACTGTTTTAAAATGTACTTAGAGAATTCAAGGTATTGCTTTCTAGTATAAATTTCTATCAGTGTATACAAATGGAATTAGGTAATTACAGTGGAAAACATCAAAGAAACCCGTTTGTCGCATTTGTCACTATAAGCTGCTGTAAAATGTGTAATTCATGGTCCCGCCGGCCAGTCTAGTATTGAAGATTTACTTTAAGTAATTCTAAAAAGATTAGAATATTTTTAATTTAGCATAAATTTAATTTGTTAGCAAAACAAATGAACTTCAGTTGAGTTCAACATATATTATAATTATAAAATTAATTAAGAAAAGAAAGGATAAACAGATAAAAAGAAAAGGTTATACGAAAAAAATTCTTATAAAAAAGAAATTAAAATGAAAAATCATGCTGTAATGAAGTGTGGAGTGGAAAAATATTAAAGATTATGTGAAAAAATCATTAAAGACTACATACGTGAGCACAGAGTGGAATCGTGAGAAGAGGTTATCTCAGCATGCTCAGCCTCTTTTCTCGATATTTTCAGATTATCGCGATCAACTAAACTTCTTTAGACTTCTGCCAAGTCCTGCTAACTTCTGGACCAATCAATTACTCCACACGTGCTCACAACATACAGTAATATCTCGTAGAGAGTCTGAGAAGTAACGGTTCCATCGTCTGTAGAAAATCAAACCTGCTCATACAAAATATTCAGTTGACTTCGGAATCATACATCTACCTTAAATATCTACCTGATCATCATCAAATTGATATTTTTTGAATCCTTAGCCATCTCACTATCATCTCTGCTATTTTGCAACTTGCTACCTCTTCTCATCATGCCACAACCATTGACCAAAGACACCGTGTCTTTTGAATCTCAAGACACTCAACATCAGGCGCGGTTCAACCAATATCCTTCATCACTTGAAGATGAATCCTCTCAACAATCACTACACTCACTCAATGATCTAGATGATGGATATGAGACATCAGATAGTGATTTAACAGACCTTGAATCTATTGATACTTCTTCAGAATTCGAGACCACTGGTATCAATACCCCACCAGCTTGTTCACAATCAAACACCCGTGGCCCACAGCGCCTGCCTACTATGCCTCATAACCAGCAGAAAAAATGTTCAAAATTATCTCATGTTGTCAAAGCATTACAGCGAAATGGTTGGGGAATGGAAGCCTTTATAGATGCTTGAATTCAGAGTTCTGATATCTTGACTCATAAACGATACTGTACTCCTGCAAAGCGGCGGAATGCACTATATTCAGCACTCTCAAAGTCAGAAGCATTTCATGGTCATCACCATTATATTGCCTTGTTTAAACAGGAGCTGAAACACCTTATCAATACTCCATACTTTGCAAAATTCAACCATGGTGTTGATCTTGATACCATTGATTTCCAGGCTGCTTTTGAGACCATCTGAATTGATGCATCAACCTGGTTTAAACTGCTTACTCCTGTTCTAAAGAATAAACGTGCAAATCGAAAGAGCTATGAATGGGCCTCAGATGAAACAACAGCTATCAAATAGCTGTTTGTTATCATGAGTATTATATACCACTCTTATTCCTTGAAGAATTCAAACTTCTTCAGCTCTATTCTCTCTGCATATTTTCATGGCTCAGGAGTAAAACAATGAGTGATAGAAATGATTTTCAGCTTTGAACTCTGTCTCAGCTATGTGATGGGAAATAAATTGATGACAGAAATTGCTAAACAGAAGAAGGTATGAGTTGATATTCTTAACTTATTAATATTTCTATCTAATTTTTCAAATTTTTAGTAAAAACTGATAATCTCTGTTCTTTTCTGGCATGTTCTTTCCACTTCTGTTAACTTCTGAGCCAATCATTTGACTAATTCTTATCATTAGATGAAACTTCGGCAGCTTGTCAAAGATTCTCGAGCTGTTATAGTCTATGACAATATGAACTTCAAAGAGACTGTATGAGATGAGACGATTGGGCATAATGATTACATGGCTGCAGTGACTACTGCTGCAGTGGTTATTTCCCCTGCAATTCCAGAATCTGATCTGACTCAGATCATGCATGATTCCACAAGACTTTTAACACTGAAAGAAATCATTGATGCACCTGGTGTGGCAGGCAATGATCATGCTTGAAAAGTGCTTGCTCTGGACTGAGTAAGATATGTGTATATTCACACTGTTGAATACATTTGAGTAAGTGCTCTTCTCCCTGGAGATTGTTGACACTGATCAGACAAGGATTGATAGAGGGAAACTGAGCTATATCACTTGTCTGCTGATCACCAAGCTTGCCTAGAGGAATCAGTTGAATGGTTATCTTCTTTGTCAGAATTGTATAGGATTGAAGAATAAGACTCTTTCCATAGCCAGTTCTGGCAATGAATAAAGTGTCGCCATATCCATATATCATGCGTCAGAGTATACAGACTTGTTCTATGTGTGACTGAAGAGTGCACTTAGAATCTGGACGCGGGCCTTGAAGGATTCATCGAAGACAATGCTCAATAACATTCTGTTGCTTGTCGATACTTTCGGGTTCAGCGTAGCTCATAACAACTTGTGGCATGTCTTCAATTTTCATGGAAAGTATTTGCTTTAATGATAGCTTTTGAAGCTGCTGTTGTTGCTGACTTTTGCGTTTTCTTCGATCCCTCTTAGCCATATTCAACAGAGTTGTCTGACCCAGCTGTCAAAAAGAGGTGTTATGTGATTGGTCCAGAAGTTGTTGAAAGATCCCAGATGTTGTCAGAAGTTGATGTGCTGTGTGAAGTGGTCAAGAGTTATGTGAAGTTGACGGAAGTTGCCAGAAGTTGTTGGACATCATCAAAAGATGTCAGAAGTCATCAGAAAATACACTCAGTGCTTTGACTAGAGCTACTGATGACCGGATATGTGTTTTGATGACAAGATCAAGGCATTGAGTGACCAGACATGATCATGGTTGAAAAATTAGCAAATCGTTCCCGTGTTCAAAATCAGAGTAGCAGTTTTCAACGAGATACTTCATACTCACAATATATGTATTTTTGAATAAAAATTAGTTCAATTGATAGGAAATTGGAAAATTAACCCTTCAAGGTGGTAGAGAAATGATCTATAAGTGAGGTTGTACAGTGATTCTATCTCAAACGTTATGGTTGGAGCAAATCGTTCCCATGTTGCTAACAAACTGGAACCGTTTTTTCTCAGACGCTCCGCGAAGAGTTTGCTGAGGATGTCCCATTTAGGTTTAGTGTAAACCCTTTGACAGTTGATTGGCTCAGATGTTAGCAGGACTTGGCAGTAGTTCGGATCGGGTTAGCTCGAAGTGAAGTGGCTGAGTTTTACTGAGATATGAAGAGGAGTTGTTTCATAGATGCATTTGAGCACGTGAGTGGGCGGTAGAAAGAGTGGGTGGATTAAGTGTTTCATTCTCAAGCATTTCACCTTCCCTCTTTAAACATTTTTTTTATATGGTTTTTTCTTTAGATGTGTTTATTGCTTTCTATTTTTCTTTATTAATTCTTCTGTTTCTGTACTCTTGCTATTTTCTTTTCTCTAAAATATTGTTTTGTTTTTTTTATATCTCCCTTCTTGTCTGTTTCTGATAAAGGGTTGATTGCGTAACTTAACTATTAACAGGTGCTACTCTGTCACAATATATAGCAATATATATAATAATAGCGATGATAGTTAGTGATGATATCAATATCAGAGTTGTACTGATCACAGAGTTAACTGAATTGATTTGATGAGATGTATGTGAGATCATGTGAGATCATATTACAGTGCATTTTGCACAGAAAAGTTGGTTTTTCTATAATAAAGAGAGAGATTATACATGGTAAAATGAAATTAGAACTGCTGCTGTAAAGACAAAAAAAAGTAATTAAAATAATTAAATAATATAAGATTAAAATTAAAGTATTTAAAAAGAATAGAATAGTGAAAAATATAATAATTTTATATATAATAATAACACAGCTAATCTAGTGTTCTGAACAATGCCCACGCCAATAATTTTCTTCATTCATACCAATACAGTTAAGACATCGAGGATGCTGGGATCTACAATCACTGTTTCGACGGCATCCATAACCTTCGCAAAAATCATTATCGTAAGATGATAGAATATTGAGTTTGCGGGATTGTAACTTTGGTAAAACATCAATATTTTCTGATTGAAGTGAGTCGATAAGATTGGGAGATGAATTCCAAATATCATTATCATCAATCGCTGAGTCTATATCAGACCAATGTGTAAGAAAATCTTTATCATTTTCTCCAATAAATTTTTTACTCATAACTTTGAAATCTCTTTTAGAGAGTTTATAATAATCAATAACTTTATTATTCTTATCAAAGGATTGCAAAATCCCCATATTATTAACGTGGAAAAATCCATCATCGTCTCTTTTAATATTTTTTAAAATGCTGGATAAATGGTTTGCTGATTGAGGTTTCTTTTTGAAAAATAATAAATTAGTATATGAACTAATTAAAAAAAAAAGGTTAAACGTACTAATGTTCCTTGAGCTAAAACACTAAAGATAATGCTTAAATTAATAATAATAAAAGATAAGAAATACATTTCTCAAAAAATATATATTTATTGCTGATTAAAATAATAATATTTTCTATTAAATATAATGATAATCTGATATTTTTATAAATGCTTTCTACTTTTGAAAGTAATTCTGCGATTTATTTATATTGATTTTATTATATATTCGCCTATTCTCCGAAAAAATCACATATAATAATTATTTTGTAATTTTTTGATATTCGCGATTAATTTGTAACTTCAACATAGAAAAGGTACGGCACTGCCACCAACAGCCCCACACGTGATAAGATAGCACGATGTCCACTAGGGCGTGTTCGGTTGCACGTAGAATCTCACAAAACCTGCACGCAAAAAGTGGATATTAATACCATTATTACCATTTTAGCATGCTGCTGGTGTCATATTCAGAGGCTTACTAAATATCTTACTAAACATCTAGGGCCCTGATTATAGAGAGTCCCCCCCACTTACACAACCTTACACAAGGTAAAACCATCTCATGAGAAGGTCTTGGATGTGTAGCTTACATGACCTTATACACCCTCTATCTAGCCTATTTCAGTTAGAATTCTCCACTTTTCAGTCTAAATAGCTGGTTGAAGTCTAATCCTGTGTAAGTGGGGAAGATAGAAAATACTAGATGTTTTTGAGTAGGTAAAGCTGTGTAAGAGTGTATTTGAGTGTGTAAGAGCGTACAGACCAGAGAAGTGGGTCCATAGCAAAAAGCCAACGTAACCATATATATACCCGAGGGTGTGGTGGTGTGGCTCGGCCCCCAGCGGGCGTGGCCACCCAATCCACCACCTATACTCCGTACACTGCGACCGCCAGCCGCAGCATAGTGGGGAACCACATCCTCCCCCACCTGGTGGAGATGCGACCACGCATCTTACTAGACAGATGATTCTGCAACACCTGCTCGCACGAAAAAATTACCTAAATGATCCACAGTCAAGAGAATTACTGACCTGAATCATCCACAGCTAAGCTGTGCATCAGATTAAAAAATACAGATTACTCATGCTGTTTTTACATCAAGATTTGATTTTTACAAGCTCTTCAGATAGTGAGATTTAATAATTACATGGTGGTTATTAAAATCTGCCATGTACTTGACAACTACTCCATAGGCAATAATAGGATTCTACGTGCGCCAAGTCTTTTGTGTGAGCAGGTGTTGCAAAATCCGTCTACTAACCACTTTAAAGTCTGTTTTCTTTGTTTTTTTCTTTTTTCTTGTTTGTATTTTTTAATTTTTGTATTTAATATACTTTAAATTGAATTTCTATTTTCTTTTTCTTAATAAATTTCTTTCAATAAATACTCAGTAATGCACTTACTTATGTACTCGCTTATCATTTCCTTGTATATGTGACCGGTTAGCACTCGTTAGTAGTTAGCTTGCGCAATCAACTCCTTCACGACTCCACTCCGCGCCCGCATAGCTTCTAACAATTCTTCCTACAGCAGCCTATCCCCTCGTCTGGAAACCAGGCACAATTAGCGCAATACCAGTAGTGTAATAACTAAGCTATTAGTGCAGAAGTACCAACCAATAATTTGTCATATCAAATTATATGCAATTCTTTCAGGGTTAGAAAACCGACCAATCAGAGCAGGGCAGATTGGACGTACATTCCATTTGGTTTCAGACGTTGAACGTCCAATCAACCACGGAGTCAATTGACTTCAAACTTTGCATGTAGGCCGTAGTGGATATGAAATACAACATATCCAAATCAAAAGCGATAATTCCGCCGGGAAGGGGTTAAATTTTAGTGTCAAAGTCAATGAGTTGAGGTGCGATGTTTGATGGGGTAAGCCACCAACCCAACCAGACCCAATTAAATATATATATTTTCACCCAGGCAACGGAGCGGTGCAAAGCGGTGCAGGATCAACAAAGTAAATAAAAATAGCAAAACATATAAGAAAACGGAAAGGCTTCATCCTGGAGTGATTTTAACCACAGAAAAACAAACATTCACACCAGATCAGATCTGTCAAGTTTCACACAAAGACACTGAATGAAGGAAATATATATATATTCAATGCACAAGACAGACCCAGCATCGACATGGAACATCAATTATTTATCCACTGTGAATCATACCTCATTATCATATGCCGCCGGTGCAAGCACGCTGTGTGGCCAACAGAGATTGAACAGCATCTGAAAGGCAAGGCCCATCAGCTAAAGCATGCGGTGGTTCAGCAGATAAAGGAGAACATTGAACAGTGGGACAATGTGGCTCGAGATACTACACAGTTAACACTGCCCACAATACTGAATGAACCAATCCCGGAACTACCCATTCAAGATGGCTACAGGTGCCAGCGGGATCCCCAGTGCCAGTATGTGGCAGGGAACATGAACACCATGCGCAAGCACTGGCAGAACAAGCACAGCTGGTCGCCATATCCCAGCCGTGGCCGTACAGCGCCACAAAAGCGTACGGCAGCACAGGATGAGGTGGACAGATCATGCCAGAAGGTGCAGTTCCAGCAGGTATTTGCATCGCGCAAGGGCTCCCACTATCCAACAGGTGGGGGTGGAATGGACGTCCATTCCATTCAGGGTTAGAAAACCGACCAATCAGAGCAGGGCAGATTGGACGTACATTCCATTTGGTTTCAGACGTTGAACGTCTAATCAACTACGGAGTCAATTGACTTCAAACTTTGCATGTAGGCCGGAGTGGATATGAAATACAACATATCCAAATCAAAAGCGATAATTCCGCCGGGAAGGGGTTAAATTTTAGTGTCAAAGTCAATGAGTTGAGGTGCGATGTTTGATGGGGTAAGCCATCAACCCAACCAGACCCAACTAAATATATATATTTTCACCCCAGGCAACGGAGCGGCGCAAAGCGGTGCAAGATCAACAAAGTAAATAAAAATAGCAAAATATATAAAAAAACGGAAAGGCTTCATTCTGGAGTGATTTTAATCACAGAAAAACAAACATTAGTCGAACACGCTGGACCCAAACCAGTTGGACGTCAAACCCGTCCAACCAGGAGTCAGAGATGGAGAGCCAGCAGGGTGAAACCCACATCAGATAACAGCACATGCAGTCCCAGAATGGCCAGATGTGTGAGCAAGAGCACAGACAACAACATAAATGAAAGCATCACCAAGAATGAGGCTTCAACTATCCCCTCGTCCGTAGGTTTGTGCAAAATTAGCGTGGTTTCATTAGTGTATATTATACGAGATCTCATTGAATAATCAGTGTATTTTTGAGTATTCATTGGTATTAGTGTAATATATAAACCCTAATTAAGGATCGTAATAGATATTAGGATATACTATGAAATTCCGCCCAACATTGAGTTTTCAAACATAAAAGGGTATTTTGACACTCTGAACAGTCAGAATTTGATCTCCCTATCTTTTTATATTTCTGCTGGCCAATCTTTCATTTATATTGACACCAGGCACAAACACGCTGCTTTGGAAGAGAAATCCGTTGATGATTTAGATTAGAATTTGATCATTCCCTTGATAGATTATCATGAATCCTAGATGTGAATTCAAAGAGTTCCTGGTAAAGCTTCTCATGAAAGCTTATATGAGAAGAAAGATCCTTCACTGAAATCCTCTGCTGCTTCATATATAGATATTGAAGCCGGTATGCATTAATAGCTGCGGAATCAATAAGTCAGTAGAGAATAGAAAGCCAGGTGTGATAGATGACTCTATGACTAGTATATGCTGCTCAGTATTGATTTGCTAGATGTACCCCATTCATATGATGATTATAATCATCTATAATCAATGGGATTTTCAGCTTCTTTTGTGATTGACCTTTAAAGACTTTTCTAACAATATTGACATTGATTGAGAGTTCCCCTGAGCATTTACAAGTACATTCAATAACTGCGTCCAATGAATGAATCGTAGTTAGTGCCAATACCATATTATTATCTTGCCAGGCAAGACAGAGAACATTCTCTTTTTCAATGACATGCAGAGTATTTCAGAGTATGGAATTTGAATGCTCTCAAAGCTCATCTAGTACTGCTGGAACCTGGTTTGAATGAGTGGTTCCACATGCTCCATACCCCTGTTGACCTAGTTCTTTGAATAAAGGAACTGATGTAAAGTAGTTATCCATTTCAATTGAATAGGATGTGACCAGCTGTGAGATAGAGATTTCATTAGATGTGGCATTCGGTGTAGCATTCGGGGGGGTGATATTCGGGTTTGATATTAGGGCCAATATTATGGGTGATATTAGAGTCGATATTAGGGGTGGCATTCGGCATGGTATTCGGTGTATTCGGTGTGGATACCATAGAAAGCCGCTTCACCAGATTCACCACCATAGATCTGGTTTTTGTTAACATAGAGAATTGAAACATAGACATTATACCCTGCCAGCAGCTAGATCAGGAAAAAGATCATAAATAGTCATGTTCTGCTAGGCCAAATATCTTATATCTTCAAGGAATTGGTTTATTAGACATCTTGTATGTAATGTTGACTCCATCCAAAATATTTAACCATGATCTCATCAATGGAAATCTTAGAGTCAGGGGTATAGTATTTTCAGCATGCCATATGAAACTTAGTAGCTAATGACTCTATCTTATACCATCAATTCTTATTTTTGACCTCCGGGCGGCGGGCCTCATGAAGGTTAGATATATGGATATATCATTTAATCTGTTCAAAACGCATATGGGTCATATAGAATTGAATGGAATGAATAGAGTCTTGTTTCAGCTCATTCTGCCCGTATAGATCAATTCAATGGAATTTATGAACTTTCATATAGAGAAGAATGCCTATAAAGACCTTTATCTCTGCTGCATTGATATTTTTCCATGAACATTGCTGAATAGAAAGCTTTGAGAATATAGATATTTCAGAAATCTCTATATCTATATCTTGAGCTTTCTCATTCTTTTTCATTTCTGAAAGCTCTGAAGCTTCATCATCAGTATCTCTGGTATCTCTCTTTAATTTTGCATAGAGATTAGTAGAATTACTGATATTTTAAAAGCATTTCTCAGAGAAGAATAAGATAAACAGAATGTATGAACTGCTGATATTGATATTTGCAGAAATATTGAAAATTGAATCTCATGAGATAGGCAATATTGAGTGGAATTTCACTGATTCTAGAGGTGGAAGTTCTGCAATAACCTCCTCAACAAACTGTTTTCATTTTCTTGATGTTTTTGTTAGAACTAGAGAATGAATTAGTTAGCTAGGTCATTTGAATTGATTAATATAAGGAACTCACCATTGGATTTAGTAGGTTTCTCAGTGGATTCCACATTCGCAGGTTTGGGGGTTCCATATTCGCGGGTAGGGGGATAGGTGGGAGAAGATATGAGAATCAGGCAGGCAGGCAGACAGGCAGGGCTTCAAACATGTTGAATTCCATACACATTCTTAAGATCTACATGAGATCTTCAATCAGTGGATCTAAATGACCAATTATTATTCATATAAAATCATATAGGATTCTATTGGTTATGCCCAGGGCGCCGGTGCAGAATTCCATACACTAATTGAAACCACGCTAATTTTGCACCAACCTACGGACGAGAAATGTGATTTTTGTCGAGCTTTTAACATTTTTTTGTTGTTTTTCTAACATTACACAAATATTAACAAGTATTTCTCTTTATTCAGAGTCAGATAACAAACTGAATCTATTATTCACAACTTCAACTGCTATCATATTCTGCATATGTGTATCCCTTATTTTGTTTGAACAGAGGTTCTTGGTGACTTCTGTGATCTAATTTTTTGCCTCGCAGAAGATTCAGAGATAGCAGATTCAGAGAGTTGAGAATTCCTTCTTTTTTATTTATTGCTATCATTTACATCAGTAGAGACTGAGTTATTTGTCTGTACTGATGGCTTTCCTGATTTGGGAGCAAATATACATTCTTTTGAATTTGCAAAGTGAGGCTCTTTACAATTGGCAACCCATTGGAAGTTGAGACGTTGAAACCATTGGAAGTCGAACCCGCTGAACGAACCCGTTAACCCGTTGGACCCAAACCAGTGGGATGACACCATTTAAAAGTCAAACCCGCTGGACATGCCCGTTGAAGGTTATAGGGTTAGGGTTAAACTATCCAAGTTCTACATAGTGCGTGGTCCGACGCGCCCCCGTCCGATTTTCTCCGTCCCTGATTGGCCGCCCGTGCGTGCTCCCGCTCCCGCCTCCGCGTGCCCGCAGTGGGGCCCGGTCACAGTCGAGCTCCCTCTTCCCTTCCCTTCCGCGGCAGCCAGCCACCCCATTACTTCAAACTTTGCATGTAGGCCGTAGTGGATATGAAATACAACATATCCAAATTAAAAGCGATAATTCCGTCGGGAAGGGGTTACATTGTGGTGTCAAAGTCAATAAGTTGAGGTGCGATGTTTGATGGGGTAAGCCACCAACCCAACCAGACCCAACTCAATATATATATTTTCACCCAGGCAACGGAGCGGTGCAAAGCGGTGCAGGATCAACAAAGTAAATAAAAATAGCAAAACATATAAGAAAACTGAAAGGCTTCATTCTGGAGTGATTTTAAACACAGAAAAACAAACATTCACACCAGATCAGATCTGTCAAGTTTCACACAAAGACACTGAATGAAGGAAATATATATATATTCAATGCACAAGACAGACCCAACATCGACATGGAACATCGATTATTTATCCACTGTGAATCATACCTCATTATCATATGCCGCCGGTGCAAGCACGCTGTGTGGCCAACAGAGATTGAACGGCATCTGAAAGGCAAGGCCCATCAGCTAAAGCATGCGGTGGTTCAGCAGATAAAGGAGAACATTGAACAGTGGGACAATGTGGCTCGAGATACTACACAGTTGACACTGCCCACATACTACACAGTTAACACTGCCCACAATACTGAATGAACCAATCCCGGAACTACCCATTCAAGATGGCTACAGGTGCCAGCGGGATCCCCAGTGCCAGTATGTGGCAGGGAACATGAACACCATGCGCAAGCACTGGCAGAACAAGCACAGCTGGTCGCCATATCCCAGCCGTGGCCGTACAGCGCCACAAAAGCGTACGGCAGCACAGGATGAGGTGGACAGATCATGCCAGAAGGTGCAGTTCCAGCAGATATTTGCATCGCGCAAGGGCTCCCACTACATACAGATCCAGACTAAGGAGACTACTGAGCATACCGGCACGCCAGACCAGAACAGAGCCAGCCAGGCCATTGATGAGCTGGAGCGATTTTACCAGGAACAGCAACGGCAGACCAGCAATGTCATCCAGGCCGGGGAGCACGATGAAGCCAACCCATGGCTGCGGCGGACCAGATGGCCGGTGTACTTGACCAACATCGCACCCAATGATCTGGTCAACTGCGTCCAGCGGCCCGACGATGACACCACGTGCCCAGATGAACTGGCCGCGAGGGCCATCTGGGAGGCCATGGGTCAGGTTGCCCGTACCAGCCAGCGAGTCATCACACGGCTGGGCCACTTCGTCCGCATCGAGGCCATCCGCACAGAGCGACACCAGACCCGGCACACCCCGTTGCAGGCGTACATGGACGAGGAGAGCATCGCCGAGCACGTGAGGCCATGGCAGCAGATGTTGATGTTTTTCGCCCGAACGCAGGTCGAGCATGAATGGACGAGCCCACAGTACCGGTTCACACCACGGCAGCGCAAGACATGGAGGGTATTATGGCAGGTAGCCACCACAGAGGGAGCCGACCAGCGACACTCCATCAGCCCAGACCCCATGGATGAGCAGATGACTGAGGAAGAAGAAGAGGAGGAGGAGAAGGGACAGAGAGATACCCAGTCAGAAGAAGAAGATAAGTTCAAATCAACCAAGATCCAGATGGCATGTTTGGATTTTTGCATTGAGCTGCTGAACCAGCGGGTTCAGGTGGAGGATTATGAGTGCGCGCTGGTAGACGCGTTGGCGGTGCTGGGACGGGGGGAGTATGGATGGTGCGACGCGGAGAGCTACCCACCAATGTTGTCACGGATCATCAAGGTGGCACGGTTCATGGTGGTGCACAAGGCGCTGCGACTGGACGCCAATGCATCCGACATGCTGGCCAGGAACCAAGCAAGCCAGATGGTGGGAGAGTGGGCCGTGGTGAGCCCCATGGAGGAGGCGGATTACACGTTCACAGGCAACCAGAATGAAGGGTATGAAAGTGACAGCGGCAGGACCAGTGCCAGTTCCAACCCCCCATCATCACCGCCCACATCGTCCCCACGCAGCGATGATCCCCCGGCCACGATATCCATCGGCGGGTCAACTTCAAACAACAGAAAGCAGCGATCGTTTCAGGAATGGCTTGAGCTGTTCATGGAGGCATTCATGGTCCGCGGCACACACAGTCCCATGCAGTGGATGCTGGACCTGCGCACGTATGGATTGAAGGTGCACTACAGCAACACCACACCCGGCCACGTCGGCTGGATGGGAGGGGATGAGCTGCTGTACAAGGACATGCACTTCACCATGGGCGACTTCCGGGGCTTCACACACGGGCTGGTGGGAGCGACGAGGCGGATCCTGCGGGAGGAGTTGTTGTTTGAGAATGAGCTGAATGGACAGCAGCCACCAGCCATCCCATGGTCCACGATGCGGGATGACCCCACCCAGGGAGGGACGGGGTGGAATTTTTTAAAGGACAGCCGCACGCGGTGGCCGGTGGATGGGGCACAGTGGTTGATGCAGCAGATGCGCATATAGCCCGGGATGCAGCGGCGGTTCATCCAGCGAGAGCACAGCGACCGGCCCCGTTTGGCAATCAAGGCGATCAACGCATACCTGCGCTGGGTGGTGAGATTCCGGGAGAAGCTGAGCGTGGCGGTGCATGTCACGGCGGGCCAACCGGCACGGGCGCCCGAGCTGCTCAGCGTCCGACACATCAACACCGAGAACGGGGGCCACCGCAACATATTCATAGAGGATGGGATGGTGGTGTTCGTCACGCGGTACCACAAGGGGTTTCATGCATCCAACGACATCAAGGTGATCCACCGGTATCTGCCAAGGGAGGTCGGGGAACTGGTGGTGTGGTATTTATGGCTGGTGCTCCCATTCGCCCAGCGGCTGCAGGAGTATCGACGACGGATCCGAGAGGAAGAGGGAAATCCAGAAGAGGAGAACGCCAACCAACGGGGGGCATACATGTGGGGAGGAGACCCCGACGGGCGGGCCTGGACGTCCGAGCGTTTCCGGGAGGTGTTGAAACGGGAGACCCGCATCGGGCTACATGGTCAGGGGTTGAACCTGGCAGCATACCGGAACATCGCCATCGCGATCAGCAGGCAGTTCATGCGCCCATCCAGCGCGTTCAAAAACAACAGCCAGCAGGAAGAGGAGGAGCAGGTGGCCGGCAGCAATGGAGATGAAGATGAACCCATGGACCCCGAGGAATGGCTGGGACGGATCACAGACATGCAAGCGGCCCACACATCACACGTGGCCGGCATGGTGTACGCACGAGGGATCACGGAGCAGGCCGGGACCACACACCGGCGCCGTGAGATGTTCCGGTTGAGCAGCACAGACTGGCACCGGTTTTTAGGGTTCGAGTCGGCAACGACCGAGAAGACGACGAGGGATGCGGTGCTGGGAAAACGCAAGCGGGCACCATGGGAGACAGAGGCCGAGGAGGGGCGTATGGAGCGTCGATTTCAGCTGCAGCAGACCGACATGGAGGCCGAGCTGCAGCGGATGATGGGTGACAAGGCACTGAAGTTTCGAGGGGTGCAGGCGGCAGCGATACGGGCCATCCAGGACGGTGAAAGTCCCGTGGTGGCCATCATGCCAACCGGAGGGGGGAAGAGCATGATGTTCATGTTGCCCGCGTGGGTTGCACCCGGGGGAACAACGGTGGTGGTGGTTCCACTGGTGGCGCTGCGAGGGGACATGCAGCGGAGGTGCGAGGAGCTGGGGATATCATGTGTGGAGTGGGAGAGCCGAAGACCGCCCGATGAAGCATCGATGGTGCTGGTGACACCCGAGTCCGCATTGAGCGAGGACTTCATCACATTTTTGAACCGACAGCGGCTGAACCACCGACTGGACCGGATCGTCATCGATGAATGCCACACGGTGCTCAACGACCAGGTCAACTTCCGGCCCCAGATGCAACAGCTCGGCAAGCTGATGGCGGCCAAGACACAGATGGTGCTGCTGACGGCCACACTGCCACCCGGTGAGGAGGAGAAGCTGTGGTCCCGCATGCACTGCACCCGAGCGGACATATCATTGTTCCGGGCGCGGACATGCCGTCCAAATGTGGCATACCGAGTGTGGCAACCCATCATTGAAGGGTCAGAGTACGGTGGGCTCAACCGATGGTTTCAAGCACCCAGCGTGGTCAGGTTCATCCAGGACCGCATGAGACGGACGGGAGAAGGCAAGGGGGTGGTGTACTGCCAGACGGTGAATCAGGTCACGACGATGGCAAGCGCATTGGGGTGCGAGGCATATCACCACCACCAGATCGACAAGGCCGGCATACTGGAGCGTTTCCGACAAGGTCAATACCAGGTCATCGTGGCGACAAGTGCACTGGGCATGGGCATCGACATCCCCAACATCCGCAGCATCATCCACGTCGGACGGCCGCGATCATTGCTGGATTATGGACAGGAGAGCGGGCGTGCAGGGCGTGATGGACAGGCCAGTGAAGCCATCATCATTGAGCCCGAGGGTATCAGTGCAGCAATGATATGGTCAAGAAAGGATGCACCATCACTGCTGGACCAGAAGCTGGTTGATCGGTACATGCAGGCAGGGGGTGAGGAGGGTGATGAACCGATGGCTCGATGTCGACGGGTGGTGCTGGACCGGTACCTGGACGGGGAAGTGGAGGGTTACATGAGACGGCACTGCGGTGATCGACACACAGGGGAGTCCCAGTGTGACGGGTGCGATGCCGAGTGGGAGGCCAGGGAGGCCGTGTTCACCCCCAGCCCAGGTGGCACGCCCACGCCCACACCCAGTCCAGGCTACAGTTCAAGAGCAACAGCCAAGGATGACTCCAGCGAGGATGAAACCAGCCAGGAGTCAGAGATGGAGAGCCAGCAGGGTGAAACCCACATCAGATTCAACGGCACATGCAGTCCCAGAATGGCCAGAAGTGTGAGCAAGAGCACAGACGACAACATAAATGAAAGCATCACCAAGAATGAAGCTTCAACTTCAGGCGGGAGCAGCCCGGGTCAATGGAACAAGCAAGAGTCAAGTGAAATCAGTGAAGACACCAGGGGCATCCCATCAACAACCAGACAGACATTCCACAAGCAGGATGTCCGTCGAGGCCGGTTCATCATCACACACCAGCAGCGAGGGCAGAGGGCATTGATGGATGAGGAGGTTTTAGTGGAAGAGGCGCAGAGGTGGAAGGATCAGTGTTTGATATGTGCAAGTGGCAAGCGGGAGTTTGACCATGAGCTGTACCAGTGTCCCCACGAGGAGAGCCAGGAGGCGAAGAGATGGATGATGACAGTGCGGAGCAAGATCAAATACACACGGTATTCCGGGTGCTTCCGATGCGGGATGCCGCAGTCCATATGCAACAGCTGGAAGACACAGAGGCAGTGTCCGTACAGGGGATTTTTGATCCCGACGGTGGCAATGATGGTGTATGGGTGTCATGCAGGGCAGATGAAGCAGGCGTGGAGACAGCGGCTGAGAGAGTTCAATGTGGATGCAGATGATCAGGAGGCGGTGATTGAATTTTTGGGACAGAAGGTTGAGGGGCAGGGCATGGAGCACAACCGGCTGGTGGAGATGTTTTGTTGGCTGCGAGGGATATATCAGGAGGCAGAGAGGGGGAAGATGGAGTCAGAGGGTACAGAGGTCAAGTGATATCATGGGTGAGGGGCACATCACGGGTGAGAGGCACCACAGGAGGATGAAAGACGTATATATATATAAAGGCAGGTGAAGCAAGAGACAGAGGGTAAAGGGATATAACATCAAGAGAAAGTAGATCAGGTTCAAAGGATCAGTTTCAAACAGTATCATCCCATATGATAATGGGTCAGGGTTAGGGTTACAAAGAGTGAGGGTAGAGGCTGGGGGGGAGGATGAGGTGGTCAGAGTCAGGGTTAGGGTTGACAAAGAGTGAGGCTAGAGACAGGGGTGGGCAGTGAGGTCAGAATAGATGGTTAAATTGAGCACAAACCCGTTAACCCATTGGAAGTCAAACCCGTTGGACCCAAACCCGTTGGCCGTCGAACCCGTTGGATGAGCGCATTAACCCGTTGGAAGTCGAACACGCTGGACCCAACCCGTTGGACGTCGAACCCGTTGGACCCAACCCGTTGGACGTCAAACCCGTTGGACGTCAAACCCGTTGGAAGTCAAACCCGTCCCAGGAGCGCATTAACCCGTTGGACGTCAAACCCGTCCCAGGAGCGCATTAACCCGTTGGAAGTCGAACACGCTGGACCCAACCCGTTGGACGTCAAACCCGTCCAAGGAGCGCATTAGCCCATTGGACCCGAACCCGTTGGATGAACCCATCAACCCGTTGGAAGTCGAACACGGTGGACGATTATATCAGAAGGTAGAGCCGGGGGAAGATCGAGTCAGGGGCATAGAAGGTCAAATGACACCACAGATGAGAGGCAGATGTTGACGAGCACCACATAGAGATAAAAGATATATGCATATATAAAGATCGATGAAGCAAGAGGAAAAGGAGCAAAAAGAAAGAGGGTAAAGAGATATAATATAGCTAGATCAGGTTCAAAAATATTGGAGTTT